ACTCAGTTCAAATATCAACTTGGATAAGCCATCTACACTTCACACTCACTTCAACTCCTCCTTATCTCATCCATCAGATTCCACTCTGAAGGATACTTCTGTTCATTTCTCCAATGGAACTCCATTCTGTCCATCCAGATCCTTGGGCTCTGACTCAAAGGTGATATTGCCAATAGCTTTGTTGATGCCCATGCACTCTGCTGGTCTCCATATGTGCACTAAAGCCCACTTGATTGGCATGTTCCTAACATATTCATCCATTGTCATCAATACTCTCTTGCACCTCAGCCAGCATCTCTAACTGCTCTAGTTTATCAAAGTACTCACTGGCAATCTTGTCATCCATGCATAGCTCCTTCATCTTGTTCTTGTAGACCTCTTGGACCACTGAATTGATAAACTTGTCTCAAATCATTTGCTTGAAGACAAGCCAAGAGAAGTATCAATAGTGCCAGCAGATTGCAGAGTGTAGCATTAGAGCAATTAATATCCACCATTGCTTGGTCTTGCTTTTAAAGTAGAAGGCAGCAAAGGCCATCTTATTCATGTCTGCTCTGAGATAGATGATGTATATCTCAAAATACTGTGCACAGTCAACTATAAACCAGTCAATATTATCTGATGCCTCTTTAAAGAAATGAGGAGTCCAGAGGAGATTGGGTTTACACTGTAACATAGCTGCATTCTGAGATAGGGCTCCCATAGAGTTGGGGTATTCATCAAACAGTGGTTGTCTCTATTCAGCTGGGAGTCCAGAGAATGAGTGAAGAGAGTTGTCATCAGTAATGGGACTCTCTTTGGGTCATGCTTTCTTCTGCACAATTTGTCTATTTCATATGGTGAAACCTAGCCATATGGCTTTAGAGTTGTCTCTCTCAGCTTCTTTAGCTGTAGCCTGTCCTGCTTCAGTGAATAGCCAGCTTCCTTTTCTGGTTCATGAATTTCAAAAGCTGACAGATTGTAGGGGTTCTTGTACTCAGAGTCACTCAGCCCGTGGTATGGCTTCTCAGCTGGCTACAATGCTTCATGATGGCCAGACACTAAGAGTTCAGGTAGTTGATGTGATGTATTTAGCATATCTTGATGGTACTAACAGTATGTTCAGCATTGGTGAGATTTTGTATTTGAAGGCTGGTAAGGCCTTCAGCCAGTTTTCTGGATGTGTGGTGTTGTAAATGTAAATAGTATAGTCAGTCATGGCATACTGTAAAATATATCTTCATTCTTTATTATCAGTGACTAAATACCTTCTATCCAGAGAAGTCATTATCCAGCTGACTTTCTTCCATAGTGTTGCTGCCTCCTCATGATATAATACCTCAAATTTCTCCTCTCTGGTTTCTTAGATTATCTGCTCCAGTCTTCCTCATCCATATTCCCATATTGTAGATAGGAGTCAATCATAGTGGAAACATTGTCTCCACTGTTCTTGCTGTTCTTCCCTCCCTTATTGTCCTCCTCAAGAGAGTTATCAGGCTGGTTATAGGTAGGTGGCTCAAGAGAACAAATTATCACTGGAGAGCTTCCTGTCAGCTTGAGTGTTAGTTCAAGTAGAAGACTGCTGATCAGGTCAGGAAGGTCTGGCTTCTCCAGCTTTGCTGTTCCTTCACCACACACTCTCTCTCTCCACTCTCTCACTATATTGGTGGAAGTCATTGTAGAAGTTGTTGTTGAGGAAAAGGGTGACAATATATCCTCATAAGAATCTTCAGAGGGCTTAGTCAGAGACCCTGACACCAGGAGAGATCTGAATTCCATATTCATTGATGATAAAACTGGCATCAGAGGAGAGAGAGCTGCTGCTCCTGATACTTTCTTCATATGTAGAGAGTGGAGGCTCATAATCATTGTCAAGGTTTCTTGCTTCATCTGTGGTGTAGACTTCAGCATCAGCCTACTGGTCTGCAGACCAGAGGTCAGCTTCATTGTCAGAGCTCCACTCAGACCACTCTTGGGGCTTGCCATCATAGCTGCCTGGGCTGAGAGATGGAGGGGTTGTGACTCCAATTTGCTGGGCCTCTCCTCTGTTGACTCCAGGAAACATACCTTCTTCCTCTTTGTAGTATAAGTCTCTCTCTCTATCTTTGTACAATCTGTAATATTCTACTGAGGCAGGATCCCACTCAGCTGCTTGCTCTTCTCAAGCTTGCTGTTTGTACTGTACATTATAATATTCTTTGTTGGCCTCCCACTGCTGATGATCAAACTCTCTCTCTTCTATATCCAGTCAATCAAAGATTCTTGGATCATCAAGGTCATATCTCTTGGCTTCTATTTCTCTTCTAGTGTTGATAGTTTTGGATTGTAAGTAGAAGTCACTGGAGGTTGAAAGAAGAGGGCTGAAGATCAGAGAAATGAGACTCTCTTGAGAGGTAGCATACTTGGACCCTCTTTCTGCAAGTCTTCCAACCTCATCAATGGAGTCTCTAGCATGGTCTCCAATGCCAGATTCATGGAGGGCAGTGGAAGGGTTGAGAGATGGCAACTCCTCAAAGAAGTTGTTGGAGAGGTTTTTGTCTTTGTAGTCAGAGACCAGAGAGAGGTGTGGCAGGACTCAGGGGTTCCTGAATCTCATGTTTGTATGCTCATTGTATTGGCTAGCTGCTTGAGGGGGGTAAGTTGGTCATTGGGATTCTTTTTCTTCCTGAAGGCCTCTTTCATTCATGCCACTATTCCCAGCTTCAGGTATAGTTCTGAGCATGAGCTGGAAGGAGGCTTGGGCAGAGAGAGAGATGTCATAGAGGGGGAGGTTGAGTATGACATTCCTGAGGATTTGCTGGATTTGTTAAAAAGATTGATAGTGCCTGACTACTCAAGCTGTAACTGATTGATGTCCATGGCAAAGTGTGATGATCACAAGTAAGCTTAAAAGTGTTCCTATAATAGAAGCTAGTAGCTTAAAGAATTCATCAGTGAGATTAGTAGTAGTGATGTTGATGGCAGACATGAGAAAAGAGAAATAGAAGTCTTGAACTAATTGTTAGACTCAGGTGACACATAATCACTAACATGTGATAAACAACCACTGTATCAAGTTTGTACAGTTATGATTGAGTCTACTATTGTATAGCAGAGTTATGTCTCAAGGTCAATACTAGTTGACTTGAGATAAAGTGGTGATAATAAAGAATAGTTTGAGACTAGGGATATATGATGTCAACTATGCTACTTATATACTATTTATCTCCTAGATAAATATAGTACTACTAATTGTACATGTCTGTGCTATACTGCCTATTGTCCTAGAGCATTGTGGTTACCTACAAAAGGCTAGTTGTCTTGTTGTCAGGGCATCACTACATATCATGAAACAATAATCAGAGCACTGACCAAACCAGTCCCACAGTTCCAAGCACCAGTCTAAGTGCTCTGACTAAGCATGAATAAGGGTGAAAAGAAAAGAAAGAATAGAAAAATCATAACAGTATAGTGGTCAAAATGTATCACTCCTAGGTTATACAGATGCAGATAGAAGTATAGCAGAAGATCAACATGCCATGCTAGAATATGCCTTCCTAATAGACAGAGAGGCCATATCCTGGAGTTCAAAGAGACAAGAAATTATCTCTTTGTCCACCACCAAGAGTGAATATGTAGCACTCACACACACATTAAAAGAAGCCCTATAGCTATGCTCACTTATTGGACAGTTATTTCTAGATCTAACTCATGTTGTCCTATTACTGTCTGACAACCAATCAGCTATTTTGCTCACCAAAACCAGCAATACCACTCTCACACCAAGCATATTGATATTCATTTTCACTTCATATGCTGAGTGATTGAGAAGAGCAAAATTCATTTGATCTACTGTCATCAGATAGGATGGCTGATATTCTTACCAAACCCTTACCTTCTCCAAAGGTAAAGCATTTTATGGCTGAACCTTGTCTACAACATCATGTTTGAAGGAGAATGTTGAAATTCTGAGTGATGCATAGACAAACACATTGCTATGATGCTTGTGATATCTAATTATGGCTTTTTCATTCCATGATCTTCTTTATATTTGTACCTATATTTCTTGTCTCAGCAGCTATTTATGCATGAATAGTTGTTGGTTGCTCTCCTCATCTGTTAACTGTAACAGCTGAGCTCACTTCAATTGTATCTAGTTATTCTCATATTGAAATTCTTTTACATAATTTCCTTCTTAAAGCAAGTGCACTGAGTCCATGCTGGAGCAGTGTCTGAGCAGAGTGATACTAGTGTGCTGCAGTAATCCTTGCTGGTCCAATATGGTAGACTGCTGGTGAATGATGAGTTCCAATAAGAAATATGATGATGCACAGTCTTGGTGTGCACTTGGTGCAGTTTCAGTGCCATATATGAGTGGGAAATGAGTGGATTGGATAAGATCTTCTGGGATTAGATATATTCTTGATTAGATAGCTTGGCTGATAAGAAAGGTTGAGTCATGATTAGATATGGTTGCAATTAGATGAGGAAAAAATCATAACAAGATTATAAAGACTGGTAGGTTCATAAGTTAAGGGTTAAATGGGTACTCCTATATATTTGAGAATGAAGAAAAGCTGCATGAAGGATGGATTTTATGCCAAGAAGGTAGAGTAATGTTGGAGAATAATTCCATGAAGGTTCAGAAAGATTTCTGCATTATCCTCAACTCAGACAAGCCTCAGGCAACTCAGTAATGAGTTCATCCAATGGTACTTAACTCAATGGCACTCATGTGTCCAGAGCTCGGACACAGGCTTGGGTAGCAGGTCAATGATATTACCTTTTCTGACCAAAGATAGACTCAGTGACAGGTGCCTAGATTGACCTGCAATAAGCATAAGAAGATGAGGAATAGATTCAAGGAGTCTGGCCAAAAAGATTCCAGATTTCTCAGAAGATCTCTGGAGAAGGTTCAGAATAATGTTGCACTGAAGTGCAAGTGCTCGCCAGGCAGTTGAGCTTTGACACCACGTGTTCGACCTTGATTGACAGGCATGTGAGATAGCAACACAACCAAACAAAGACAACCTTACTTCGAACCACCATCACTCAGCAATCATGGCATCTGAAGCACAGATGAAAAGTGAAATAGCGAGGCTTACCGGTAAAGTCTAGTGTTCACTATTATGTCCTCGAGCCTAATGATTCCATTAGCCACCATCAATTCTCACAAGGCTACATCTTCAGACCCATCAAGATCTCAAAGGAGCAATACCTACGTGAACCCCAATTACAAGCCAGTTTACAAGGCACGGAATACCTACATTCGCCCAGCAATACTACCGTCAGATAGCCGACCGTCGCAGTTGCATCAAGTGAAGGAAGTTGTCCTTAATGGCGTTGCCTTTCAGTCATCATCGCGGTCGCTTGTCCGTAAAGATCGTGAGCTCTTTTCTTCTTCCATCTATCAAGTGCTGAATGTTTTCTCGTAGTTCCGAGACCATCCGCGCAGAAATCACCAGCATCTACAGCTATACAACCACAATCGTTCTCAAGAAAGTCTGGTCACCTTATCGCCAACAACCGTGTATACAAGTCAAAGCCCATTCGCGGTCGACGAGGCACACCCGCCAATCGAAATATGACCCTGGCTAACAGCCGAAGGCCTTATCAGTCCGTCCCGCCACAGGACTCCCACCTCATGTTCAATCTGATTATTGTTCCCAGAGCCCGGAAACTCGCCCAGAAACGCATGAAGTATATCGACAAGCCATGCCCTCGGTTCTCTACCACAGGTGTGTTGCCACTCATTTTTCTCGGTTCATGTTCATCACGATTTCTTATACGCAGGTGTCTGCAGCCGCGGTCTTACGTGCATGTATAATCACGACCCCGACAAAGTGGCTATCTGCTGGAACTTCTTGCAAGGCAACTGTTCCAATAATGCTTGCCTCTTATCCCATGATCCGACACCTGAACGTACACCTCTATGTCTCCACTTCGCCAATAAGGGTCGCTGCACTCGCGAGAATTGTCCTTTTCCGCATGTCAATGTAGGCGCTCGCCAAGGCGTATGCCGCGATTTTGCTGTTCTCGGATACTGCGAGAAAGGACTGGACTGCGACAAACAGCACGTTAGAGAGTGCCCTGATTTTGCTGAGAAGGGTACTTGTACAACCAAGGGGTGCAAGCTTCCTCATGTTATCAGGGCTAACCGCAGGAAACCTGTAACGAGCTCAACAGGTGACCCAGCAAGTTTAATCTACAGTGATCCTACTCCCTCGACAATCCTCGGATCTGGCTCTAATGGTAACTCCCTTGAGAAACATTCGTCTGCTAATGGCCAGCTTGGCGATGAGTATGTATCACTGATTTTCATTGAAAGTGACGAAGATGACAGCGACGAAGATGAGGAGGAGGATGTGGAGGATGATGCCGACGTCGACGATGAACAGAACGTGTCTGAATCTGAAATACATCATATAGAGTAGCTATGTTTGTATTCTATCCAGAATCCTTCAATATGTATACCTTTGAATTCGTGAAATCTGGACTCGAACTGCTTGACTTGTAACCACCACATGCCCAGATGGGATTCGCACTTTGACGTGCCCTTAATACGATAATGTCAACTCTATTGCCCTTTCACACCAAGATTATCCAGGAAATTCATGACCCGTCTACTTCGGAACTAATTATTCTCGCTCGCGGACTGGGATTACGACGAATAATATGCACTCTTATGAAAATATACGATTCGCCACAGAACCTCGTCCTACTCGTGAATGCCACGCCAGAAGAAGAGACGGAAATCGGCGAAGAGCTGGGCATCATGGGCTGCAGGAAGCCAGGATTGCGAGTCGTTGGTTATGAGACTGGGACGAGCAAGGACAGGTGCGTCGTCTCTTTTTCTCTGTCGCCGCCGCCTTCCTCATCGTTAGCTAGGCAGAACCTGTACAAGAATGGCGGCCTCATATCAGTCACATCGCGTATCCTTGTAGTCGACATGTTACAGAATGACATTCCCATTAACCTCATAACAGGCATCATAGTGCTTCACGCGGAAAGGTGCGTTGCTATCACACCGTTACCTCAGCTGCTCATCTTTTTTACAGAGTCTCTCCTCTGCATCTGGTTTCATTCATTACGCGACTGTATCGTGAAAAGAATGACAGCGGATTCCTAAAGGCCTTCACCGACCAGCCGGAACACATCACTAGCGGTCTGTCACCTTTAAAGAATGTAATGAAGGAACTGAGGCTGAGGAAGGTTCACATATGGCCGAGGTAACGACATGTTTCTTCCACCGAATACACCACTCATTATCGTACAGGTTTCATCAAGATATCAAAAGAGTTCTAGAAAGAAAGCGTGCAGACGTTGTCGAACTATCACAGCATCTGACTACGTCAATGGAAGAGATCCACAGTGCTATTGTACAGTGCATGAACACGACTTTGGCTGAACTTCGACGGTCGCGTACAGAGGCAAGTCACTATATCTATCTTGATTCCCGTTAGCTTTGACATTAGTGTAGCTTGACCTCGACACATTGGCCCTTCCAGCGGCTTATTTCTCCTCCTTTGACCATATTGTCCGCAAACAGCTTGACCCAGTGTGGAACAAGGTCGGGTCCAGCACGAAAGCTCTTGTGCGAGACTTGGGCGTTCTCCGACGACTCGTATGGTATCTGCTCACTTACGACCCACTTCAGTTTCACTCTTTCTGTGAAACTCTCATTGCTTCCAACAGCACCTCCGCTGGAGGTGGAGCAAAAAGCCAATGGATGCTCACTGACACTGCCAACATTGTATTTTCAGTAGCTAAGCGCCGCTGTTTTACGTTGAGCGTCCCTACGGCTTCTCGACTGGATGACGACGATGATGCTTGGCAAGTCTTAGATGAGATACAGGGTAAGAGACCAGATACCAATGGTGACCATCCAAGGTGGATTCCGCCCCGTATGGATCCTGTGCTCGAAGAACTACCCAAGTGGAGTCTGCTCGCAGAGGTGCTGGAGGAGATTGAAGGAGAAATTATCAAAATCGAAGGTAATCGTGCGTTTAACAGTGCTCCTGGGACGAATACGACATTGGTTATGTGTTCGTCGATCACTACCTGCAACCTTTTGAATGAGTTTATGGCCTCCTTGGACCAGACACGACCAAAGGGGGAATGGGGAAGGAAGTTGATGATGAAGAAGTTGAAAACATGGTTGTTCTGGAAGAGCTGTGCTGCCAAAGACAGGAAAACTCCGACTCGGGGTACGAACCAGGGACAGGGAGATGATCTGGATGACGTTTTAGATGAAGCGCTGAAGAAGAAGGATAGAGATAAAGCTGATAGGAAAGCTAACAGACGCAGGATTAGAGGTGGTGGCCCTGGAGCTGCATCTTCGGGAAGGCAACCTAGCGAGGCACCTGAAGCTATTACTGAAGATCTGTGGGCAATTTCTACTACTTCTCTTGTTCCTGTTGCCTGATGTCTTTGTCCAGCTGGAACTATGGTGAACTCAAGCTTCTTAACGATGAAGATGTTGCGAATATTGTTGATCTCACTTCATTGAATTTTGAGCCCGACTTCGATGCACACTACGGTCTCCTACCGCCCGCCCAGACTGTTCTGATTCGACCGTATTCTGATGACACGGATGATAGGATGCTGGACGAGATCAAGCCGCGGTTCATCGTCATGTTCGAGCCTTGTATGGAGTTTATTCGGAGGGTAGAGGTAGGATTGGGTTCTTGTTCAATTTTCCTATCTGAGCAATGACGTTTCGTGATAACTCAGGTGTATAAGTGTTCAAATCCTGGCCTATCGGTACGTGTGTACCATATGGTGTACGCCAACTCGTGCGAAGAGCACAAGTACTTAGCGGGTATCCGCCGGGAGAAGGAGAGCTTTGAGCGGCTGATCAGAGAGCGAGGGGTATAGTTTTAACTCTTATTCGTGAAGATAGGCTGCTAATAACTTTGTTTCCCAAGTCAATGTTGTTGCCGATATTAGAGGACCCCAAGAAGGCATCATCCAGTGACGAGATAATCAAGACAATTAGTACAAGAATTGCAGGTGGCAGGAGAGAACTGAATAAGGACCCTTCTAGGGTATGTATGCCTTCCTTTAACAATGGCGACTTTGTCTTAGTGATCTCAGGTCATTGTGGACATGAGAGAGTTCCGGTCCACGCTACCGTCGCTACTGCATGCTACGAATCTGCTTGTTATTCCCGCGACCTTGACTGTCGGTGATTACATCTTGACACCGGAGATCTGCGTGGAAAGAAAGAGTTTGGCGGACCTTGTTTCTTCCTTTAACAATGGGCGTTTGTAAGTCCCACTTAATGCCGTCGTACCTAGAAGCTAATACCTGAGTCATAGGTACACGCAATGTGAACTGATGTCTGTTCATTACAAAAACCCGGTCTTACTCATTGAATTTGAAGAAGATAAGGCCTTCTCACTTGAGGTCAGTTCCAACGGGTCTCCGTTAACACATCAAGCGTCTTAACGTCATCCATAGATTATATCAGACATGAAGTCTTACGCCAAAACAAACAATCGATTTTCCTCAAAGAAGGCGACAGGGAATCCCACAGAGTATGATTATACATCTCCGTCGATCCAGTCAAAAATCGTGCTTCTCACCCTCACTTTTCCTCGTGTTCGCATAATATGGTCATCAAGTCCATACGCCACCGCTGAGATATTTAAGGACCTAAAGATGGACCGCGCAGAGCCTGATCCAGCGAAGGCAATAGCAATCGGTGCTGAAGAAGATCCCGATTCCGTCGCCGGTATCAATGCGGCTGCTGAAGAGCTGTTGAGGTCGCTCCCAGGCATATCAGCGAAGAACATAAAGTACGTGATGAGCAAAGTGAGGAACGTGAGAGAGCTTTGCGAGATGGATCTGAGGCGGGTGCAGGATATTTTGGGAGTGGCACCGGGAAAGGCATGCTATCAGTTTATACATAGAGGTGAACGTTAAAGTAAAAGCAAAATCTCGCAGTTAGCTGAGCTTGGAATCGGACCCCGCTCAGGACCAGAGCAGGAAGGATGCGGACCGACGCCAAGGAACAGTCCGTCGCAGTGATGGGTGCTCGACTGTGCTCGAGTAGCCTTATTTCAGGATCATAGGGGATAGCGACTGTCGCTGTAGACACATGGATGTGTGGGCACCAGCATCAGTGATTCCGGAACAAGGAGAGTCAAATGATCATGATATCACCGAATTCTCGTCCCACCATCCTTGCATAAAACAGCCATGTCTCCTTTGCCTCTGTCTCCCTTGCCTCTGCCGCTTTTATTCTTTCTTTAATCCCCTTATCATAACTGCCACCGGCACCCTAACTGCTCAGCTGTTCTCTTTCGATGCCAGAGTTCTCCACCACCATCGTCACTCTTTTCAACAAACGCACCGCCCAGGACCAGGTCAGGAGACTCTCCAATTGCCTTATCTGTCCTTTTTTGAATGTCTGTCTCTGTCACATAGGGCGGTTTGTTGAGTGGAAAGGATCCTACGGAGGTCAATACTAATGATCCAATCCGACTGTGGATCATTCAAGTCGGTGAGCGCGACCGCTGTCCGTGCACGCGCAGTCTGACAGAAATCTTCCTTGTAGGCATAATTGTCGCGACTGCGAGTTTTCTGAGCCTTGGACTACGCAAGATACGCCAGCCAAAGGTCATCGCGGAGGTTTTGGGTGGCATTCTTCTCGGTATGTTGCTCGTTAACTTTTTCTCACCTTGGCTCAGTTTCTTTAAGGTCCCACTGCATTTGGTGTGTTAGCCTTCCGTAAAACCTTTCCCATCTCTAATACTATCCAGGTCGCATACCTGGATTCACAGAGCACATATTTCCTCAGGACTCGCGGCCTTACCTGTCCCTAGTTGCCAACATTGGCCTATGCCTCTTTCTCTTCCTCGTTGGTCTCGAAATAGATGCGGGGGTCGTCATACGCAATGCTAGGCTCTCCGCTTCTGTCGGTCTGGCTGGTATGGCTCTTCCCTTCGGCCTGGGGGCAGCTTTGTCCTATCCTGTATATAAACAGTTCATCCCGGAAGACATCGCGTTTACACACTTCATGCTATTTGCTGGTGTCGCGTTTTCCATTACTGCCTTCCCAGTTCTTTGTCGGATTCTCACCGAACTCAAGCTCCTCGACACGACAGTTGGCATTGTCGTTCTTTCGGCCGGCGTCGCAAATGACATTGGTGAGAGCTTGCATGTCTGTTGTCCTGAAGGTATTCTCATATTCGATAGTGGGATGGACGCTTCTGGCCCTCTCAGTAGCCATGGTCAATGCGGGATCAGGCCTCACTGCTCTTTGGATATTGATGGTCTGTGTGGGCTGGACGCTTTTTTTGCTGCTCGGCGTTAAAAGGGCTCTGGCATGGTTAGCTCGGAAAACTGGATCCATTGAAAATGGCCCAACTATGTTCTTCATGACTGTGACTATTTTGCTGGTGTTCGGATCAGCTTTCTTCACAGATGTTATTGGCGTTCATGCTATCTTTGGTATGTTACATTTATGTTCGACTTTGCCTAATCCTGATACTAATGTAACTTCCGCGCAGGTGCCTTCCTTGCCGGAATCATTGTTCCTCGGGAAGGTAATTTGGCCATTCACTTGACCGAAAAGTTGGAAGACATGGTCTCAATTATCTTCCTTCCGCTTGTACGTTCCCTTAGACTTCGATCGTAGTTTGTTCTCATGGTACCGTTAGTATTTCACTCTGTCCGGTCTATCGACTGATCTAGGTCTCCTGAATAATGGTGCGTCACGAGTGTGGAATCAACAAGGACTTCTCTTACATATTCATATCTAGGAATAACTTGGGCCTACACAGTTGGTATCGTCTCAACGGCCTTCATTGGAAAGTTTGGTGGCTGTACCCTCTCCGCAAGGTTTGCGGCTCGTTTTAGCTGGCGAGAATCTGGCGCAATCGGCTCGTTGATGAGTTGCAAAGGGTAGGTGTATGTTTTTTCGCATTGTTCACAACATTAAGGTTACTACAGACTCGTGGAGCTCATCGTACTTAACGTCGGATTGTCTGCAGGCATTCTAACACAAAGAGTTTTCTCCATGTTTGTTCTAGAGGCTTTGATCCTCACGTTTGCCACCACACCTCTTGTTACCTTCTTTTACCCCCAGGAATGTCGTGTTCGTGTGGCTGCAACAGGAGCCAACTTTAACAACGTATCTGATGGGAATGAAGAAGAGCGGTCTTCGGGACGAATTCCAAGAGAGACCGAAGCAGGTTTATTCAAGACTCGGTTCACAGTCGTTCTCGACAAACTCGAGCATGTCCCAGGAATGATGGTCATGGCGCAGTTGATTCAGCAATCTATTCCTGCTATCCCCACTTCGGACGACAATGTGTCAGGATCCAAAAAGAGTTTGATGAGACTAAAGAGCGCAGCGCCTTCCATCGAAGCGCTCCGGCTCATCGAGCTCTCGGATCGTACCTCAGCGGTTATGAGGTCTTCGGCGGCCGAGTCGATATTGCTCAGCGATCCCCTTCTCTCCATTTTCAAGATGTTCGGTCAGCTTAATGATTTGGTCATGAGTACCGCATTGTCCATCGTACCATACGATGACCTCTCGCAATCCGTTGTGGACAACGCGTGCGATAGTGGCTCCGAGATGATCATGCTGCCTTGGCTTTCCTCTTCTACCTCCAATGATAATTATCTGCTCGAAAACATGACTGTGTCGCCCAGAAACCCTCCGAACAATCCATTCGAAGCTCTCTTCAGAACAAATGCACCCACAGATAAATCCGCAGCACTTCATTCACAGTTCGTTCGAGGTGTGTTCGCTTGTGCTAAAAAGGACGTCGCCCTCTTTGTAGATCAAAGCACTCCGGGAATGTTCATTGGCAGTTCTCATCATATATTCCTTCCCTTCTTCGGCGGTCCTGATGATCGTTTGGCAGTGGACTTTGCTGCTCAACTCTGCGAGAATCCGAAGACCACTGCGACAATTGTGCGGGTAATGAGACGAGATTCAGAAGTTCCTATAGCACCTGTCGAGGCTGCTCATATCGGTGAAGAGAAGGGAGCAGTGGAGGCACATGCTGAGCTTACCATTGCATCGGCAAGTATTTTTGCCTATGATCGACAGTTATCATCATGCTAATCTTACATTCAGGTCACAAATACCTTCCCAGATACTGTCTACGGGCACGCCACAACAGAGACCCGACTGCAGTCCGAAACGGCGGACAACATCATATGGAGCCGCTATACATCACCCACCCACACATCAGTATACCCCTCCCAGGAGGCACTCAAACGGATGGAATTTCGAGAGTTGATTTCACCTATTCCCTTGCATGCCATCATAGCAGCTGCGAATGAAGAGATTGAGGCGGTGAAGGGGAAACGCATGCTAGTCTTGATCGGTCGCTCGAGGAGGCTGGCGGTGGAGAGCCATTCTAAGGAGATGAAAGTACTGATGGACGAGCATGGCCATGTTGGATCAGAAGTGAAGAAGACTATGGGGGATGTGGCGACTTCCTTCATTCTGGCGAGATGTGGGTCGGGCGTGATTGTTGTTCAGACTGCAGCAAATCAGGGCTGATTCAAATGCATGACTTTCATGATGATTTTTCAGATATCTGTGATGTTCGTAGTATGTCCATATGACCGTTGTAAGTTGTCATAGTGCCTAATGCTCTGCTTCATTAATACCTCTTAAACGCAAGCAACTTCCGCCCAAATTGACTGAAAGAATTGATTTTGTGTACAGTACGAACACAATGAATCAAGAACATTATTTGGACAATAGGGAAAGAAAACATAAGCATATATGTGCCAGCGTCTCATATCAAAGTGCACTGTTGCCCTTACTGAGATCCCGCACCTTACCTAGAGGTGTTTTAGTCATGACAGTGAGGACTTCGAAGAGAACCTAGTATGCAATACCAGATCAACTTCCTAATATGTTCTGAATGCGTACTGATATACTTACATCGGCTGCTGCAATAGTTGTAAGTTCTGCATTGGTGTCATACGCAGGTGCGACTTCTACAATGTCAGCACCGACGAGATGAAGGCCGTCCAAACCCCTTAAGATTGTGCGAATCTCGCGAGTAGACCAGCCACCAGTCTCTGGCGTACCCGTGGCAGGAGCAAAGGCAGGGTCGATAGAGTCGATCTGATTTACAAATGAAAATCATGATCGACGGTTTCATAGAATTTGAAAACGGAGCTTACATCGATAGAGAGGTATACAGGTGCGTCCCCGACGGTCTCACGAATTTTCTTGATGATACCATCAGTGCCTGAATATCACCGTATTCAGTACGGTGGTCTTCCCACTAGAAATAATGGAAACTAACCGAGGGTATCGATCTCGCGGGCCTCAATGCGCTTGAAGCCCGCGTCGTCGTCATTGTCGTAATCCTCCAGCCCGGAAAGTGTCGTCCGAATTGCCCCGTGCTATAAAAAAAGGATGAACTAGGATCAAAGTACTCGGCGGTGAGAGAGACAAAGATGAAAGGGAGTGGGGGGTATAGATTACGAATCAGAACAGGAAGCACTTGCAATTGATGATCCATTCTTAATGAGACCTTCTTGGCTCGCCCAGTAGAAATATGTGCCGTGGTTGATGGCAGCGACGTCCGACGGGGCTCCTCCAAAAACAGAAGGCTTCCAAGTATCTGTATTTGTTTCAGCTAGGCGTCTAATGGTGCAGAAGGAGAGATTGCTACCCAGATGAGAATCAAAGTGGATGACAGAAATCGGACCGTAAGCAGAATAAACTGAACGCAAAAGGGGAAGAACAATGGTGTGGTCACCGCCAAGGGTAATGACACGGGGATGGTGTTTGCCGTCGATAGAGAGGGGCGTCAAGGCTTGGCCAGTCACAGAATCGTTCCCCAGAGGAGAGTATGTTTCGCGGTGCAGTAGTGCCTTGTGCCCTTCTTCAATCTGTTTAATGGCGACCTTGTTGTCGTAGGGTCTGTGGATCGATTAGCAAGAAGGGAGCAGACAGAGCAGACACGCACGTAACGGGAATATCGCCACAGTCCACGATTTTAAGCCCGGATTGGAACGGGTTAGACTCGAGAGGAACATTGTAGCCGCCATATAACGTTAAACGACGAGACCCAGTTCGAATTCCGGCTACCAAATGAACATTTTAGCATCATGACCATGACGAAGACACAATGAATGTTACCTGGACCGAAGCGTGCTCCAGGTCTGTAACTGGTACCGGTATCCTGGAGAAAAGAATAAGATAGTTAGTATAATAAGCGGATCCAACGGCTCACGAAGGGTGCACCAATGAAGGCAATATCGAACGACTCGCCCTTCTCTTTGGTGAGACACTGCACCCACGGCAATTTAGCGAAGGTGGTAATGCCAGAGAAGATGGCGTCAGCAGTGACTATAAGAAGAGATTAGCCTCATCAGATTAGATGGAAGATGTATGACGCTTGCCTTCGCCGGTACTGGTACGGTACAGAGGTTCAAGAGGATATTTGACATAGTCCAACGGCACCTGGTCTAGATGGCCATGGTGATGATGCTCGGCGCCAGACAGAGCCAAGAGGATCGCCAAATACACAGAAGAGAGCAGGTACTTCATGTTTTCGGTGCAAACAGATAACTCGAGGAATTTGAGTGAGGATGGAGCAAACCCCTTCCTTCTGTTTATAAAAAGGATCACAGAAGAATTTGAAACCAGAGCATAACTTGGCCTCGGGAAACTGTACAGATTCCGCAATGATTCCGTTTGTATCATGTAGACGCCGTTCCGTCAGTCTGCGTCGTGTTTTGCCTTGAGGCATTCCACACGTTCGGATTAAAGTGCGATCCAAATCAAATGCCGATAAGAAAACTAAAAATGACCTAACAGGAGCAGGGGAAATAGTACCAGTGCGAGGAGATCGGCAAAGTATTGATCCAAGGGGAAGAAAAACCCAAAGATTTGGGTGGATAAAGGCGGCTCAGAGTGAAAGGTAAATGTCAAGAGTTAGTTACGTTCCTGGGGCCCCTTCCTGCGACATGACTTCCCCCATCATTTCAAGCGAGACGACGCCCCTTCTTCAGAACGCTCTGGTGTCAGAAGCCGACCGTGACGCCGACGTTTCCTGGTCCTCTCCAACCGACGGTTTGCCGGAAGGAGGAAATGTGAGCCGGGTGCTTGGTCTAGACCACGTGAATTTTCACCTATTTGGGTCGCTCTTCGTCGATTCGATTCCTGGTCAGTGCATCCAAGTCAATAGCGAATTGCTGAATATTTACGAGGATACAGTTATTCTATCCTATATACTTCAAAACTCGATTCAAACTGCTTCAATTCTCATTGTGGGTTGGCTTGGCCCTGAAGAGCTGTCGGTTGCCGCATTTTCACTGATGTTGGCGTTTGTAACTGGCTAGTATATGGTTCCTTTCTCCGTACAAGGATGATCCCACTTTATTATATAGGCTGGTGCGTCGCACTGGGCGGTACGACGGCTCTCGATACTCTGGGGTCTCAGGCCTTTACCGGTGGCAGTCGTCCCACCGACTTGTCCATCCACTTTCAAAGATGCATCGTTTTGTTATGGATTCTCGTGATTCCTGTCTGCGTTCTATGGGCCTTCATCAAACCCATATTACTGGCGCTTGGTCAGCCTGAAAACCTTAGCAGTGACGTCCAGAGGTTCTTACGTGTGCTTATTATCGGTGCACCGGGATACATCGGCTTTGAGAGCTTAAAGAAGTATCTTCAATGTCAAGGCAAGTCCCAATTTATCGAAGACGAACTTCTGTAACATTTCATAAAGGGATCATGGGAGCCTCCACCGTTGTCCTCGCAGTCGTCTTCCCCATCAACATCGGATTGAATGTACTCTTGGTCCATTTCACATCTTTTGGCTTGTTGGGTTCTCCCGTTGCCTTATCTTTGACTTACTGGGTGGCATTTTTACTTCTTTCTGTCTACACGGCTTGGTCTCCTATTCATCGCCAGAATAGCTGCTGGGGAGGGTTGCAATTGAGTGCGGTATTCCATCCGCACAACTGCTATCTTTTCCTCAAGTTGGCTATTCCTGGAATCCTCATGGTTGGGACTGAATGGTAAGCAGTGAGTGCCTTGAAGTATTTTGGGGTCTTTAGGCAAATTCCAGGGCTGCCTTTGAGATTGTGGCACTGGCTGCAGGTCGTCTGGGCTCGCTTCCTCTTGCTGCACAATCCGTTATCATGACCACGGATCAAAGTACGTTACATTTGGCTGGGTACAGTGATAATTCTGAGTCATATCTCTGTAGTTCTTAACACGCTACCTTTTGGTATCGGAGTTGCGGCGTCCAATCGTGTGGGCAACCTCATAGGTGCTCGTTCTGCCGTCGGAGCAAAGAATGCTGCACACGCCTCTGCTTTACTGAGTGTGATAGTGGGCCTTCTTGTCATGAGTGTCATGATGGCTACCAAAGACGTAAGTAGTATCATTTTGATAGTTGACCAGTTGTGCTTAAGGAAAAGCAGGTATATGGTTATCTATTCAGTAATGATGAGGGTGTTGTTGACCTCGTCAGCAGAGTGATGCCATTAGTGGCATCCTTCCAAGTTGCTGATGGTCTTGCCGGATCCTGCGGAGGAGTGTTGCGTGGTCAAGGTAATCAACATCTCGTATTCCACTATCAGTCTCACGTTTTGTCAAGGTCGCCAGCATCTCGGCGCTTTGTTCAATCTCATTGCATATTATGTGCTCGCCTTACCGATGGGCATTACTCTTGCTTTCCGCTACGATCTTGGTCTCCAAGGTCTCTGGATTGGTACGTGGACTTGTCCAATACTTGTTTCCACTTCTCATCCTCTTTCCTTCATCAAGGTCAAGTCGTGGCATTGTTCACCGTCGGACTGGGTGAATATTCTGTGGTTTGGTTTGGAACTGATTGGGACCTTGAGATTCAGCGCGGCGTTGACAGAAACCGGGAGGAAGCGAAACGAAGATCTATTGGCAGGGCTTCTGGCGAAGAATGATCGTGCAACTATACCAGAATTAAGGAATAAATGCGTATTGTGCAGTTACAAACTTGCATGGCAATATTATACGGAAATTAGTAGCTTCCTTCCTAGTGGTAAAAAATGCTACTACATAAGTCATGTAACGATTGAAGAGTCGACTAAAAATCATGCCACCTATAGAGTAATGCTGTAAGATAAGAACAAAGTGGTTTGAATATTACCTAGCACATGTAGAACATGCGTTCCTCACGCTGAACTTTTTTCATCCATATTTGTGACATCGCCAACATTGTTTACAGGCCCATGGAACCATTTACGGGCGGATGTCACCCATGAGACCGTAGCAAAGATGAAAACAGCGGCGATGAGAACGATCGCGTAGTCTGAATGAAGGATCAACATGTGTCACTGAAGATAGGGAACTGCGGGCAGAAGTCACGTACTCATGTCCTTGGCAGTGGTGTGCTGGCCGGTGGGGAACAACAACAACAACACGATAAAGACGACCCATGATACTGCCACGGTGCCAATTGGAGTGGCCCAGCGACCCAATGTAAATGGGCCGGGGATGACATTATTCCGTCCGGAGGTAACACGCAAGAAAATGGGGACGATGTAAGAAGTATATAATCCGATGACGGAAGCACTGACCGGGGGACGGCATCAGTAAACAAGAAGAATTACAAAAATGATGCACACCCAGCAAGTGAGGTCAGAGCTGTCTCTGAGAACCCGAGTAATCCACAAATACCAGCGAAGAACATGACAAGCCAAGCTGCATTGACTGGTGTCTGGGTTCTGGGATGTATTTTCTTCCACCATCGAGAGCCAGGTAGCGCATTGTCTCTATGGAACTCGAAATCAGAGAAGGGTTAACTTTTCGGGAAAGGATTCTCAAACCTGGCAAAGGCGAATACTACGCGAGACGCATCTACGCCTTGTGCTGCACCCGTGACATACTACACAGAGGTCAGAAAAGGCACTAGTTTGAGAAAAAATACACACCTGAACAACGATGATGAATGACCATATGGTTAACATTCCCCGTTTTCCGAGCACATCCAGGAAAACTTGGCCCATAGGGAGAGGGAGCTCAGTTGCAAGTAGATCAGTGATGGATGGGATAGCGAATGATGTAGCAATTAAAATAATCCATCCAAGACCGGCGGTACCAGCAACAGCAGATATGATGGCAATAGGTGCTGCAACGTCGGCTCCGGAAACCTCCTCAGATATATGGGCAGCAGAGTCATCTGATTATATTCCTAGTAAGTAAGGTGCCTCGACGCCATCAAGATGACCCACATCCTGTCAACGTCCACATCGGCGCGGTGAAGGCTAATAAAAATGCCCAGCCGTCTAGAGGATAAATCTAAGCATGCAGAAGTAAAGTGTTGAAGGAACCTTACTGTTTGACCAGCCGGTATTGTTCTCGAAAAGGGTAAAAGCATCCTTGGTGGAGACCTTGTTGTCTCCCGAAGCAACCAGGAGGGCGATGATTGCGGAGACAGTTGTTCCGACTATATGTTAAACTAGGATCAGTGCTTAATGCCCGAAGCAATGATGACTCGCCGTTTATGATGACATAAAACAAGTTGAGGCGGGCTAGAATTCTGGTGGCCGCGGAACAGACAATGCCATGGGAGAACAAGATCGAAAGAAGAATACCAAAAGTTGCCCCAGAAGATAGATTTGTGGCACCGTCAGAGTTAACAGCAATAGCAGTTGTAATCATTTGAGCACAAGTATAATCAATCGAGCACACGAGCGTAATTTGACCGGTGATGTTAGCCCAACCTGGTGTGAGATGCACGTAAGCTAACGTTCAATGGTCCCACTATAAAATCGAACCTGTAATCCAGCTTGCTAAAGCTGAGTATTGGGGCGGTGCCAACTTGGCGGACCAATAATAAAGACCAGCGCTCGTTCTGACCGCGGGCATTAGCACCAGCCTCAAAGGTAAGGAAAAACATACGGCATCGAAGATGTCAGCTCTGCCATGGCTAGAGCTATGGTCATTACGAATATGCTAGGAATCAACCATCCAAAGACTAAGCCGACGTGCCCGCCTGATGGGATGAGCAGTCGCCATCAAGTCCTGTTGATCAAAGGGAGCAATAAACTTACCGCTCACGAGTCCAAATGATAGAGTAGAGGATACAGAAGCGACAACACCCATAATAGAAAAGGCGAATGCCACGGTCTCGATAAGCTACATTAAAAGTGAGCAGTGACTCGAATTCCATCGCAGATCAACGACTGACGGAAAATTCACGCTTGAACTCACTCTTATAGCCAAGTTCAGCGAGTTTCGCATCATCTGCATGCTGTGAAGGAGGATTAGAAACATCCTGGACCACAGTATGAACCGCAGTGTCGCTTTTGTCACCCTTGAGTAAAGAAGACATAGTGATGGTACAGAACAAGATAGGCTGGGAGTCTAAAGATAAAAAAATGCCATTTCGAGAAGATATTTATCTTTGTGAAGAGTCACATTGACAGGCTCCTATAGGCCGATAGCGTAGCCGAGGGGTTCGAGATAGGATTTCTGATATAGCCGAAAAGTTTGTTAGTGAGCGTTGAGTGCGCCTAGCAACGGGCGCGATCGAAAAGCACGTGGTGTAATTTCATGTGGCAGTGCTTATCTTTTTCTCAAGAAAGGCGTGGTTGGACTCGGATATGCGACCAGCAGATCGCTTAACCCAGCTCATCTTGCGTTAACAAACCAGAGTTTTATAATTTCTAACATTCGGGTTCTTCAAGCTTGGGGATTCAACGAGACTGCATACTATTCCCACGAATTTCCACTTGCGGTCATTTCAAAGCACAAACAGCGTTCCCCGAGGCAAACCTCGCGGTGGGATAACAGGCTAGCTCCTCGCGGACATCATGCTCTAGTCCTCAGACGTGTGTTGGACAATCTAATGTTCGTGTAAGCCACGGCTCACACCGGTAAAACCGCAAACTAAGCGGGCCTAATCATAAGGATGTGTAGGTAAAGTAATACTGTACATGTGCAGGCTTTTAGACGAACATTAACGGATTGATAGAGCATTGCATATTGATGAAGCAAGAGTCCGAAGCGTAAGTGCACCGTCAGTTGTCAGCCAATGTTTCCAACGTCTTGCTCCACTCTACCACCTTAGGATGAGCCATTACCTTGAATCAATGTTACCTCTGGGACCAGAATTTACGAATAATAAGATATACCTTGTTCGGATCAAAGTTGAGTACCTGTAGTCCTTGCAATGACGTAGCTCGAGACAAAGCGACGTACGCTTGGCCTATGCACATTTAGAACGTTACAGCTCGAAAACTAATCACGCTTGCCTTTCTCAAAGACCTTGCCCAGGTCGACCTTTACTCTATCTAACGTCTGTCCTTGTGATTTGTGGATCGACATAGCCCACGATAAGATCAACGGAAGCTTTTGGAGGTGCGCCAGGTAAGGACATGACGAAGATGATCCAAGACTGTTTGCGCACCTGCGATCGACTAACTTGCAGCTCGCCATTTGGCAGCTCTACCTTGGAAAGTTCGGGCATGATCAAAACCCTACGCCTTGTCCCGTGTGGCAGAACAAACTCGACTTCCGGATACAGTTGTACGGCGCCGACAACAGCGTTCTTTTTCGCAGGCTTAGACGGAGGCTTGGATGAAGGCTTGGACGATCCATCCTCCAAAAGGGCCTCAACATCGTCCTCAATCCCGTATGTCATTGGGTCGACGAATCGCAGAACCCGTCCCATAGAACCGTTCACCAAACTGTCATCCGTATTTTTTATGAGCATGACCTGGTATGGAGATGTCACTGAAGTTTCGAGATCGATGAAATAACTTCCTACCTGCGCATCCCTTCTCAATGTGAGTACCTCTGGAGCCATGAAATTTGACAACATTTTCTTTCCTGCTTCGGTCAAAGCCAGTGGACCACCGTCCACAGCAGTGTAGGTTCTGGCTTCTGTTTGCAGACTGCTCAAGCGTCCACTATTAGACCTATCGACTTCTTCGCGACGCGGGAATCTGGGATACGATTCAAATAACAGCCCTGTATTAAAATATCGTCACTCACAGTTCAGTCGGCCCAAGTCCATCATCGTACTCTATATTCCTTGCCAAGGAGCGGAATCTGGCGATTGATGTGGCGGACAAGCAGCCAAAACGCATTTCATTCAGCATGTTGACAAATTCTAGTCCAGAAGTTAATAGATACTATGCAGACACTGGCGGATGTCTCACTTTGATCTGTCTGCCTGAATACCTTTGTAAGATTAAACGTTCTCTTAATGGTTTCACTCCACAGTTTCGCCTCAAAAGCGAATTTGACGCCAGACTTTCCGACAGGTGGCAACTGGAAGAAATCGCCGGTCACAACGAGCTGTTGAGTATTTAGTGACAAATCTCAAAATATTATATGAACCAACTTGAATGCCTCCAAAGGGTTTCGTGGTACTTTTCAACCTACTTCCGACTTGAGCAATTTTATCGAAAAGATCACCGTCCACCATCGACACTGTATAATGTTCACTGGGCGTTCGCTAAAGAATGTGTGGAGTGCGAACCTTCATCAATGATCAAAACCTTCGTCCTTATCCACCGGGAATAAGCTTTTTTGTTTTTCTTGACTTTATTGACTAGTACGTCTGCGGAATCTGTACCAAGACCGATACCAGAGAAGGAATGGATCGTAACGCCTCCGATATTGCAAGCCGCGATACCTGTATGGCGGTGTAAGCAGCATTGAATCTATACACTTGGCGACCTTACCTGTGGAAGCGGTGATAGCAATAGCATCGGAAGACTTAGGCCATTTCTTCTTCAACGTTTTGATGATTTCGCGTAGGAGCACGGATTTCCCGGTACCTGCGAAGCTGTGCGTCAAGCAAAGAGTATCATATATGCGCTAATACACTCACCGGCACTACCCGTGTAAAACACACTTTCTCCATCTTCAACCAATTTGAGGATCCGCATCTGTTCCTGGCTCAGAACGACGGACACGACTGTTCTTTTCTTCTCCTTGCTTAAAGACAAGATGTAGGCCTCCTTTATGCCTGTATGTTTTGTTGCAGAAGATGAACGCTGGACCTTGGACTCCGGGGCTTCAGACCAGCTGTCTGGGAGCTTTCTGGCTTTTTTGGGGGGTGCAGAGTTAAGATCAGCGGCGGAAGGTTTACTGGGTCGCTTGTTCCACGACTTTGACGACGCTAGTGGCTCCTTCGACGGCATGGAAGTCGGAGACTTTTTCTCAGTAGAAACTGACTTGCCAGCGAGAGCATCCTGAATGTCTTTCAGCCGTTGTTGTTGGCCAGTAAGAGGCTTGGACCGGGATGCTGGAGGTGGACTGGGCGACCACTCGAACTCCTGAGAAGACTGCGGCATTACTGACGACGACGAAAAGTCGCGTTTGAACGTCCGCAGGCCGGATTGTGCTTTCGAAGACATTGTCACTATGGTCGTTGACGTTGAGGATGGTTGAGATTTGTCTTAGGAATTGTTTGCAGACAGTTTACATAAACCACGTGATCGCATTGACGCGTCTCGCGGTTGGTCACACAATCTTGACGGTTTTCGCGTACAACGACTCTACTACTTTCCCTACCTGCTCCAGCGTATCAATCGCAGCAATGTACATATTCTGGTGAAAAATCAGCGTGGCAAGAGCTTCCAATTGTCGGCCGTCTTACATCAGGCTTGGGCTCGTCGAACACGAGTAGGCATCCACGACCTTGGTCAAGTACACCATGGAAGACCTTGTCCAAAATCATTTGTGATAATCTGTGAGTTAGTGAGTGGACATGTTGAAAAACACCAAACAAGCGACGAACTTTGCCTCAACAGCTTGTCGACCTTGTCCGACAGTGTCGGCAACGTACTCAAGCTCTACCACTGAGTAAGGCTCAACGATTCTCAGCAAATTTTGCTCCAGGAGAGTGTCATATAGCGCCGCAAGATGTGATCGTATTGTAGGGTCGGACGACAATTCTGCAACGTAAGATCAGATGAAGCAGTCACATAGTCGCGAAATTCACGTACCGTCCTTGTAATCCCTCAGCGCTTTCTCGAAGTCAGCCAAATTCCTATCTTGATGAGCCCGCGCTACGGCCCTCATGCTTTCGACCTCTTTGAGCTGTGCGTATTTAACGGCCAGCTTTATTGAAAGCAAAGATGTGACATCCTCAGGCTACAAGGCGTATGTGAGAAAGCAGGAAAGCGATGTGAAAGACAACGTACAAGGTTGAGCATAACTTTGCACAAAAGCATGTATTTCAGAGCTCCGAGTGCTTTGCCATCATCTTCCCCTTGAGCAGACAGATTTTCAAAAGCTTCAAAGAAGTAAGAGTAGGCAGTCGTGTAGTCTTTGTCTTCGGCATGGAGGATACCTGCAGAGAAGGCATCAGGCTGCAGAATTTTCAAGACCTTGGAATACCGACCGGATTGAAGGTCAAGAGACGCTTGTAGGTATGGAGGACAGTAGATTGAATTGGCAGCGGTTCGTGAGGAAGTCAGAGCAGCCTAGGATACGGACATCAGTACTCTAAAAGTCATTCGAATATTTGGCACCCACCTTGGCTTTAGGAAGGTTTCCAATTCCTCGATACACCCTGCTCTCAAGCAGATGTACCTCCGTCAAGACCATCTTATCATCGAGGCGCTTGAGCTCAGTAAGCAAAGTTTCAATCATTGCTAACGCAGGCTTGTATTGCAATTCCTCCAGTTGTCTGCGAGGGCTCGAACGTCAGTTTGTGTCAGGTCAAGCGACTGAAAACACTAACAATCCCACTAGCCTCGTTTCCAAACTGTGCTTCAAAAATATCCTCTTCTCTTGCTTGGCCCACTCGATGTTGTCGTGCAAAACACTCATCTGCACTTGCTGGCTGTCAGGAATGGCATTGAAGTAGTCCAGAAGGGTGCGAACTGTATATTGCGCGACATTAGTATAGATGGTGGCAAATTGACTAAGATATTGACTCAGTTTGGCCGTTTTTGCCTTAGCCGTGGAGGACATAAATGATCTTGACAGCGTAATAACCTCCGCAACGCCCTGGGCATTCCTGTAAAGCATTCATAGGCTCAATACCCTTGTGAAGAACGTCGGAAACACAACACACTTCTGATCCCGGTAGAGTTGCCCAAGGTTGACAAGCGCGGTCTCCTGGTCCCTCAGCGTTTGCGTCTTCTGTTGCTGGACATCTTTTGAAGTACTCGGCGCCGACGAGGACGATGTCAGTATCTGCTTGTACAGAACCTCGGCACGCACAGAGTCGATCTTTAATGCAGCATCCGCTTCTGCCAAGAGCTGTGCCGTCGTCAGGGCAGACATGGGTAATGTGGAGAGGTGGAGAAATGAACAGATGCAAGGCGAACGCGCGTCGACACGCCCTGAGAACGTGATACCATTTTTAGTGGAGGTCATTGCCGTGCAACGCAAGCTCGGCCAAACAAACATCTCTAATGACGACCAGACTAAGGCACCGACCACAGGTTGAAGAAGAGGATGCATCGGCGCTGAAGCTTGGACCAGGTGCATATATAGCCATCTATTTTTCTTTTTCACTTACCAGGAAGACGGCAGAGTTCAACAATGCCGGTTGTCTACTCATTTCCGAGGTCAAATATCTTCTCGAGAACAGGGACAAGGATGCCCCAGATACTGCGTGCGTATGGCTGCTGTGTCGACGAATACGTGTTAAACGCTACATGATGGTAGAGTGTATAACAAAACATTAGACTATGTGAAAACATTCACGAAATTCAACACCACGGACTCCGCAAGTGCTGTTCGCGAGTACGTTCCGACGTAGACCAAGAATGGAAGGCTGATATCATTCAAGGACCCTGCGACGGGAGCCAGCCCTGACTCAGTTCGAGACCGCACAAATTGCCAATCTATGTCCTGCGACGGCAGAAGAGGCAAAGAGTGTTATTCCGAGGTGTGCAGGTGTCCAAACTTGATGTTTCCTGTGTTCACCGTCTCTTAGTCTCGTCAAAATCGACGACGATCGGCTCCAAGCCTTATTGGATGAAATTCAGACGATGCGGAAATTCCAGTCTTAGGCTGCGAGTATTATGCTGAGGATACTAGGTTTTTAATAAGGTCAGCCTTCCATCTCCTCCAACGTCTTCTTATCCATTCGAACATCCTCTTCTTCGCCCTCTTCATCTTCTATTTCGACTTTTCCTTCCTCATCATCCTCGAAATCAGTTCGATTGAAGATCTTCCTCTCCTTGAAAGGTTGAAGGCGGCGTTCCCCATCCTTAATCACGGAAACATCGGGTATTGTTCCCTCTGGGTTGTAATATAGCAAGTCCTTGCCTGCATAAGCATCCACAGACCGTACCCAAGCGTCGAATCTAAGTCATATCAAATTCTAAACTAGTATGGAGAACAAGAATAAACTCACAGGCCTTTCCGGTCCTCAATGCGGCGCATGCTGGTATAGATGAATTTTTGTTTGAACTCTGCCATCTTCTCAGCTTGCTTTGCGAAGTCGATAGGCGGACGGTAGCTTGGATCCGAAGACTCCAGGTTCTGATTAACTGGGACAACATTCATATTGTAGACATCATAGATGGGACATTCCAGAAGCAAACCAAGAGCAGGCATTTTTGGAATTACCATTCGGCGCAGACTGTACAGCTGAATTCACTCAAGTCAGAATGTATCACTTGTGATGTGTAGAAACACACTTCATTGATGATGTTATCAGGCGTCGCAGTCCTGCACGACATGACCAAGGCGAACATCATTTTCCTCTGAGGCAGGAAGAAGGTGAGATACGGAATCAAGGCGAGATAAATGAGAACACACAATCTAATCAAAAAGTTAGCACCACACGGGAAGCTAGACAAGTATGGGTTGTACCTGATGCAGCATGAAGCTTTGACCGTGGAATACAACCGGTATCCATTCTGTGTCTCCGTGTGTTTGAGGATCAAGAATCTGTGCAGCAGCATTTCAGAGAAGACACCTCTAAGTGACGGTAGGCCTGACATCGACGACTTTCATGTATCGTTTGTTCGTTCCGTCCTTGGGATTGCGCGCGACGGTAAAGTTATGGAAGTTGTGAGTCCCTTCGTATCTTTTTGCAGTAGTTCGTAATCGTTCAAGATGTACCGAAGTCGCCCTCCACGAGCGCTTACGGCGTAACTCTTCTTCCAAAGTAAGCGTCTTGAGATCCAAATTCGTCCAAAAATCGTAGGCAGGAGAGACAGGACCCGAGGGCAAAGTGCTAGTATACTGCTCAATGTTCCGGAATAAGGCACTGCCTGGTTTTGGGGGTATCAAAAGATACGACGGAAAGAAGTACGTATATTTTCGACTATCACATAGTCTAGAGAACGATGAATCCGAAAGCAAGAGTACACATGCGAATGACTTACAAGCGTGCGTTGAATGAGTTCTTCGTTCGGACCTGTAGGTTCGGATATTGGTTTCATCCCCATTTGAAGACAATAACGCGGCTTACGAAGTCCCAGACGCGAATATCTGGAGGAAGCTCCTCGTTTATACGCGTTAACATGTCGCCCTGGCCTGGAACGAAGGGAATCATTTTGAGGGATACCACATTACCCGCTGCATGTACACCTGCGTCTGTTCTAGCAGCGCGTTGCAAATTCACCTATGAAGATTGATGAGTAGGGATGAAATATAACATAAGATCCCGATGTACCTTGACCGGGTCATCAGAATTGTCTTTGGAAATAGCACCAGCTCTGACGAGAGCATCAAACAGTGTACCCTCAATAGTAGCTACTTGGCTATGACCGGGTTGGGCCCTCTGACTGGAAAAGAAATTGCATTGCGATTGAACATAAAAACATCATGTTGAGACGTACAATTGCATCCCCCTGTATCCCGAACCGCAGAATCCCAGCAGAAGAGCACACATCCGTTTGGGCAGACGCGGTTCCTTCGAGTGTCCCTCTCCTTCTGGTCTTGGGCCTTCGACGCGAGTCCCCCTGCTTCGCCGTCCAACATTCTTCTTCTCTTTCCGCTTGCTTTTACCCTTTTCTCCACCCGACGGTTTTGAAGATGTAGTATCCTCGTCGATATGAGCAAGATCATCCACCAGGGTATCAGAAACTGGAAGAATAACGTCCATGGCTGTCGTCTTATCGGACCCAGTTTCGGTGACTTCTCCGTCTAGAGTCTTCAGGCGTTTCGCGGGTGGCTCTGGATCTACGTTGGCTTCCTGTCCGGGCCATTTACCTCCAAGAGCATCAGCAGAAGAAGACATTTTGCGGTTCGATGTCATTGTCGGCGTCGTGCACGAGTGGCTGCGTAGGAAACAGGGAGCCAGAGAAATTCCACGAGTGTAGCAGTGGCCTCCCCAAGAGCAGATGACCGTTTTAAGCATCAACTTCTCTTTTTGATCTTATAGCGATCATATAAGATAATATTCACAGACCAACAACCCAGTCAATAGTCTATGTTGTAGTAAATACCGTTAAATTTTCAAAATATAAAACCCATGGTCCGCTCAAAGAAATCTAGGCAGAAGAAAAGAAAAAAACGAAAAGAAGCATCAAAGGCCTCTCATTCCACTTGCATCCACCACAGCACCCTCACAGGCAACGTACGATCCCACAAGTTCCGAATACACTAGCGCAGTATCTGGGTTTGGTATTGCAACACACTTCATCCCAAATGCTGCGGCGTCAATTCCAGAGCACATCTCTTCGAATGTACCGTATGGTGCTGCGGTCGCTTTCCACCAAGCAAACCGTGCCAGCAATGCCCCACCCATCGCAGCAGCTTCCTTCGTGGCGCTAATATACACCTTCATGTCAAAGAGGTCTGCGGCCAGCTGACGAATAGTCTGATTCCCTGACGATCCCCCAGAGACAACCAACCGTGAAAGCCGAGGCGCGTTAGGGGGCAGAATAGCGGTGATCCTGGACCGGATCGAGAGGAACTGCGATTCTAGGATCATCCGTGGGTGAAGGCCAGCAGGAACTTGAGATTCAGCTAGCCTCACTGGGGCATTGGGACCTGATATTTGATAGAAGAATTCGCCTTTGACACCCGGAGGGATAATTTCGGGCAATGGAAAGTATAAACCCATGTACCCATTACACCCTGGCGGTGCGGCCTCTACTAGTTCATTATATTTCGACCAATGACCACCGGTGTACCGATCCCGTACTTGCTCTCGGGCAAGAGCGCCGTTCTTGTAACATAGCATCGCAATCTGAGCATCTGGTGCTGTTGTAGGGTGTGCCAGAAGGTGTGAAGTAGTGAACCGTTTTGGAGGCGTTAGAGAAGGGGGGATAGAAAGCAGATATGTGGTGGAAGTTCCCAAGGAGAGCAACGCATCTCCTGGGAAGGAAAGTGCAACCACAGTCGCCGAGTTGTCACCAGTGAATGGGGCTATAATGCAGTCTGAAGAGATGATATTCAATTAAAATTACGAGGGTGGCTAGTGAATGTACTGACGTGCACTGAAGCCCCACCTTTCTACCCAGTATGGGCTAACCGTACCGAGGGTCGTTCCGCCAGCGACCGGCTCAGGACCAAGTTTTGCATGCAACTCAGGGCCACCGCATGCACCAATAAGCCTGTCGTCCCACTTACATGATAGGATCTCCATTAAGTTCATGCCGCTAGCGTCCGATATTTCAATGGGTGCGATCTTGCCAAGAAACAAGGACGGCATAAACGAAGAAACCAATGATACACGGGACGTAGCATCATACACCGCATTATTACTTCTACGGATCTGTGCAAATGAACGGTCAGAGTGTTCCAGGCGCTTCCACAAGCTACGATACGCACCTTAGAAATTTGCGAGCCAGTAAAACGTTCGTATGCGCGACTTCCACTAATATCCGTGAGGGCTTGGGCGCCGCCGACGGCATCTTCCAATTCACGGCATTCACGAGTGGTGGAAAAGTCTTGCCAGATGGGTGCTTTCTGCAATGAGAAAGCCTTCGGGCATAGCTGACTAGACAAATTCTTCGACGCATTCAAGTTCGCTAGAAGAGCTCCGGCGTCGTGGGACCAATAAACAGAGCCGTGTTGCTATCAAATAAAATTATCGAAGAGTTACGACGAGGCATTCACATCGATAAAAGATCCACTTACTTGTCCGTCCCCAGATATGGCTGAGATAGCAGAGAAGTCGACTCCCGCTGCCTTCATACGAGTCATAATAAGATCGTAGGCTTCCAACCACATCTCTACCGGGGACGCAACTTCGCCCTCTAAGCCTCGAATAGCACCGTTGATAGTTCCATAACCAGGCAAGTCGCGGTCAAAGTGAACCGTAGACTCGTGGACGATGGAACAATCCTCCTGAACGAGGACAGCCTTCAGCCCTTGAGTCGATAAATCAAGGCCTAAAAACAAAGGTTCCATATTAGAATGGGAACGTAGGAAAGGACGAAGAAGCTGAGGGAAAACTGACCAGTCTTTTTTAACCCCGCCGGCCCGGGAGGACCAAGGACGTGAGAACATCAGTGTGCAAGCTTTTTACTGGACCCGATTCTCCTATAATCAAAGCATTCTGTCTTGACTATCAGCACAAACTTCCAAGGGTGGAGAATGCAAAACCTGGACAAAACTACGGCAGCGTTTCGTTGTTCCACTTGAAGACGACTGCTTGTTGGAGGAAAACTTCAACTGCGGGTCCGACATAATTAGCCCAATCGTCACAACACAAACAAATCACCTACGATTATCTGACAGCCTTCTACGGACCTTCATTCTTCCTGTTCCACGGGATCAAAAGACTCTCGATAGCAAAGATACACATTCAAACCTTTCTATTGTAGGTAATATCACACTCCTCTCTCCTACAAGAAACATATAATAATGAGAAAACTCGATAGCAAAAACACTCAACACTACTGTAACACCGCTGGATCAGACCAACGAAAAGAAAGGAGGTACAACTTTTAGGTCGGCATGGCCAACACTGAGGGTTCTTTACTTGCTTGTCCAGAACCGTCGAGGTTGTAATCCTCCGAGGACATGGTCCGAATCTGCTCAGTAATGTTCGAACCAGATATAGGATCCCGAACGCGTCTACCGTCGTTTTCCTTCTCCTGCTTCCCATTCGTATGAGTCGCCATAGGGCGCTTGACGACTTTGGGATTGTAGAGTTCCGTGGCCCTCGGCGGCGGCCGCTCGAACATACGGTCCGAGTCTTCCAACCGGGACTGCTGAGTGATGGGAGGGTTGATGTTATTAGGATGATGAACTAGAGCATTGCCTTGTCCAGGGTTTATGAGGAGGGATCGAGTCGAAGATGAATTGGTCCAGGCCCCAGCAACCACGGGCGCACGTTTTTCCGTTGGCGACAGCGACGAGAGAGGAGGGAAGTCGTTCGAATGTAACGGTACGGACTGGTGATTGCTCGGAAGCCGTCGGGGAGAAATGCCCTGATGAGAACCACTGCTCAGGTTGCGAGGAGGTGTAACTGGGGACATATTGCGGGAGTTGTTAGATGAGTGATCATGATGGCGATTGTGAGTGGCGTGAAGTGTAGGATCTGGCTTCAGACCTACTGCCCAGTCAGGTCGAGCCGGAAGAGGATGTTGCTGCTGCGACGACGTTGATGTGTATGTTCTCCGCGACGACGAAGACGTTGTAGATGACGACTAAAGGCGGTCATCAGGTTGAACGTTACAGAAAGAAATTTAAAAAGACAGCTCACCGCAGTAGACGAAACCTCATCCCAATTTGATGATCTGTAGTTGCCTGAACTTCCATTGCTATGGTTGGATTGCCTTCGAGTAGCATTGAATCGAGGTCCAATTTCATTTAACCCTACAGAAGCATTCCCGTTGTATCCACTGATACCTGGACCATAACTCCACGCATGTCGAGGCTGAGGCGGATTTCTGCCTTTGCCTCCTCCGTTGAAATGGCTGTTATCGTTACGGTTAGAACGAAGTGCGTTGCTGTATTCGCCTCGGCCATTGTGGTTCGCATGCTGATTCATGTCGGAGCCACCAAATGGGACTTCTACAGGCACTCTAGGATCATACAACTGTCCCATCATGGAAGGAGGCGGGGGAGCCATTGCCATATGTTGTCCCGGCTGGGGTGTGTAGTAGCCAGGCATAGGGTACATATAAACCGGGGGAGTGTAACCTTGGAACGAAGAAGGGTTTTGGGTTTGAGCGGTCTGATGAGGACCGTTTACCATAACTGGACCCTCAGCAGGTGGTGATCCCCGAGGTACTGGCAGAGCTGCAGGTCCAGGCGGAGGATGTGGATGAGCCCATACATACTGATTATGATATGGCAAGTGCGGTGTAGGGGAATAAACCTCGCCGCTGGATCCTGACGGAGGATCGGATGGGTTCTGCTGGACTGCAGGTCCATACGAGAAGGGGGTGAAGTAGGAATACGGGGTAGCCACATAAGCCGGATTTGGAGGTTGCCCAGAAGGAACGTAGGGGTAGAAGTAGTGTGTCGCTTGGTACCCAGGGATAGACACCGGGCCAGGATGTTGAAGGCCATCGTAGGGTGGGCCAGGAGCGGCGGGCTCATAGAGACTTGCGTACGTAAAAGAGGAAGGAGACGACGCACGAGAGTTCCGCGAACTGCCAGCTCCATTCGAGCTGAAAGGCGTCGCTGAACCTCTCAAGGAGCGGTTTGAGTTCCCCGACCGCTTCTTGTCCCGACTAAAAGATGGTGCAGACCATTCACTTTCGGTAGCAAGAGAACTGGCCGAATCTTCAAAGTCTGCAATACTGCCGCCGCTCGTTGAAGCAGAACCAGAAACGACACTGAGTGAAGACGAACTTGCACTCACGTCCTTCTCCTTCTCCTCAAAGTCCATGAAGATACGCGATCTAGCTTCATTGTAGGCTGCCTCCCGTTCCTCAATAGTCATCCGCTTCTTGCCGCTGCCGCCAGTTGCATTGCTGCGGCCCCCAAGGCTGCCAGCCTCAGAAGGCTCCACGTCAGACAGATCGGCGTCTTCGCCATTAACGGAACCAGCCTGCGAATGGGGCTTTTGTCGGCGGTCTTGCTGATTCCGCCGCATGATTTGAAAAGCAGGAGAAGCCGTTAACTCGGGAGGTACAAGATCTGCTAGCTTCCGCGCAGGGCTACGAGAATATCAGCCAATGAAGGGCCTGAAAAAACAGAATTTGACATACATGCGACTTTCAGGCGTGGCTGAAACGAAAAGACCTTTGGTCACTGGATCATTTTCTGGGATAAGCTTGTAATAAGCGGAGCATCGGTGGACAAGAAGCCGTTGGTAGGATGTGGCGGGCGTCAGATCGACACGGACCCTCCAAATAGAAGAAAAACGTAAGCATCCACACGCTATTATAGACAAAAACTCAAGCAGCAGCGGTCCATCGCGTGACAATGCGTCGCAGACATAAACAGCGCTTAAAGCGATGACGCTCACCTTCGTTCAGTAATGAGCCCCTCCATGAGCTCCCCAAGCTTCAGGACATATATTCTGTCTTTACTCCGAAGTGCCTCAAGTATTTGTGGGTCGATGTCGGGAGATTGACTTTGAGAGATGGCCTCGACAACGACGGGCAGGTCGCCATCGAAACCCTGGACGTCGCCAGGTGATGACAGCATATTAGGATTGTCATCGTCGGTAAAAGAGTGTGTGGAGTCCGGGGTTGATTCAATCGTATTGTCTCCGTTGGAATTGCCAGCGAAAGAGTCCGTCGGATTGGCGTCAGACATAGTCGTCGGTACCGGCGAAGATGAGGAGGCTCGTGAGCTGGAGAACGAGGAGACGGATGAGTCAGATAGGGACTGAGGGATATTCTGTTCTAGAAATGGAGGAAAATGCGGATTGTCCGCAGCGTCAGTGATGCTGGTTGCTGGGGGGCACAGAGAGTACCCACCAGTGGCCATATCGAATGCTGGGAAGCTCTGACGACGAGCAGGTGGTGATATGAGGGAGAGGATAGCAGTAAGGTCAGGAAATGAATTGCAGCATGGACGTCGGTGGAGACATATCAGGTTTGAGGGCAAGAAAACAAGCCGGTGTAAATGACCTGTTGGCGTGTGAACTCTTATCCCTATTTGTCTCAGCCATATGCCGTCCAGGCAGGGCCCACTGCTATATTTTCGATGGGAGAATATCCTAGCATTCTCAGTGTAAAAAAAAGGACATCTGTCTTGTACGTGTCAAGCCTAGGTACCTCCCAATAATTCACGTCAAGCTCAAACGAATTCTATGGTCGATTGAAATAAAATAAATACGCCCCCATGGGAGGGCTCGCTTGCAAGATTGATGGAATCAACGATCATAGCTAGTATTGCTGGCAAATCTACCCCTGGACCTAGTGGCGATCGCATTCATAGCAGCAAAGTTAAATAATAGGCGCGACAACGCACCCTGCACAAGGACATTGATTGCGATCCCAATGTCCTCAACCCCAGTATACCGCATGACGATGCTTTCATGTCGGCTTTGCATTTTTTCAATCCTTTTCAAATGTCCTGTCGTACGATCAGGTACATGTAGCAGACCCTACCACTGCAAGAAATTCGTTTCTATCAACGCATGTTACTGCATATTCCAAGTAAAGATACATGTGCATGTAGGGCAGATCTATATATTGACGTGTTTCAATGAGCGGGTCCCCCACCGGACGGTGTGATAACCTGATAGATGTTGAACCCTAGGCTACATTATCCATGAGCGAACATTATTACGGACATAAACATGAAAGATATACGTACCAGAATACGAAGATGCATGAGCCGTATATCATCAGCGCAAAAGCCAACCGATTCAATGTCTGTACACTAGGATCGTCACGCGTCAACTATGAACATAAGCAGGCGTTCTCAGAAGCATACATCGAAACTTACCTTCCAGTAAAACAAACCAGGAAGAATGAAAGATATCGTTGTCGATCCAGTGGAACCAACAAATGAAAGCACTACGCATGCCATTAACGAAACGTTCAAACGTACCACCATGCAACTTACCCATTTGCAGGTTATCGACAAAATAAGCAATCGTGAATCCGCTTGCAACGATGGCAGAAGTGAGCAAAGAGTGCTTCAACGGTGTCATAACGGCGCTCGGTAGCTCATCGAGATTCTCCTCCTCCTCATCGTCATCATGCACAATTGCTTTGGCCGACGGAACGCTCCCGGCGTGGAACACTTTGTCTAGGCAATTCCGACAGGGATGTACTTGCAGAGGGTACGAAAATAGGACCAGGATAACAACAGCCAACTGTCCCACGGCGACGAAAAGTGACGTCGGGGGGTACATGGCAATAATGTTGGCACCGACCTTGTAATTTCTTAATGGTGTGAAAACGACGCCATCAAAGTAAACCAACCTTAGAGCCAAATGTAAGATATCCAAAGACTGCGATAATCTCATAGGTCAGAGTTGCAGTGCCAATAGATGAACCAACAACGATGTTCATTCGTTCCTGTGTGTTGCTCTTGAGCTCGTTGTAAAGAGGGAAGAGCTATCAAAAAGGTGTTTAGAAATATAACACAGACATTCGAGCAAAAAGACTGACATTCTGGGCGCAGGTAAAGGCGAAAACTTGAACAGGAAATGTCGAAACAAAACTGGGTGTAAAGTGCACGAAATGTACTTCTCCAGGAGATGGCATATTTTTCGTAGGCCACCAATAGTACTTGATAACAATAATTATGAGGTAAGCTATAGGTGATATCGCTGAATTCAGGGACGGGCAATGCAGACAGACATGACGCACCTACTGAGAACAAGGCGACATAACTGGTGTGTCTAAGACTGTGTAGATGCTTCAAAAAGGCCAAGGGAACCAGAATGATTGAGAACAGCATTATCCAGTTCCGGCCGGACGATGCCCATGCTGGAACGTGGGCATCGGAGGCAACAAGGTCGTGGTATAATGAGGCAACAACGTTCGGCATCAGGCCTTTAATTATAATCAGGTAACTGCAACTTGCATGAGAACAGGACCAAAGCGAGGTGGCAAGAACCGCGACGTTTCGCACCTAATGGACACCCCAAAACACTTGATAGCAATTGCCGCGTCGAAAAATACTGCGGCCTTGGGAAACGTGAGCTGTGCGACAGCAAAGAATGAGGAACGGCGGTGCGGTGCCTTGGCGGCACACAAGGACAAGAGATACAAGCCAAAGGCGGCGACAGATCCGGAGAAGAGGCAGGTGATCATTCCAGGCAATATCCCAGCAGAAGCCATGGCCTATGATGAGAATTTATTAGCGATCAAACGCCTCTTTATGTACAGAACAGAACGAACCAAGGGAAACGTGAGCATTCCTAGTCGCCATTCAGTTAGTCACGAGCTCAAAGCAATAACGAAGACACTCACCGCTGCCGACAATAGTATTGCACAGATTACTGACGCAACTCACGACGGTTGCATGACCATCTGCCTTGGCTTCCCGTTTCACCGTCGTGTCTCGATTCCCGCCCAGTAATGCGCTGGATTCTGCGGCCGCAGTGGTTCCCGGAAGATCCGGCGTGCGTACGCTGTTGACAGCGCCATAATTCTCCATCTCAAAATCCTCAAAGTCGCTCTCCAGATTCTACGCCGTGGTGGTGGATGGATGAAGGATCCAATCCAGTGAGATAAGGAATAGACAATCTGTTATGTATGCTTCGGATTGATAGGCAGACCTGCCGGTTCCAGCATGTTTCCGGGCGCCGGGCAGGATGAATCATGGCAGTTTTTTTTCCCAGCACGTGCTGAAAACACAGCATGGAATAAAAAATTAAAATACCGTAGGATGGTATGTACATGCATGGCTCAGAAAAGAAAAAACAAATGCGCTACTTCTTCCCAAAGAACGACATCATTGTCTGCTGCCCACTCTTTCCATTAGTCAACTTTTTCATGAGTGCTGGTTTCAACTCTTTCTTCGCGGCCGGTTTGGGTTTCGGAACTGGCGCGTCACTGTCCTCGTCGACCTCTTTAACCCTTGATGTCTTGGATTTAGCTTTCGTTGGCTCTTCTTCTTCGTCGACAGATTCATATGACGAATAGTCTTCTGTCACTGGAATACAACATGAGCGAGTTGTTGCCATCGAAGCCAGCCATTTGCGTACCTATGTAGCCCTTGGCATCTATACTTTCTCGGCTCTTTATAACCCGTTTCTTCTTCAGTCCGTTACGACCGACAGGAATAACCTTCTTCTCCTTTCTCTTTTTCTTGGGCGCTGGTATTGTCTCGTCCACCATATCCACATCGTCCGTTTGCTTCGGAGGTTCTTCCTCTTCCTCCTCCTTCTTGACAGCTTGCACATCTCGCGAAGCACGGATGACTTGGTCTACACGCATATAAAGATAAGGTCGAGTAACAGAGCGATTAAAGAAACAAACCATCATCAACATCCATCATGGCTCTTAGATCTCTTTCTGCTTCACTATCAACTTCCGTGGCAGCTCTGGATACCTTCCTAGATGGCTTCCGAGTGGCTATTCTGGGCATATCTTCTTCTTCCTCGTCTTCTGATACAAGCGCACCCTCCTTAACTTTGACGCCTGACTCTTTTTTGGACAGAGGCTTCGAGCGAGACGAAGATGAACCATCCTCAGAATCAGATATTAAGGCAGATGCAGACTTGCGCTTTGTACCCCTCTGAGGTGGATTGAGCCAAGGTACGCAGAAGAAGAGAGGATGAGATAACCCTACTTTGGGCTGTTCCTTCTTGACCAGTGTTTCAGTCCCTTCTTGCTTCACGGGGTTCTTGTTAGCTTCGGTACTCAATGGTTTCAAAGGCTGCTTGGGTTTGGCTTCCACCTTAGCTTCTTTTGGCTTTTCCTTCGCAGATTTGGGTTTCGATTTGCTCCAGTCCAGCGTACCCGATTTAGCAGGTTGGACTTTCTTGGTTTTTTCCGGAGGCTTTGGTTTCGAAGTTGTCGCCATCAGTGAATCGCTAGCTTTAATTTTAGAGGGACCGGCAACTGGAGCAGCTGGTATTTTCTTCATTTTCGTACGATCCCTTGAGTTGTCAGCCTTCTACGATAGCAGTCAGAACGCCTTTGAAGCAAGGAACCACGGGGCGAATACCTGAATATCTTCACTTATAACTTTTCCAACTGTCTTTGCTAGCTCCTCTCCTTTTTCCAGATCGATTTGTCGCAGTTTTTCAGTCGGTACGCAGAGGAACCCTCCATCCTGAAACGTGTGCTAAGCGGCGAACATGACAAGGAACATACAAATGACACACCAGAACAGTTGAGGGAGACAAAGAATAGATATGAATATCGTGGATTTGGGAGTATCGCATTTTTGCCGCTGTTCAAACTACGTTGATTGTATGCCACAACATATTAAAAGACACGGCACGCACATTCAAGGTCGCCCTCCCCAACCACCGTGAATCCAGATTCCGCGACGGGCTCTGTCTCATCATCGTCGTATCCGTCGCTGTCCACGATGTCCTGTTCTTCTGCGTCAACATCCATATCTTCACCGTGACGTGTCTCTTGTTTCAAAATCCCCGATATGATATAGGTGGCAGCGACATCCTGAAGTTCCACAGAAGCATTTTCATAGTACGCGGCAAGTTCACTGAGCGGATTTTAGCCAAAAATGTATCAAGGACGCGGTAATCGCGTACTTTTTGGCGACATTGACGTGCACACACAATTCGCGACTGAAAGACCGGTATGTCACCTACGAGTAGGGCTATGGTCAGTGAGGAAAGACACACAAAGTATGCGACTTGCAATATTTTTCTCGATGAGCAGCTGCTTCGTCAAAAAGTCGTCCACAATCTTGGAGGCCAACATCAACGTATGAGAGAAAGAAATATTGACTGAAGCTTCCACGGTTCCGGCATTCACGTGATCCACACAGCCACCGTCAAATTGAAGCCTTGTTTGCATGATATAAGAACAGATAAGAACGTGGAGCTTCTGCTTCCCTCCTCAGCGTTAAACAAACTCTGTGAGGGTGGAATCATATCTACCTTTTGTATTGTTTTGCATGGTGCGTTCTCTACAAATGAAGTACATAGCTTCGCCACTCTCCTTAATCTTCCTGTGTGTTGTCGATTCCACTGCAGTAGACTCAACACACTGGCACGCAGAGATGCGTTTCACGGCATCAAGTTGAACCTACCCCAGCCGGCAGTCGCCTGGATTCGCGTACCAGTCACTTCCCCGTGATCCGTGACTTACAATCCTGTGTTTCCATTTTACGCACAATGCCGGCGTCGTTTGTTCGCTCAGGCTGAATCATACCATCAGTCAATTGATCCCTCTTCGACACGAGGACGAGAACGAGAACAAGGCTGCGACCACTGCGACGCTACGAGTAATTCCCAGAGGAAGCAGTGACCACCACGCGGATGGACATTGTACTTTCAAAGTCCTTCAGGCTTCGCAGTTAACGGATCTTTGGTCCGTTGTTACTCTCTTAGTAGGTATCCTTTCAGGACCCCTACTTGTTTTATTGTCTGCTAAAATACAATCGTTCAGGTTCATTCTCAAATTGTCCAGGCCGACCCTCTTGTCACTGTGTGCATGTGCAGGGCTACACATTTCTCAGGCAATGTCCTGACAAAAGAATAAAGCGGCGTGTCGCCATCACACGCAACGATACATGGTTTCGCAACCGATTCGAATCTAATCAAATTCTTTTGTCGAATGAAGGCAAACGTTGTTCTCCCAAGCGTCGTGGAATCTCCGCATCCATTCTAGGGATGCCTTGCTTCCTGAACTTTCCATATGGGATCATCTCGCATTGTCAATGTCGGCTTTTGTGGGACCGTAGATCCTTGTACTGCCCAGTCACCTTTAAAAGGGTCACAATGGTCTTGCGGGCACCCACAGGCAGTGCCTTTAAATTTTCATCGATCGATACTCGCACTGTGTGCCCTTTTACTTGCGTCCTCTAATGTCTATTAAGCCTGTTCGTACTTCCTACTCCACGATGTCGAAGCCCATTGCCACGTCCCCCTTCTCCCCTGTTAATTATAATATGCCAACCGAGGCTAACACGACGCCTGTGCCTCTTCTCCCACCTGGCCTTCCCCTGCAGAGGCGTACCCGACCTCGGTCTGGCAGCTTCATCGGTGTCAGCCCCTTCGCTCCTCATGGACCCAGGGGTTACCAATGCCCCGCTGACCCCAACACTCCACCACCTCCGCCCAGCGCCCAAGGTGATCCTACCGGCCAATTCGGCGACCGCACTAAACAGAGAGGTCTCCTCGCACCTTTGCCTTCCTGCGACTCCGACATGAAACATCCAGACCTGGAAGCCGACTCAGCAGACTGCGAGAGCAAGCAGCCTGTTTACACCCACTTTTACCGTTACGACTCTAAAGCCAGGCGTCCCGTCCTTGTGCAATGCCCTACCCTTCCTCCAATCGCTCCCATTGCCAGACCAAAGGCAAAAGTCAAACTCCCCAGTATCTCCGCGATTCACCCTCCAATCGTGAAACCTCAGGCTGTGAGACCGGCCCGCGCCCTCCCTCTTCCACGTACTTCTTCCCCTGATCCAAATGCGTTTGCCCGCATGGTTGCTGGGATGATCCTTCATCGTCAACCGGCAGGTGGCTCCCCTCGAAGGAAACTGCGAAGCATGGGATACGTCAAAAGCGGCTTGTCTAGCGTTGTTTCCATCATTGCGTAAACATCCGTGATCCTAGGTATGAGCTTCACGTTTTCATTCTTCGCGGTTGAGCTTATTGTCTGTCTGTCCAGTCGTTGCGACGCCTCCGCCAGGATCTCCATTTTTTCTGTCACGGTCACCACTGCATTATCCATCGTCTCAATGCTATGTTGTACTATTTTTCATCATCTCATGACATCGCAGCATAACCCCAATACATCATATCTATTACCACCTTTAGACACTGTAACAACGACCCCGGTACATACCTTGACCTATTGTACGTTTAAGTGGTCAAGAGATGTCAGCCTCCACTTTTACTCTACATGGCCGTTTCCTGATTTTTGTCTTCCTGTGGCATATCAACATCGCCCTTGTGGCAGAATGATCAGGATTCGTGAATAAAAACATAAATAACGTAGAAGTCGAAGAGAAAACAGTGATAGCAACGTAACAAACCCGATAGTCATGACATACAGCATGGGCACTCCTCAAAGGCTATTGTCCTGGTGTAAATCTCATTCTCTGCTTCCTGGCTTCCATCATAACCTGCCTCCCAACAGGTGAAAGCTCTGTCGACGATGCGGGTGATGGCACCATGTCCTCTGGAGGGGCATACATCCCTGGTGCAACCGCCGCTCGACAGAGAGATTTCGAGTGACTGCGCACAGGCGTGAACGGAAGCTCTGCCTTCGAAGTTAAGGTTGACAGGGCCACCTTGCCATTCTCCTTCTCCCTGGCACTCCCCGCAGATGACACAGAAACTCGCCTAGCCTTCCTATGGCGTGTGGGAAGAGCTGTGAAATGGTCCGAAGTCGAACCTTGAGAATTGGAACGATCAATCAGAGTTGGTCTGCGTTCAGCGTGACCCCGGGCCTTCTTGAAGCGAGGTCCCCCAATGCGGCGTGATGATGGTCGTTCCATGTTATTTGTAGATAGTGTTGGGGCTGTTACAATAAGTGTTGTGGGATTTGTCAGGATGGCCTTGACCTTGCGGGATTTGGCGGTAGTGGGCTTCATATCATCTATGTGTGATTCGGGAGGCTTATATTGAAGAGAGGGCAAAGCCGGAGTTGGAGTGCATTGTGCAAGCCGATGGCGTGTTGATTTTACAGGCGTTGGTGGCGGCGCAGGGGACGCAGAATGTTCTCTCTTACCCAGCGAAGAAGGGCTAAATGAAGCAGAAAGAGGCCGACCGCGGCTTGGAATATCATGGACCCCGGAAGGTGCAGGAGGGTTGCAAGATGAGAGGGAAATGGCATCGTAAGAGCTGTCGGAGAATTGAGAACAGGATGGTCTACGAACTGAGCTCTTGTCAGACGGGGAGCTAAGGGCACTGGGGACATCAGGGAGCGGTCTTTCTGTGTCGTCAAAGGGGGGAGGATGAGGTCGTTGTCGGTCCGAAAGAAAATCGAAAACCTGGGAAGCTCTTTGCGGAGTCGATGGGTTGGAGTGCTCGTATGGTTCGGGCTTCTCAACTGAATACTCCGATGCTGGCGTGGCGTCAGTGAGTACGCTGAGTTCCACTTCCATAGAAGAAAACGTAGGGTTGTCTGATATGGCCACGGAACGATCCTGATGCAGAGAGAGCATAGGCTCAGCGTAGACGCGAGTGCTTGGACTCCCGAATTCAGGAGGGAGGATGGGGGTTTGTATGCTAAGGGACGATGTCGACGAAAAAGCCGAGTCTCTCTCGCTGTGCTATTCTTAGCCAGGCATTCCTATAGCAGCAGAAAGTACTTTGCACTTACTCTAAGAAACGTTCAGCCCATGAAATGTCCCCCTCGAAAGCCTCCGAATCACTACTCCTGGGAAGAGGGCTCCCCAGAAGCTGTCGCAGTGTAGATCCACTCCTGCGACATTGGGCACGACTCTCTCTAGGAGAAGACGGCGATTCTGGAGAAGGAGGCGAATCTGCAAAAGCGCGAGAAGGTATGCAGCCATCTTTGTCATATAATTCCAGCAGACTCGCTACGGAAGGGTCGGAGCGAAGCCGACAAATCTGGCTATCTTCTAGGGGGGTTGAATGATTTGAGCGACCCACACGAGGCGTTACATGTTCCTCCGCAGATGTAGAGCTCTTGTAACCGGATGAACCGATATGACGTTCTCGTGGGTACACTGTTACAGAATAGGTACCGCGTCGGGCCAAGCTTCCACTTTCAAAGCTGCAAGTGGATCCTGTCGGTGTTCGAAGGACATTGTCGATAGGGTGAGCTGCAACAATGATTAGCCATTGCATCACAGGATAAGAGCACTGTAACGAACGAAGAGGTGGAAGTGACTGATAGTCCATTTCAGCAACAGCGGCGTAACGCGCAGACGACGAGCGAAGGAGATGGTTAGCTGCCGCCTCGCTTTCTTCCTCCGTCTGGGGTCGATACCGAAAATCCAACTGGCCAGGGTCCTGTATATCTTCATGTTTTCGATTCTTTTTGCTTTTCTTGCCTCCAAGTGATAATATCCGCCTGAGAAAGCCCATTTCTGTAGTATCCGTGTCGGGAGTAGTAAAAGTCGAACCAAGTTGCCAAACACAGACAAGCTGGAGACAGCGTGTCTGTTCATGTGACATGAACCTGTCCCCCTCCTTCTCCGCATTCCGAATTCAAAGTCGGACAGAATAGCAATGCTCTATCGTTACCCTTCTCATGCAGTGGACACAAGTATTCTCCCGCAATACCGTTGAAAATTCGGGCAGCACCGCTCGAGATTTCTGTATGCTCGAGCGAAACATGCTCGCACATATCAAGCTCGCCCTACTCCTCTCTGTCCTCTCGTCGTCGCTTATCCTGCAAGCCCGACTAGTTCCAACAACGGACGAAGGTAGTTACGTCCAAGCGTATGGGTTGCCTCTTGCAATCATCCAGTTTGTCGCTGCACTATTGGCCATAGCTGCAGGGGTCTGGGAGTACCATGTCGGTTGTCGGGACCTGATGAAGATGCGAGCATTTCTGGTGGCACCCAAGTATGTATTGCTTCTCTTCAGCTTTTCTTCATGCTTATCTCCTGCAAGGCCTCATTTCGCTATCATGACCATTGTCATGGCCATCGTGTTCACTACCTGTGTAATTTTGCTCGACAAGGCTGATACTTGATCAGTGGTGGGTCATGGATAGAAATTAAAAACTTGAAGCTTACTCTCTTCTTTGCAGTATCATCATTGGCAGAAAGTTGGGGGAGGCGGATCCATCAGTGTATTGAGCTAGTGTTAGTATACATTTTTCTGTGAAATTCGGTAGGCCGATATCGGTCCGAAAGCACTGATATGGCAATCAATCGTGCAATGCGTCGATATTTTTTACCTGCACCGTCACTCGCCTTCTTCGCTCTTTCCCTTTCTCCTTCCTCTTTCCTTCTAACGATATCCTTACGCCCTCATGAAAATCAGCCAAAAAATACAGCAATCCACCAAGGATGACAAGGTCTGGTGGTCCTTTGAGTACTTTCCTCCTCGGACTGCCCAGGTAATCCTGCTTTTATCTTTGGATCCATCAGGGGAGAGCTTATATTGCCGGCAGGGCCTTCAAAATCTACTAGATCGTATAGAACGTATGAGAGCTTTGGGCCCAGAGTTCATTGACATCACCTGGTGAGTAACATACTGCAACCCCCTGGAATCTGACTAAATATTTCTGGAGGAATGCCGGTGGGCGGACCTCTGATCTTACCGCAGAGATGGTCAAGACATGTCAAGGGATAATTGGGATCGAGACCTGTATGCACCTTACCTGCACGAACATGCCCAAAGAAAAGGTCGACATCGCCCTACGAGTACGTTTCTATTGCCTTTGGTTTTGTGCCATCAAGTCATATATTACGGTAGGAAGCAAAGAAATCCGGATGTCGTAATGTCCTCGCCCTTCGTGGAGACCCTCCCATGGGCAAGGACGACTGGGAAGCCGTGGAGGGTGGATTCGTTCATGGGATCGACCTTGTCACGCACATACGGCAAAAATATGGAGACTATTTTGACGTAGCGGTCGCCGGATTCCCACAACATCAACTGCTCCCGCCTGAGGAGCGTGACCAGGAGATGAAGTATTTGAAGGAGAAGGTCGATGCTGGCGTCAGTTTTATTTTCACGCAGATGTTCTACGACGTAGAGGTCTTTATTGCCTGGGTCAAGGCGGTCCGAAAAGCCGGCATCACCATTCCAATTGTTCCTGGTATAGCGCCTATACAAACGTGGAACGGATTCCAAAGAGCAACCAGTTTGGCGAAGACCATCATTCCTCAGTCTTTTTTAGATGCGTTGGAGCCTTATAAGAACGACGATGAGAAGGTCAGGAAGATTGGGACCAAATTGGTGGCAGATATGTGTCGCAGAATCCTTAAGGAGGATATTGGTATTCGTGGCCTTCATTTCTACACTATGAACCTGGAGAAGGGAACGAAAATGCTCTTAGAAGAGCTTAATCTTGTCCCAAGGGTCGAAACCATCAAGCCTCTGCCTTGGAGACAGGCAAGTATCTTCTGTGAATATACCACAATCAATTTATTCAGCTCGATTTCAGTGTCTTACACCTAACCGTCGCAAGGAAACAATCCGACCCATCTTCTGGGCGAACAGGACTAAATCCTACATTTCTCGCACAGAAAACTGGGACGAGTACCCGAACGGTCGCTTCGGTGATTCTCGCAGTCCCGCATATGGCGAGCTTGATGGGTACGGTGTCTGGATCAAGCAAACCGTAAGGATTGCTCGTGCGCTATATACACTCACTCCCGCTGAATATAAATCCAGAAAGAGGACGCTATCAAGCTGTGGGGCGAACCGAAATCGTTGGATGACGTGACAACTCTTTTCGCCAAGTTTTGCAAGGGAACATTATCCGCGCTGCCATGGTCTGATCAAGCACCAGCAATCGAGACATCCGTCATCGCGAATCAGCTAGCGCAGATGAATGAACTAGGATTTTTTACCATCAACTCACAGCCGGCTGTCGATGGCGTAAGAAGCGACGACAAAGTATTCGGGTGGGGTCCAAGCAACGGATACGTCTATCAGAAGGTCAGTCCGCCCTCGCTTCGCTTCTTTTGCGATTCCAGCGGGAATGATATCCGCCCGTTAGGCTTACCTTGAGTTCTTCGTTCAACCCGTCCTGCTTTCCCTTCTGCTCTCGCATATTGAGCGGGATAGCAATATCACATACTACGTTATCAATAAGCGTGGCGACTTGCGAACTAACACCCATTCTGATGGACCCAATGCCGTGACGTGGGGAGTATTTCCTGGGAAAGAGATCGTACAACCTACAATCGTGGAAGCCGTCAGCTTCATGGCGTGGAAGGTGAGCTTTGCAATGTAGACCCGATGAGCCCCTGATTGATCTCGTTCTCCTTAGGACGAGGCCTTCGAACTCGGTCAGCAATGGGCCAAGGTCTATGACGCCGACTCTCCTTCCCGAAAGGTAATATCCGATCTCATGGACACATGCTTCCTGGTCAACGTCGTTCACAACGATTTCCACGATCCGGACGCGATTTTCAAACCCTTCTTCCGGGCGGGTGCTGAGTACAAGGCATCTCTTCTCAACGGAAATGGTAACGCCAATTAGAGACCCCTTGTCAGATCATGTCCCTTGCACAATTGCTGTATCTTTCCTTCTATCCGCTCGCTACTGTTTTTTTAACTGTATCATTACTCGGGTTCAACCCCCGGTGTTTTTTTACGTCTTCCTTTCTGCATATCCCACATTATCCACCAAGTATTTCAACATCACACTAGCACATCACTTTATACTCTGCATCAACTGCATACATACTGCATCCAACTGCATCAGACATCTGCTCAGGATATATTCTACATATACTCCATCCAAATACAGATACAATAACACTCAAAAAACCCGCAGTACAATCTCTATTATAGGTCCGAGAAGAAGAAATCCGTATTGGCGGGTGGTGGGCCAGCAATAAGCCCACTGGGTATCTCAACCTTTTCTCCAGACAAATCTATACGAATACAAGGCGATTGATATCAACAGGCAATTAAAAGAATAACAAACGGAACGCACCCAAGAGTTTAATCTTCAGCCCTATCTCTGTCAGTGCTTGCACAAAACCAGCCGTCTCTTGAGAAGCAACATGACCACCATCGCGACGTAGCATGTTCAAACCGTCGGTCCAATCAGCCCAGCGAGACTGGTCCGGAGCAATCTGATCTGCCAGCGACCCTTCGTGAGCGCTCAGTAACGAGAAGGACAACGGAGATGGTCCCGTCGGACTGGTCGGCGGGAGGTCATTGTGATCACGGAGGACACCCGGAGGTGCTATACATGTTCCAGTCGCGATCTCGCTAATCGCAGCCACTTCGATCCGTTCAGGCAAGTCCTCCAGTCCATTCCGAACGAGAAACTTCACACTGCTGTCAACGTAGTGCAGGTACTTGAGGGCATTATCCTGTACAATGAAAGATGGGCCATTGATAAGGGACCATAGGAATTGGAACCGTACCAGGCGCATAAATCGCCAAGGCCTACTAGGCCGACGAGATGACTCTCTGGTCGCAGGGGAAGACGGGGAAAGTGCATTGACAAACCATGCACCCTGTAGTAAACATTGAATTCTTTGTTGCCGAACAAATTCAAACGACTCCTTGTATATCTTCGCTCGAAGATTTCTGTGCCCGAAAATAGAAGTCATGAAGAAATAGAGACGCAACATACATACCGTATCGGAACTTTGCTTAAAAGGTCATCCTCCATCTCCAGTTCCTGCATTTGTCTGTCCCTAACCGCTTTGTATTCACATTCAAGGAAGTCATGTTCCACTTCATGCCACGGACGAACGTTCTCGCTGCGAAGCCCAACCTTCACCCTATATCATGATCAGCATTTGAAAAAGATTCACAAAAGATCGTCCCGACGCACTGGCTACGGACTAAAGCCGCAACGCGGGTGAAATCATCAGCCGCCGCACCACTTTCGCCCCACATTCGAATGAAGAAATGAGTGGCTAGGGAATGTGCTTTTGAAAAATCTAAAAAGAAAGGCTGGAACGTTGTGGAAGTGGAATCTATGTAATTGCTGATGAGGACGTGGAGGTCGCATTGAGCCAGAAACACATACAACCGGGAGCAAATATAGCCCAGTGTTCTGACAAAAGTTCGACAACTTCGTTTGAAGCTTTTCCAATAGGACATCTCCTTTTTTCAGGACGGCTGAGCTGTTCAAGAATAACCTATCACGGCACATATATTCATACATTTTTTGATGTTTGAAATTGAACACGCTTACTTTAGAAAAGTCAGGATCACTTGTCACAAAATTTTTCTGAGACAGATTCATCAGTTGGGAATTTCGTCATGGCTGAAAACGTTTACCAGACAATCGAGACCCAGAACTCCTACATCTCGGAACTCTTGTTCGATATCTTCGGAGTCAAAACCTAGCTTCCGCCATCTGACTACCGTATTATCCGCATCTATATGCTCTTCTAATTTGCTGCTCGTCCAGATGAACCTCAGATCTGCATCATGGGCCGGCTGATTCTGAGGATCCAGAGGCGTCGTCTTCTTCCGGTGAGTGACACGAATGATGTTCGCCTGGAAATCCAGGATGCATGAAGTTAGGTCCTCAATCGTGTGTGACGACATGAGGCGCTACATAACAATGAATAAGGCTCGCAGAGGAGTAAACAATAAAACGTACAACAACAGCTTTGCGAACATTTAATCTTTCCATCTCGGATATAAATTCTTCCCAGCGCGAATCACTCGCATGCGCCAATAAGGAGTTAATGAGCATCATGCTGATAAAATGATGAATTAACTATTTCACTGCGGTAATAGAATACAAGGGTCGCACCTGTGCTGCACCATAGCCGTATCTGCGCTTCCCAGTCGGCTAATAACCGTTTCAAGCAATCCCCGTTCTCTTCTCATTTGCTCAAACACAACATGGAATCCGTATCTATATACTGACCCTGCAGGGATATCTGGAGGGAGAGAACTCGAGCTCGGGATCATCGTGGGTGCTGTAAAAGGATCCGCCTCGACTAATTTCTTGAGAATCGCAGTTGCAGGGCGACAGACGTTAATTAGAGACTGAGATGAAGAAAGAATCTGAACAATTTTGAAAATAAATGTATCGTCCAGATTTGACCAGCCGTAATCTAGCTCCATTAAATTTTGCATAGCCGTTAACGCGTACTGTGGGGGGTGTGGGCTGAGTGGTGTAGGAAATAAAGCCAAATGATCCGTACCGCAAGAACATTCCCATGGGACGTATATATAACATCCACAAGTTCAGCGAGGCCATTATTATTGATAAAATGGTGGGCAAAGTCCTCCTCCTGTTCTCTGTATGTCAATACGATTCGGTAACGCGATGACTATCCAACGTACGCGAATGAACTTTTGCAACGAAAACAACACCAATCGTAGCTTTTCATCACGCATACTGAGCTTGTCGATGATTTCCTTGGCTTCTCGTGAGGGAGAAGCGACAAGTCTGACGCATATGATGGGCGATGAGCAACGTTGGGCATGGTAAGGACACGCACTTAAGATTGACCTTGGTCTTAATCTTCTTTCTGAGATTATCATTCGTGACCAACTCGTCTGTCTCATCCCTCAGCACGTAATCCGTCGATACCCCCTTAATCTTCAAATTGACGCAGAGCTGTTTGACGACGTCGTCCACGGTAAGCGTAGGATCGATGCGAGCCCTGACGGTGACTCCCTCCCCTGTCGAGACATTGTTCGTAGGCACTAATCCGGGCCTGTGGACACCATCTATTGCATGAAGTGGCGACAGAGGGCTTCCGTTGGTGCTCATGGCAGTGGAGAGAGCGCTGGATGTCGTCGCATTCAGATAGGCAGTAATGATGCCACACTCATGCAACTCACCAGCTATCGATGAAAAAGTAGGCGACAACGTTCAGTCAAGATGAAGAAATGGCCCAATTCGGACGAATGAGCGGGATAATACTTTATATCATTTCATGGAACACGGCAAGGTATTGTAAAAACGTGTCCACATGCTAGAGCTCATGGTACGAGTACTTGCCTGTTCAAATAATGATAGTTTTTATATCCAAACGAGTGCGGTCGTATCCAAGAGGCCGCTGTGTAATGGGATCATTAGTATACGTGATAGGTATCGGAAGCGAAATGAGTGAAAAATGATCAGAAAGCGATAATAGCATCCAATGTACGGCGAGCCGTACTCAGACTGACGTGCAAATATGAAACGTATTCATCACAGTGGGAAAGACCAAAAAAAAGGTGCTCAAGTAAGAGAATGAGAACATACCTGTAGGCGTCAAGTATCAGAGGATTAAAAACGACCGTGTGCACAAGTACAGTCGTCAGTGGCACCGGACCGTCCAAAAATTAAGATAGATGGCGGATTTGTGGGAATAAGGGCAAGCGAGGATACAGATGGAGAGAGGGGAAAGAAGAAAATACCGTGCAGCCTCGTGGAATTGTGGTCGTGGGAATTTAATGTGGCTCGGTCCGGTCCACATGGTCAATGCCGTTTTTCTCTCACCCCCCGTGCCCGCAAACTTGCATTCATCATTTACTCGTCACATCAAACAGCCCATTCATACACAAATGCAACTCCCACTTTCGCAAACTCCAAGGAGGGTGTCCAAGAAAAACCGGTGGCATTAATGGTGTTACTGGAGCTGTAAGTCCGGGGTTGTCGTAAGGGAAGATGGAAGTGTAGCCACTGTACGATCAGAGCATGCGTATCCACAATACAAAATGAAAGAAAAATGTAAACACCATTTAAGACGGAACAGCAGAAAGGAATTAGACGAACCGGCAATATGTATTGTCCATGGGATAGACGAGTCGGTGTCAATTATTTTCCCCAGAAAGACATTCAAATCATCATCGATACAATCGCGGCCTGATGAAATTCGGATGGGAATTCCGCACTGTCGGATCTACGTAAGTACTAGCCTCGATGTTGTCATCGGCATAACTGTCGGTGATATCTTGCGACCCAACAAGTCCGACTTCTTCAGCAGAGTACCAGTGAAACTCAACGCGGTTTGAAATCGGCTGCAATGAGGGCCCGGAATGCTTCAATGAGTTCCATCATCATCAGCACCGGGTACGCAACTGGAAGAGGGACTGTTAAGGTTAATTGAGTCCATGTGCGAGCCCAGGATCGAAGCCCCAGAGCCTGGGATCTTGCGAAGGTGCTGAATTTCTGGAACCGGAGTGAACTTGGCCATGGAAGCGTGGTCACGGTTATTGGCAGTCAGTGGTGTTTATCCAATAACAAGAGGCTTTCAATGTACCGGCGAATGAGGTTACATTGGAAACGGTATCTAGAATCCAATTCCTTGCCTGTAATCCCATGCTCGACGTATAATATCGGTTAGTAGAAGAAGTCAAGTTCGCGAGAAGCTCTCCATGTTAGAGATGGAGACCGTGTTCAAAATAGGTTCTACCTCCGATTGTTTCGACGGAGTGAGATTCAAAGTCCTCAACTGTAATCAATACCAACCAAAAAGCAAAAAGAAATGCCAGACTCACAAGTAGTTTTACCCGCAAATACCATCTCCTTCGGGGGCAGCTTCTGCTCGAGCTAGCAGACATCAGTCATATCGAACTGAAGAGAACACACGAAGGCTCAAGAAGGGATCTTCTGTGATAATCCTGCGAACGTACGAATTGCACCTCTTCGCGTATAAGATACAACTTCTCATCCTCGGTCTTCTATACAGGGCCTTCACCATCCACGATACTGAGAAGGCAATATCCTTGAGCAGATTCGCTTCGATCTCGTCGAGGCGCCGACTGAACCAAGACCGTCAAACCGCATTATGAAGATGACACGGAAAAGAAGAATCAACGAAGTAACAGACATGCAATCACAACCACTTGATTTTATATGCGTTAATCGTATCCATGGGTAGCCACAAAGACATCACTCGTGCCATACAACGACGGTCTCCACACACAGAAGCACTCTAATGACACCAAGCCAAGCGATTCGCAGAGAGTGAACGCGAAGTGACGATACACTCACAAGACTCATTCTGTTGTTCGAAGGCGAGGACGGAGAGAAATATCACTCTGCAGAGTCATGAAATCTAGCCATTTGCTGCGAATCAAAGTTCAACTGTGAAAAACCCAAAAACCCAAAAAAAGCCCGCGTGCCATACTGCTAGTTGGCATGTCATAAATCGCAATGAAATCATCTTTACCTCTCGTTGTACCCTATGCTTTCGAGTACAGTAAGGACCACCACTGGCAAAGACCTATTCTGCTGCGTGATGCCAGTCCACAGTGCCCAGACTTTGATTTTTCCAACTCCGTTGCTCCGACGAAATTCAGATTGATAATTTTTATCCTGACGTCTAGTAATCTTCATAGCTCACATCCTCTTCTTCGACCTTTGGTCCATCCTATGAAAGCAAGGTGTACGAAATATCGTCTCTGTAAACAAGATTTAGAGAGCCACCATTTAAAATGTGAGTGCTTGTGAGTCCTTCGTATCCCCGTATAGGACGATCCACCGCATGTATGATTAGAACATCTTTTTTTATAGAGCGCCCTACTAAATTATTTATGGATTACCCACTTGATTACACTCTTAGGTTGAAAACTTAAAGAAGAGATGGTATCCATCTTTGATCTACCTTTTGCCTGGGTTGAAATTTATCCGACCACTAAGGTTAGACTTATGCAGTGCCGGAAGGTGCGTGTATGCCGCGAGTGCGATAAATTTACCATCGGCTATCATATGGATAATTAACGATACCCGGGGATTCAACCTTCGATACATGTTTCAGCACGTATTCTTTTTGACTGGTCGTTGAGTGCTCTTTGAGGTCTACTATTTGTCTACTAGTCACCTTACTATTGGTCCCGCTTTTCCGCTCCGAATACTACGGCTCCAATTTCTTTTTTTTTGCAAGAAAACCACCACTGTTCAGGCATCTCAATTGAATAAATGTAGTACATGCCAAGTTACGGTATAGCGTATGATGCTGGACACACGATCGCAATCCGATCATCATTCCCGACTCGTGTCATCAGGTGCCCCCCTGAACAAACAAAGATAAATCGCAACTTGGACTCGAATTCCATCCATCGACACAATGTCCACTATGTCTACCTCTATCGACGATAGTATTCCTCAAAGCACGTCTAACCCTCTAATTGACTTGGAGAAATCCTTTGTCGATCTACATGCTTCTAGTCTTCTTATGGAGTCACTTTCCATGGACTCGTTATCAACAGTATCTTCAGAACCTAATATCCCGCCATTCCCTCCTGGATGCATGGTACCCATGTCGACAATTCTCAACGTATCTGTCAAGGCGGGCGAGCTCAACGCAACCATTACTGTCCCAACTCCTCCACGGCTCCGTACAATGCTGATGGAGAATCTCTGCATCGAGAAGTGGGCAGTATGTTCGGTTCTACCCTAAATTTCTGCATGCAGTTCTCAGGTTTTTTAGGAAAGTCTTTCTTCCGATACTATTGCCTCAGACCACACGCCATGGGGAGATCCGGAATGTGTAGACGCCCCAGCATGGGTGCCTGAAGGTTCGATGTACCCACCTGAAGAGTTCAGAGCATCTCTTCAAAACAAACGCCACATTTGGGAACCAACTCCGCCAACTCCTCGAACATCTACGCGGACCTCTGTTCGAAAATCTACGTACCATCGCGATAACCTAGTGTTTGAACGCAAAATCACGCTCAGAACTGAAGGGGAGACGAAACGCTGGTCGGTTAAGATTCCCGCAAACACCATGGAGTCCGACGTGGTTGACATGATGCTGCAATTACGCGATTTGAACAAATATTTCTCTGACACCCCAGGCCCTGAGGAGGAGGCCGTTAGCCCGCCTCCCTCTCCACCATCTCTAATGGTCTCCAATTCTCACTTTGCCGTACCTATATCTCTTGATTCTTTAGGAACTATCAACTCTAAAGCTGGTGCACCAACTTCTATAGCAACTCGGAGGCAGAAATCGCTCCCGCCACTCTCCTTAAACGACAACAAAATGAAAGACATTGTATACCCTGACATTCCTACGGCCTTTTTGGGGACGCCTTCATACGCCCCTCACTTCGACCCTACTAGCGTCGCCGACGAGTCTATGAACCTCCAGGACATGGTTGGAAGTCTGCGATCACGATGTTCGTCTCTTCAGGTCAAGACTCCGCAGGACGATGATTTCAACAGCATACGGGCCAATCCGCCGCTTGATGATGAATGGGCTTTTGCAGACGTGTTGAGCCAACCTTTCCTTTCACCTTCGAATTACTGTGCTACGACAGTTCCTCCATCAAAAGATGATTCATTTGCACTCGTCACAGACGATCAGACTGTGCTGCTTGATGAAACACTTGTCGGTAGTGCTATTTCAATGCTCAAGGCTCTTGATCCCAATCATCTCAAGTTCCATGGACCACCGTCTGGGATTCCGCCTGTGGCTTCAGACTACCTTCCTCCCTCGTCACCTCTTCCGTCTTGTCCAGTTCCTACAAACGCCATCTTGCCCCGTGGTATATTGAAGCGATGCAAAAGCGTCAGGTTTGCGTCTTCGAGTCAGGAATACGAGATTCCGGTGCAGAGCAGTGCCTCTCCACGCTCTCGTCATACAACCGGCACATCTACACCACTTAGCCACCGAGCAATGAAGCGCCACGCGATCAAGGCTCCTACAAGCAAAAGGGTTCCCCCCCAGGATATTACGCCTAGTAAAGATCAGCCCACGTTTTTACATGCAGCCGAACGTCAGAAACCTAGGACTATTGTTCGTTCTACAGTCATGGCCTCTCCGCCTCGGGTGATGTCGACACCACCCGTTGAGAGACGTCCAACATCTCTTCGTTTCCTAACTAAGACGACGGTCAGACATAGTCAACCTGCGGTCTCTTCCCCTATATCAACGATAGAGGAGCGCTTGCGCTCGCCAACGACGTTAACAGCAACTACGAATGCATCACCCCTGAAGTCAAGGCCTTCTCACACCTCACCCCTGGGCCGTTATTCTTTTGGTCGTGCAGTGGTCAATGCACTCCAAGGAGCTCAAGGTGTTGGCAGTGGTAAGGAAAACCAGGCAAAATCGAAGGCGTCACTATCCCCGGCAGGAAATCCATCAAAGTCGACGATCGATGAGAATTCAATAAAGCGTGGGAGGCAGGGGGAAAAGAAGAGTCGTATGCCGTTGCCATTGAAGAATATCTTGACTCGATTCAAATAAGTGTACTGATGATGGGGCGGGTTGGACTGGTGACTCTTAACCGCAGTATTGCATGTCTAGAGTTGACTACTATGAAGCGGTCTCACCAGACCCGAAAAAACAATCACACGAGAAATTTTCCTTTTGCCAACAAATGAGTACACCTGCGCGTGATGGGTAAGTTAAACCCCACTGCCAGCAGGGACCTGGGAATCTGAATTTCTGTCATTTTCTGATGCAAAAATCATGAAAACCCAAAATGAATTTAGGGCCTGACCGGGAATTGAACCCGGGACCTCCTCGATAATCACTATATAGCCCTAACAAGGAATCATACTACTAGACCATCAGGCCAATAACAATGGTTCCGTCTAAGCCTACAGGCTGGTCAAGCCAAATGTCTGTTGCACACAAGCCAAGACCCTCCCTCACCATTATAGATTCGAAGGTAACGCTCTTGGCTTTCACCGCTGAAAGTATAGATTCTACTATAGTACATAACACAGGCTGTAATGATCTTAAGAACCTCCCTATCCGTGACCCAATCCCCCCCGGTTCATTCCTCTACCGGCGAAACCGATCCTGACGAAAGGATTGCCGCGAGCAATAAAGGGATCTCCAGGATCTCGAGGGATAATTGGTCTTGTAGGAAACTGGCGGGCTGGCGCCAGAGGTTGCCTAAGAGGCTCATCTTTCTCGACATCACTGTCCGCATTATCTATGTTTTCCTGTTGTACAGTGTTTATAAGCATCGCTGAAGCTTTGATGGACCTATCAGTCATACCTCAAGGTCAATGACCAACGCCCCCGAATGCCATCCAGACGCTGCGGCTGAAAGACAGAACCTATCCTTTGGTTTCTTCCTGCCATGATCGAACCGTACTTCAATAGGAACTTGGACGGCAGCGGGAGTACCTCTCCCTCTGTCTAGAGCCATACGCCGTGCATTCTCAGTCTGGAATGCACCCGGGCATCCGGCCTCGAGCTTGCAAGGGTCTCCTAGTCCGAGAGCTCCGTCGGAGTATCCGCCCCATGTTAAGAGTTTGCCGGCTGCGGTCACTGCCGCTTGATGATAGTCTCCGAGTACAACGGATATAACAGATTTATTCTGAAGCGCAGGGGTGATTTGTGGCTCGGAATCGGGCGTCGTGTTAATGTCTCCCATAAGAACGATTGAGCTGGAGCCAGTGGAATAGGCGATAAACTGTTTGAAGTGGGCGGATATCTGCCTAAATATAAGACATCTTATTCAACGTCACAGACGAAAGAGACGCCGACATGAGTGATCTTCATTGTCGCTGGAGGCTCTACTGAACCACCAGCCGAAGAAAACGTCGCGTGCTGTCGTACACTTTCAACTTCACTATACCTTGGCAACTACGAAAAAGAAAAGGGATTAATGAGTCACCAGCGTTCACATAGTAAGAAGCTACATATTCCCATCGGCCACGAGTTACTGTCGTTTCGTCTTCTAGGCAGCCGAATTTGAGGACATGTCCTTTAGTTGTAAGAGCTATGAGGTGACCGTCATACGATGCTATCTGTATGACTCTGATCGTTTCATCGACGTCCCCTTCCGGAGAGGTATTCAAGGCAGGGAGAGGAGGCAATGAAGGCAAAGCAACGGGATCTATGTCAAGGTCCCAAGGCACACATGTAATGACACCATCGCTGGAGACATGGGCTTTCTTATCGCCGGCGTTATTCATCACTGAATTCCTCTCTTCAATCTGTCTTTCCATGGATCCGGAGAATGGCCACCAAACAAAAATGTCGCCAGTTTTCGTCAAAGCAGAAGAAAAATTCCACCCACATTCAACTTGAATTAGTAAGGAGTCAAATGTCGTGAGACGGAGAGAGGTTAATCGGAATGGTCGCCCCCAGCTGAGAAAGTTCCAAACGTAGCCTTGGGAGTCCAGAGACGCCGCATGCAGTCTCCCGCAGCTTGTGCGGTGTCAACGTCGATACACAGAGTAAAGTGCATGACCAACCTGATACTACGCATCGAAACTGGTAACTGCAGTCTCAGTGGGCGTCCTGCTTGTTTTCCGGCCTCGGAAAAGCCATCACTAGTCAGGGCACGGTGAAGTCCGTCAAGAGTTCCTGAAAGTAAATAATCGGTCTCCAGATTAATTATAAAAGGCTTCAACGAACCCCAAACAAATACGTCTCCCTTTGAATCCAAGGCGTGAAACGACCTATTGTTGGAAGGGCATAAGTCACGCTCCAAATGGATAAACGAAGCTGAGGACCCTTACATTCCGGCTGCGACAAGGCTAACGATACGGGCGCCAGGTATTTTCAGCTCAGTCGGAAAAGGTACATCATTAAGCGAGGTTTTAGGCAGTGTTGACAACCCGAGTCTCCCATGAGATTTCGCTCTGCACTCAAGGATCAGTCAGATATATAAAATGCATGTTGCAGTTTATGGAAGTACTGACCCCCAAACAAAAACTGTTGCATGATGGGTGTGTCACAATACATGCTTGACAACAATGTCGTGAAGCGCACCGCGTGGTTTGGACAGACGTGAATAAATAAACTTCCAACCACTGGTTCGAGCAGTTCCAGCCCCGGAAAAATTGAAGTCGGATTGACATCTGAGTTTCCAAAAAGTACCATCGGATGCAAGCAAAGCAAAGAACTAGAACAAAGTCCGAAAATCACGACTTGAGGGGGATATATAAGCGCCGATGAAGTACCTTGCAAGTTTCCGCTAAATGGGCAAGGTCGCTCACTGGAAGTATTGGCAGTAAATTGTCCAAGAAAATCTCTATGGGTAAGTCGGTTATAGAGGGCATTGCGACGGATTCAACGGACGATGAGAGTAGAAGGACAAGAAGAATCCAGACTGGAGTCAAACAACGATAAGTGACGTCACTGCACAGTCGGTCACTGTGTCACGTCATGCCGTGACGGCCCGCCTGGACGCCACCCCCCGCCTGTTTCAACTCATCCAAGAGGATCAGCGACAGCCTGGAAGGCGCCGCAAGCTAAATATTCCAGGCCCCATCTCTGACAGGAACTGTATAATCTTTTTCTTCTTCAAAGTTTGCTGCGTTGATACGATTCATTTATTTGACGGACACTCCCGTTGAATGGTCTTTTTTTCGACAACTCTGCATTCCAGCAAGGGCTTCACCGGTATGGATATCTTTATCAATCTATGTAGTTATTTCTCTCCTGAATATATCTCTAGCTGCTTATATTCGACAAGTGCTTCCGAGCGTCGGCCATCATTCCTACACTGGTGTTCTTTCTTTTCAATGGCAAGGGTTTCAATCTCGATGTTTAAATTCTTCTGCGGAGCAACATCCGTAACGCTGAACTCAATACATCGGACTGTCCATCCGTTTTGGACGTGTACAGACCGCACAAGCGCCTGATTCCGTCATTGTATTCACCGGGCCTTCTATGTACTCTTTTTGGCAGCCTCTGCAAGTTCTCTTTCTCGTCAACTCCCGGCCTATAGGGCTATGTCGTTGATTTTGACTTTGGGGTCTGTTTCGCCGAACGGGGTCCTTCCCGACATTCCGTAGCTCGACTCATTTGTAGCTACATAATGAACTCTTTGAGCTATATGCCGTCCATTCACACGACCGCCGTCGAACACTATCGGATATTGGACTTTTCAACATTCCCCTCGTCTTGGTGAATCTGCCGATGTCCAAATATACATCCCCCTTTGGTGTTCTGCAGCCACATGATGCGAAATTCTCGTATTGTATACAGAGAAGGGAAATCATTCAGTTTTCCTCTGCGGGCCTTTTTGTGTGTCTGACTTGGTCACTGGAGCGCTCCTGACATTGACAAGCCGGAGAATTATGGTTACCGAATCGTTCGTGATGTCTCTGCATTCGGCCTCTTAGGTTGCAAGAAGCAGAATATCTACAACACCGGTCGATCCTTTACTTCACAATTGAATGTATGTTTTCTGTCAATGTTTATCTGATGCTTACCATCGATCATGTTGTGCTTAGAAAACCGGAAATGCACACGCAAGAGTTCTCGAGATCTTTTGGGTCACGAAAATTTAAAGTTTATATAATTCCTATTGCAACAGGCGTCTGGACAATTCCGTCTCCGGCATATGTATTCACGGAGTGCCAGAACAACCGACAAAACGCCCAGCTGCCGGAGCCATATACTTGTATGCTTTTCTACCACAATCACCAGAACGAGGGGCCCCTTCGTGCCTGATGTCGGACGCTGTAGGCGCCTCATGGAAACCAGCCTGCTACGATGGAATAGAGCATGAGGATATCTCGCCCCAGTTCCTGTCGATCATTATGGTGGACAGATTTTGCCGAACTATCATCTTCATCTTCGCCTTTGCATTACCACGTACACTGCTCAGTTACGGCCCGACATGCCGCTGTCTTCGCAATATGAGCAGCAGCATACAGTATATCATTGGGGTGCTTTTCATCTTAGCTTCCGTCTTCATTCGCTCTTAGCGGACTTGTGGCCAAATCCTTACAGGCCGAATGGATGGACCAGCCCGTACAGGCGTTTCGATCCGGTCTAGTTGCATATCATCCACGGTCATACCAGTTCATGCCTGCCCCGATAAAACTCGGCAAGGCACAATCTTCTTTATTGTCGTGGTCCGGTTCATGTCCCGGTGAATGCTTTGTCATTTTCAAACTCGCAATTAGGTTTTCTTTTCACCGGCGCGCTCCACATCTTGTCAGTTCCTTCCTTGCAGCCCTGAAGCCAGGGACAAAATCTGAAGCAGTATTCCGCAAAGGAGCACAAAGGTAAATTATATTCAACCTGAGGAGATACTTTTCTCTCAAAGCCGTTCAGCCGTTTTTTTCCCACCCGCGAACTGCATTGTTATCAGGAGGTAGACCCTCGGTCTACATTTGAAATTTGTACCGCTTCCTCCCTGACGAGGTTTTTTTTTAATGGTGTATGTCACCCACGCCCGAGACCATCTGAATCGTTTGAATCCGTGCTTCGTCACAGCTGCGTATCTTTTTTTTTTTTGATGATTATGCTACGCGAAACCTTGATCGCATATTTCACAGCTACCGTCGGTTTGAGGGGGACTCGAGTTCAATTTGAATGTGCTGACAGATCTCTCGACCTAGCCCGCGAATCAATATTAATGAATGACAGTCTATCCTTGTGCGCGACGCGTTACGTTAGGAGAAAACCACATGGCAGGGTATGTCAAATGTTTCGATGGGATAACGTCAGTCCTGTGATAGAAGCTATGATTTTGTTGCGGGGAATTCGAAGCGCATCTGCTTTCTTCTCCCGGGGAACGGAAGGACGGAGGCAAATTGCGTAGGCGCCACAAGCGGGGCCGTCGGTTACAAGCGGTTTACAGTTTCAAATCTGCATTCCCGACCCTTTAGCGTAGCGATCGGACTCGGACAAGCTTTATGCTTTCTGAAACGGACGACAATGGTTCAAGATTGCATTGTGACTCCAAAGGAGCAGGGGGCGAAATGTGTCAAGGCAAGACAGTATAGAGATATAAGATATACATAAGGCGCTGGCGCACAGGGACTACAAGAAAGCAAGGAACAAGAAAACTATATATGAGAGCTAAGAGCTAGGGTGTTACAGAGATAGAATATGCGTGGGGAGCAGGTCAAATAGTACTATGTACGTATAACGGGGATTAATGATACCTATTTGACTAGAGAGAATCGTACAAGTGGTGGAACATAATGCATGCGAAAACAATTGACAATGACCGATGTAGGATAGTTAAAATCCAGCATGTAACGTTGGGCAAAGAGGAGAGTTTAAAATATATGCAAGAAGATGTAACTGGGATATGACCCGGTTGTTACAGATATGGAGGATGTCTGGTGAGCTATTCGATCGTAGGTGGGGCCTACAACATCGTTCAGTGTCCAGACTGGCGCGAGGAAAGCGAATAGGCGGGACTAGAGTGGATAGCGTTGGAGAGTAGGCGGGTTGAAAGAAATGTACAACCAACCACCTGGCCAGAAAAGCCGATAGTGGGTCGGTCGCATTCAGAACCTGCGCCGCCAGAACACTTCAGTATTCATCGCCACTCACGCCCGCATGTCCGGAACCAGGTCTTCTCCCGCTCTCATCATCGTAATAGCCCTCGTTCGCATAGTCCAGATCTATGCTGGGATCTAAAGGGGAGAGCGGCAGAGACGTGGGGGGCTGGTAGCCCGGAAGCGGCGTAAGAAGAGTGCTGTTGGGTGGTAGCCGGTTTACCGGGGGAGATGACGAAGAAGGGCGGGCGTATTCTGAGCGAATTGGCGGAGGGGCATGAGGATTATGCTGTGGAACAAGACTACTCGGCGGAGGGAAGGGAACCGATGGGTATTGCGATTGAGAGCGGGTGTAGCTGCTCGGCGGCGGTGGTTGCCAGTCAGAAGGTGCGGAATACCTGTTACGTTCGTCGTAATTTGGGCGCTCGACAATGCGATGGCTGCGATCGTCGGATGGGTACCGAATGTCATCGGCAACAGAGTACCGTTCGGATTGCATATGCGCCATTGTGACGGCCGAAGGAAGAAGGCTCAGCTGGGGTGGGTACGAGTACCGCTGGTGCTGGTGGGATTGATACCGAGAGTCATATATTTCATCTCCGAGACGCCCCATACTACCCCGCCTCACCAGATTGGAAGAGGGAAATTCAGACTCCTTTTTTGCTTTACGCCACTGCTTTCGCAGTTCCTTGAATTCTAAGAAAGATAATTTAGTCAATACGTCGGCTATGGAAGAATATAAATCAAATAGACTTACCATTCGGACTGCGCTTAGCGCCGTGTTTTTGCATGGTTACATGTGCGTTGAGATGGTTTAAAGTTCCGTACGCCTTGTTGCAGTCGGGCCAGGTGCACTGATACAGCCGTTCGATCTCGTCATACCTTCTGCGGGGGCGCTTTTTTACGGCGTTCCCGGCCAAGGCCACGAACGAGTACCGTTTACTGGCGTCGGAGTCGTGGGGGCTCGTGGGAGACTGGTGAACGCCTTGAGGAGGAATAACAAGTTCTGTATGAGTGGATGTTCGTGCCGGAGGAGCAGATGAATTGGAAGTACCTGTCCCTGGCGGCGATGGGCCGTAATGGTCCTCATTTCCCTGGGGATACGAGATACCGGCGGTGGGCGAAGCATGAGAGCCTGAAAAATTGGGTTGGTAGGGCGAGGCGGGCTCCTCTGTAGGACGGTAAGAGTCCTCAGCGGATCGCCAACTGGATCCTGGCGAAACTGCGTGGTAAGTGGAATAATCCATCGACTGGTATTGTTGACGCAAGTCCCTGAGGCTTGCGCCTCGCTGAAGATACCCCGCGGCACGAGGAGGTGCATGGCCACTGGTTTGGGTGTTTTCTGTGTACCTGAACTGTTCCGTTTCCACGGCGTAGGGTACAGCGGGCTCGGACATGCGCCTCTGATCGAGATAGTTAGGAGGATAGGATTGATATCTGCCGGGAAGGGTGGAACGGTGCGAATAGCGGTCATGAGAGGTGTAAGAGGAAGACACGGACTGGGTGAGAGTTGACGAAGAATGTACATCAACTGGGGAAGGCGAATCGGAAAGGTAAGAGGGAGCGGGAGGGTCCAAATCTCTCAGCGAACTGAGTGCAGACTGGGGGTAATTCTGGGTCTGGTGGTGGGGAGCGGATTGATACGAAAATTGAACGGGGGGCGGGGCAACTGGCTGATGAGAGTCGTACATGGTGCCCGGTGATACTGGTTCATCATACATGTTATGGCCATACTGGAAATTGGGGGCAGTACCGGAAGGGGAGGTGGGCGAAGAAAGGCGATCTTCGTCCAGGGTTGGAGAGTCGGATGGAATGGGGGAAACTGAAGCAGATACGAGGAGGCCAATGTCGTGGTAGACGTTGGACTGGGTACGGGGACAGGGTTTGAACTTTGTGGGCTGTATGATGATATCTGCGAGAGGAAGAGGGGAGAGCATTTATGCACTGGCTGAGCGGGAAGTGATCTAATAGGCAGCAGGGGGGACAATCTGACCCGTATTCCGGACAAGATAATATATCTGGTATAGCGACGCGGCGCGTATATAGAGCCAGAGAGACGAAACTGTGTGCAAACCGCGAGCCCAGCAAGAGAGAGGAGCAGGACGCCAGAATCCAAGGTGGCCGGTCGCGTGGATTTGTACGGAAAGAGAGAATTTGAGAATCACAGAAATATAGCAGACGCTCGCGCTCGCGGGGGCTTCACTTTTCCGGAAGTACCATTTTGGGATGATGGATGACTGTGACGGATCTCGATCTTCGCGTGACGCTCTCATTAATTTTGGTTTCAGACTCAGCGAACGTGTTACTCCTTCTGGAAATTCCAGAAGCAGATCCAGATCCTGGTCAGCGTTACAGTCACAATCACGTCGAGATGCTTCTATCGCGTGTTCCGATTGGCTGGCCGCACGGCAACTCAATCTGTGCCGAACATAGAATTAGAATCAGCTTCAGCCTGACGCCTGCGATTCGAATCAATGCTCGATGCAGCCGCCACCGTCCAAATGTCAGTAATCTCTCCCCCTGCTCCAAGTTGCACTCCTTTCCCATTGCCTTTTCTTTCCGCCCTCTTCCGCCATCTAGGAACCGCCAAGCTTCTCCAGGGAAAATTTATATATGTTTTTTTTTGTTGCCGAACAAATCGCAATGATACCATATCGGGGGGAAGGGGGGGACACTGCCGGGGCTATGAAACGTTTCTCGGCCTTGAACAACCATCAGTTCGATTTGCAGGATCTCTATCATTTCGTTTCTCTTTTTGGTTCTTGAGAACGTCGTGTAGCAGCGTGCGAAACGCAGCTACCCCGACGTTTGGACATGGTATGCGAATCACTACATGTACCATGTACCATGTACCGTGGCGTCAACTGACTGCAGCAGTCATCATACCCTCAATACGTCCAAGCCGCTGCTGCCACCATCTCCCCTCGTCGTCGAACCCGAACAAAATTTTCCACTTTTCTTTTCTCTCATACGCGGCGCTGTTGCTGCCCGCTCCGGTCAAGTCGGATCTAAGATCTCGTCACGCATGGCGCAACACTACGCTTTCATGCCTGTTTTTACCGGGCCTGTGTCGACTCTGTCCTGCCCCCTTCTTATATCAGACCAATCGCACACATCTTCATTCTGCGCTCTTCACAGCAAAGAACCATCTCTTGTCAGAGTTTTCCTTATCTTTACCGTTCACCTGATCTTTGTTTTTTTGTGATGCAACGTCAGCATTACCTTTGTAATACATAATTCCCATTATCCTCCACGGTCCGTGTCACACCCCACTTGTCCAGGCGTTTGCCGGCCTCCTCAGTCTGCCAACAAGAAACCCGGTTTAATTCATTCAACCATCCATCTCGCCACCATTGATGAGGCAGGTATTCCAGCGGGTTTGATGGTGATTGATGAACCAAAGGATTCTCAAATGACGCAAAAAAGATCCCTGTGATTTCGCCCCCCACGGTCCAAGGCGGGAATTGATCAAGCCAAGGCGCACATTTATTTACTCCTACTACACAGACTCCAATCTTAGCTCAAATACCGACAGTCCCTGTACACATTGCACAGATCTTCATCCCACAAGGAACTGGATTAAGGAGAACCCTTTGCTTGCGCAGTGATCCACGTGAAGGGGACACGAGATTTGACCTTGTCGTCTGTGAGAGGGCCAGACTCATCTCGAGTTGTATCCACTCTGCAACCTCTAATAAGATACGAAAAAAATGTCCCCCGGATTTAGCGTAAGTGGGCCAAGGAGAATGGAAGTGGAAGATAAGAAGAGGAAGAAGCTGCAAAACACACATTATTACAAGTTGGAGGATAATTTTAAATTTTTCGCTATTTCATCCGTTCGGTACGTATAGCACCTGTGATCATCCTACCGACCAGCGTCCTTACAACATACAGCACCCCGGCTTTTGTCATAGCAAAGTAAGGGATGGTCCAGATAATCAACGCGTACGGTCCGAACTCCTCGTTGCCGACAGATGCATGATGTGTGGACTATATCCATTGCATAGCCTCTCTCTGCGCCTGTTATTCATTGCATGCATGCATGCATGCTATCGTTCCTGATAGGAAGTAACCAGACCTTCGCATCAACGATCGAAGAGAAGCTCCTGGAACGGAAGGGCGAGCAGGGTTCATTTGTTTAATCCTTGTGACAGTGGATAGAGTTTTTATGCGGTTCGTTGACTTAAATGGAGTGGTGATAGATGAGGGGACCAACATCCGGACCATAGTCAGAAGTCAACACCCCACGGGACACAGGGAGCTTCCAATACAGGTCACCTTTGACGCAGCTTTAAGCCACCAATGACACGAAACCATAGGCACGAGAACTTTATGCATACGCTTTATCAATAACATCGGTGCTGCGGCTGTTGCTACCTTTCCACATCATCCTTTTCCTTGCCGAACAGACGTAACGACCGCGTATCGGAGAGAGGGACAAGTATAAGCATCGCAAACCCAGGTAGACCGAGTATTTGGAGGAACCGGAAGGAGTAAAAGCATGAGCAGGAGGTATACCAAAGACGTGTGGCTCAGTGTCCATGTCAGCGCCCATTCAAAGAAATCAGTTGACGACCGGAATATGATCCTGAGGGCATTTTACGGTTTCACGCAATGTCCAGTTATCGTGCAAGGAACAGGCACAAGGTCACAAAGGGCTTGCCTTGACGTCAATATTTATTGTTGAGGTCCCCAATTGGAATTGAAAAATTGAAAAAGCACTGTGCGCTGACCACGCGAGGTACAGTACCTGAACGTCCATTGGGTGGTGTCGTTTTTCCCCGCTGTCAACTTGGCGCCTGCGCCAGTAATCCGTATCCCGGCCGCGGGATATCGACAGCCGATGTAGAATTCAATCAACATCCGGGACCGATGACCCTGATAAGCCGAGAGGCATTGGCTATATGGAACTCGAGGCAGGCAACAATGGAATAAAATATTGAATATCGCCTTCGTATTCCCCCGCTGGAGGCACAGTGGAGCTGTGGAGTTGTTAGAGCCTGTGAGGTCATCAAGTAAGGATAAATGCAGGGTCGGCTGCACATGGAGTTCCTAGAAACAAACATCGCAGAAAATGAGGCTGAGAACGACCGTCGTGCAGCATGTAACAGCTGGCAACACTGCTTCTAACTAGCAACAAACATCAATTTGCAGGTGCGCGCACTGGCAGGCGATCCAAATAATACCACGTGGCTCCTTCGAAGGTGAATACCGCATTAGGACAAGAATGCTCTGCTCTGTTCTGCCACTGTGCCCTTGGAATGCGCCTTATTGTCGACGTTTCCCAGGTGGCATTTTCTCTTTATTGCCGTAGTCATGACACGCTCGGACAAGAAACAGCCAATCCTGCATCGCAGGCGCTCCCTGAGGCTCAGTAATCTCGAGAACGGTGGCTACTTGTTCATTATTATTCTTCCGCCGTACCACTACTGAAGCGAGTTCAGGTATAAAGTTAGATGATCCTCTCAAGGTATCCTTGAAAGTGTACAAAAAACGTCACAAAGTCCTTGGTAACGCGAGTCCCGTAGCGCCAGCCCCGTCCTGTTCTCCTACCATTGCCATGCACACTCGACGTATGACGCGGGCCGCACACTCGGACCCGGATAGTCGAGAACAAGCTCTAACATGGCGGGAACATGACCTGGCGCTCAAATCTAAAGAACTCGACCAACGACTTGCCGCCGTGTCGAAGAAAGAAGAAGAAACCAGTGCTCTCTTGCAGCAAGCAAAGGAACGAGAAGCGCGGGACATTTTCCGACAGCTAGAGGAGCATTTTACTTGCTCTCTGTGTGTCTCTTTTCTCTTCTTCTCGCCTTGACCTTGGGCTCACCCGATATTCAGTTGCTATGAAATAATGGCATCTCCGTTCTCTCTAAACGCCGCGGGACAGTGCGGCCACACGTTCTGTGCCATGTGTATCCTCAAGTGGTCATTCTCGCGTCTGCATAGACTTTGTGGCTGCTGGCATGAATCCGTCGATTGTCCCATCTGTCGGAGTTTGGTGGTCATGACACCTGAAAAGCCTCCTCGACTAGACTTCACGTTTCCTTTTGTTCCGAATAGAACCGCCTCAGCTGTATGTGATTCGTGGGTTGAAAAGCTTGCATGCGCGCTGTCCGAAACAAAGAAGGGGAGAGGCCGCAAGAAGAGCAGGGCGTGTGTTGATAACCCCACTGATTTGCCCCACTGGAGAGAAGGCGGCGCGGCGCGGAAAGAGTGGCTTAGGAAATGCAGGCATGTCAACCTGTCCATTAATATCTCGTCGTTTCGTGCTTATATGCCCTGTGTAGTGAAGGAAAGGCATTGATGTCCTCCTTATATAGCAATTGGAGCCGTCTGACACCCGAGAATTTCGCAGCCATGAAGGACGACTTGGGTGTATAGGCAGTATGGTTTCATCGTACTCTTCTCTTCCCCTTGATCCTAAAGGCCATTCATCATTCACTCTCCTTATAGAACCTCACCCCATATACCCTCGACGTCGCATCAGTTCACATGAATCACTTATACTTATTGCATGCCATACTCATCCACTTGCAATCGCCATTATCCTGTATTATTACCCATCTTATTTACTCATCATTGCTCCTCGCAGCTAGATTGAACGAACAAATAATGTGTCAGTAAGCTACATTGAATAGTGTCAATATGATACGGAGTCTTAAATAGATAATTACAAAAAGAAACAACGTTCTTTGAGTCCTCGCATCCCTAAGATATCCTGTACTTTGGTTAGCGAGTGCCAAAAGGGAAGTAACAGAACATTTACCCAGTCTGCAGGTGTCACCCAAAGCTCTGAGGATCCATCCATTTTGCCAAGCACGGCTGCGCCCTTCCATGCAAGCACACGAGGATCCACTTCCTTCGGAGGTGCGAGAATCTGGACCTTCTCCATGTTCACCACCAGCGGTGTTGCAATGGCCTGAAGCCTATCAATCAACAAAAAGTCAGCACCAAGGGGCGAACGACAAGTCCAAGAGCCTTTTCACCTGCTTTCCAATGCATGAGCCATACCTGGAACAAGAGCGCCCCCGCCGATAACGAGAACGGCCTGAAGATACTTTCGTATCTTATCATCTCCGCCAGACGCCCGCGCAGAATTAAAAATGGCCACATCCAGCGGCAATTTACTGGCTTCGAAGCATACGTCAATGTCATCACCACTCGTTGAACTTGAAGGTGGAGGTATCGGCTCCGGAGCATCGGGGAGGGGCATCGGCTGCGGCAGGTTTCCCGATCCTTTATTTGTGTCTTCGATGCTGTCAACGTCCATAGGCGTTCCCGCTCCCGAATCTTGAGGGGCAGGAACCGACGCCACATCATTACTCTCAGACTTTGTTGCGTCTTGATGCAGGATCTTCATCAGCCATTTTGCCTTTGTGAAGGATCATCACTTGCCTTGCGAATCGATAGGAGGCCCTCCGGATGTTGGACTTGGCAGGAGATGTTGCGTAGAGATCATCATTGCTGATGTCTACCAGAGGCGGTTTTTAGCCATAGGCATCTTGAAATGGACGGAATGGACTGACCACGTTTTCTCCTTGGATTTCGAGCACGTCTTCCGTGACATCCAGATGGCCGTTCAATTGGAATCCTACGCGCTTCCGGTCAAAGTCTATGACCCGAGGTTCGAATAGACACTGGCATTGACATTTACTACTAAGTGAAGAAATGAGAAACAGAGAAACCAATACCATAGGCGCGAGAATGATTTCGTCGTATGCTCGTAAGCCGTACTTTTCAGTAGGTTTCCCCGGTCTTCGAACGACAAAGTCGTAAAGATTGAGGGCCACAACACTCTGCGGCGCAATTATCATGCAAAAACTATTATGTCACGGGGTCCTTTACATACCTCGGTCAGAGTGCACAGTCTCGACTTGAGATCTTCCATAATGTTCCAGTCGTATGCCCGGGAAAGGTCGATATCCCTATAGGGGAAACCAATCCTTTCCAGTAGCACATAAAGAAACTCTGTAATGTCATCACCGCCTAAATTCAGGTTCATTCTACTATCGGCGATGACCAGACCCTCGTCAACACATGCTAACGAAGTTGATTTGGCACCGATGTTGACGACACATGCATTGGAGACTCCAGCACCATACGTTGCTGCCAAAGATTCCTTCAAGACGATCAGTACGGATATAGGCGTTAGATAGGAATACGAACTTGCTGAGCACATAGTTGCTTGAATCCCATGCCAACCAACAGCATGTTCACCCACTCACGGACGTACGATCTATCGTAGAAATCCGGAACAAGGAGAATGACAGAGAATATCTGTGTAGATTGTTAGAGAACAAAGAGGCTGACGTTGCTCTCCTCACCCCATAGTCCCGCTGATTTATATTGAGTTTGTCTCTCAATGTTTGGCGCAATATCATTTCTATGTCTCCCATAAGCACTCGAAGAGAAGAATAATCGCGAGTGTTGAAATTGGGACCGTAAATGGGCCATTTGACCGAGTATCCTGCACGTTGAGGATCTGCTATGAGAAGGGCCTGCCACAACATAAGAACAATAGAATAAAGGATTCAAAGTGGCGTACTTTCTCCCCAACCAGGACATCCTTACTACATGATTCGTCGACCCATTCTACCTGGAAGGGGTCGTTGTGTTCTGGTATGATCTCGGGCTGAAAAGCGGCGTTGAAGGTAGATGCAAGGTTGGCAGCATTAGGTGTGACGCGCAATTTGTAGAACCTCATCCTGTCTCGAAGAGAAACAATGATTGCGGAAAGCTTTTCTTCGAACTGTTCGCAGCTGGATCCTCAGCGATATCCACGATAAGGAGAAGAGACGTACAGGATCCTCGGATGAGTCGTTGTCCTCAGCAGAAGGAGAATTAGCCACACTAGGTGTCCCATGTCTGCCTTTTTGTGGTCTCGAAATGCCCTTGACGAAGACAGGTGTTGGTGTCGGCGTCGTCTTGCGCGCTATGACATTTGGTACTGCGACGGGTGTAACATCTGACGCGCGCCCAACGCGGAGAAACCGGGATCCTGGATGTATGACAAGGACAGCGGTACCACGCCTGGCATTGTGCTCAACTCTACGTAGCAGACAAGAAGAACATGGTGCTCACCTATCTTTGTTGGTGTCCTCTGACGGCGCTATGCTCTTTCGAATCGAATTTCGATACCAAACTGTCTGTGTATCCGATTTCAGATATGTCGTACCCAAATGCTTCGGATTAGGTCTAAGAAACGGGCGTCAAATCCGAGAAGAAAATTTGAGCAATCGAACTGACGGTAGCGGGATGTTGAAGGAAGTGTATCGGAGGCCTGTGTCATCGCGCTTCACATTTGGTATTCCTCTGGGCATGTTTTTGAAGGATCCGGCCAATAGGTGATGGAGGAAGAGAAGTAAAGGAAAGAATGAAGACCATCATCGAAATGGACGCGTCCATCACTTTGTCCCAAAACGGTCATGAACGCTGGTCTGGGAATTGCTGGTCATCTTACTCGTCTCATGCAAGCTGAAGGCTATAACACGATATGGGTATCGTGAAACAGAGGCGAGGGATGATATCTCGAGAACGTAAGGAGAGGCACTTTCGAAATCAAATCATGGCGACACCTTTCGCAGCTTGAAGAACTGCCATGAGGTCTGTCTTGCTACGACTTAATCGCATTCCACTAACAAACGACGAATGATACAAGCCCAACACCGTGGTTAAGATGAAATGATCATCTGCGTTCAATATTCAATCCAGGGTGTTCATTCACTTGTTAAGAAAACAGCCGCGCAGTCTCCTGAGATATATTCGGCTGAGGATAGTTCAAAATGTTGATGGAGCAGTTGTTTATAGGGCTGATGTGTCCTTACAAGTTCATCCTGCACCAGAACACCTTGCATCTGACGCGCGAACTTAACCGACACTGGCTGGCCGCTGGCCGAAATTCGCCAATGTCGCACTCGTCGTCTGTGAAGGCCTTTCAGCGCGCCATCTCCAATACCATCCGTCTAAGTTATCTGGACTTAGCAATTGTGAGGCAGCTGTGCGACAATTTACCGGAACTTCAAGTTGATGGTATGGGAACGTTGCCCTAGCTATCCTTTCGCAAACGTATCCTTAGTTGCGCTTGCTGAGTCTCCGCTTGTAGTTCTTTACATTCCAATGATCTCACGGCACTGTTAGCGGAATCTTGTGACCTTCGTGGCTACGTGTATCATTGGCTTTGTCAACCCACATAGACGCGTACATGTTACTCCCAAGTTCTTCCAGGAGTAAGGGCCGGATTCCACAACCTGTGTCGCCGCTCGTCGACCACCCACTCAGGATCCAAGTCCGGGCATCCGTCTTGGGTATAAAGCATTACATGTGAAGGTCATACGCTCCTTTCCGCCTTTTTACAACGATGCTGGTTCCGTCTGCTTTCATTATTCTTGCCGCTGCCCCCGTTGCCGAGGTTTCTGCCCATGGTTACGTGCCCAGGATAGAAATCGACAATAAGAAGAGCTCATAATGGTCGTTCATCTGACTCTGGATAACGTTGCCTCGCTTTCAGATGTTTAGATTCTAGTTTAGGATGTGACGTCGAGTCCATCATTGTTGATACGCCATTGCTCATATTGGCCCTTCGACAGACCCATATCAATCGCCTCAAGTACGCATACTTTGTCTGCTTCGCGAAATCTGTGAGTGTAGCAGTTCCTTACCATAAGCAATGGGAACAAATCTCCTTCTAGATTGACTGGTGGAGACAACGGTAGGACCTCTTACATTTAGTTCCACCTTCTCTAAATAGCCCGGATCCTGTTATAGAATATATGGCCAAATGGCCGGATGGAGGATGTTCAAAGCTCTTTGCCGATACGACCGATTCAGACGCTCCTTGGTTCAAGGTTTGATTTTGTTTGCATCAGTCCAGCTTCACGCATTTGTTCATATGTCGTCTTTACGGAAGATTCAACAAAGCGCCTTTGATCTCGCCACCTCCACTTGGGCCTCGGACATTCTGGCCAAAAACAATGCCAGTTATGACGTTACTATGCTAAAGATGAACCGTTTATTCAGCTGCGCTATCGTCAACAAATGACCAGTTTTGTAGGATATCGCCTCTGGATACTACGTAAGTTGGAACATGTTACTGGGCCAATGCTCAGATGCTCATTTGCCAGAGGGCAGTGTGCGGTTCTACCCAGCTAGCTAGTCATTCACACTGAAAATCATCTGACTACATATGGTCTAGTGTGCGTGCAACTTGAAGGTAATTGAATAACCCTCCTTGTCAAAAACTTTAATCTGACCGACAATACAAAGGTGACTGGTGGAGGAGATATGAAGCCATTCGGGTTTGTCCTTTCCGGCTATAATGTGGACTTTTGATATCCGTTGCCCGACCCGCAGTTTACTCATACGGGCCAATGGGCATCCAGTCTACAGATGCGGGCATCTTGTTTAACGTCTACCTTGGCGACGAAAGTAATGCGGTAAAGGGGAACATCTCTCATCTGTTATGTTCTGATTGATGTATTTGCTCTAGGCCTACGTTCCTCCAGGTGGAGATGTTTACCCTGGTCTGAACGATTGAAAGATGCAGATTTACTTAGATGAGCCCGGTCAAACTTTCGCGGCTAGAACCTGAATTGTTCTCGTAGCACTTCAAGATCACTGGTCGATCTTACACCAGCGCTGCAAAGAATATCACAGCCCACGACGGTCTTTCAGAACACTCAGTCCATTCCTAGCGCCCTCGTGCCTAAGCACAGTTCTACTTGCGGTTCTCTGTAGCCAACGATTCCATCACTCCCGTTAAAATTTATCAGGCGCCAGAGAATGGATGCATACAGAATGATCACAATATGGATGACCTTTTTGCCAAAGTCCACGCAAGTAGCACTTCAGGAACTAAAGCCAGGGCGTGAAAAACGTAGCGATCTTGCTTCCATAGTTATGGCATAACTTGTACGACGTTCACAGGGATCGGAGCGAGAAACTTCGGACTTTGTGATTTCAACTGACTCCTATGTACTCCTCTCAGCTCTGCCAATCCCAGGATGTATAATCCTGTTACGTAGGAACCACTTGAAAGCCATATTATTATTAGTGGCGGCCAGGCTTGCAGAGTAATTGCGGCAAGGGCCACACTTATGAATAAACTCAGGCTCGGTTACGAAAGTGAGCAATTATCCGCAGTATTTCAAAGGGGAAACAGGGGAATAGAGAAAATGGGGTAGCAAGTATGTTTCGGTACCGAGTCCCACGAAGCGGCGCATCATCGTTTGATCAGCGAAGTTCAGACGCCGCAGCGACAATTTTTTGCCTGCCAGTGTACGCAATTTCAACAACGCTCCGGACTGATGTATTCAATGAATTATGATCGTGCCATGAACATCTTATCAAGACCGGAAGGAGCACTACTGTTCTAGTGTTGGATCATCTCATAACGTTGCCAGGGATTTACCCTTCAAGGAAGATCGAAGTAAATTCCGGCTCAAACATCTAGCGTTTGTTGAACAGAAGTCCAGAGTTTCTTTCCGTCTTCTCGCCATTTGCTAAGCCGTCTCCGTTCCAATGGCCTCGAGTCAGGGTTTGTTTTTGCTTCCATGTTTAAAAAAACTTGAGTTCTAATTCGGCATGAAGACGCCTAGGAAATCTTGAGTTTAGAACGTGTTCCCACCTTGGTCTTCTCAGTAATTGTGATGTGTTCTATTTTCAGGATATTAATAGTAGCTGGCCTACAGTTCGCGACTGATTGCCATCTGCTCAGCCATGCACGAGTACCAAGTACTGAGTGCTGAAAGTTGTGTCCTGCTGCCTGAAATCCAAGATATCATACAAAATTTCATGTTGGCCATATAACTGAACGGATGAAGCGAGTTCAAAGGTTCACCGTTCGGAATTTTTAGGGAACTCTGCAAACATGCCTTTCCAGCACTGTCAGGGGTTAATTGCCACAGACTTCGGACTGTTACGCATTCCGTTGTGAATATATGGGAGAGTGGACCCTGAGCAGAGTGCGGAGGGAATGCAGATAGATTCTTACACGCCGGCTACCTGATAGTTTTTTGAGTAATGAAAATGTATCTTCAAAGTGTCATTGATGTTATCACCATGGCTGTCGAATTCTTCTCTTCTTCGAAAGGAGACTTGGAATCCGGCGAAGTCCAGTCCGAGTCGGAATAGCAATAACAGGTGATCTGGACTACCTTGATCTCAAGTGCCTGTCCACATTGATATAGAGCTCAAAGTTTTTGGGATGTCAATCACGGAATGGTTGGTGTCACCACGAACCCTGCAGCATGGTTTGAATGGTCTGTCAGAATATATTAAACTCCTTCAAGGCCTGATTCAATGTCGAGTTCGCCATCCATGGCCATTTATCATGGCCGATGCCTCGTTAGGAACGTCGATACTGTATTCTGCGTTGAATCGTCATCGATCTCAACTGTTTATCTCAGCTCATCTGCCGGTGTCATTCGACCGCTTCCAGAGTAGAATTCGTTGTGCAAAATATACAGATTGCTATAAAAAGATGTATGAATGTACAGAGTACACTATGCAACAGATGATAAGTTACGGGGTATTTAAGGATATATACCTGTAGACGACACATGTCCGCTGAAATAGTACCGACTCTACCAAAAAGCACACCTATTAAGTTGGGATTAGCAAAAGTACTTAGTTGATAATCGAGTAACATTTCACTAACCATCCCGAGAAGAGCTGACACAGATTTTCCAAAGATGTAGCCTGCTTGATCAGCTTATCGACTTGATCAATGGCCGAAAGGGAATCGTCGGGATTGAAATCCCGTCCTAAAGCAAGCGTGAGCATTCTTGCTACGCAGCCAGCCAGAAAGTCGGACGCTACCTGTCAACTTGTTCTGGACACGATTGTATACAAACAACGCACGCTCATTTCGAACCTCCTGAACACCAAGAAGTCCGTCTATATTGAAAGGGTAAGACGGTTCCATGGAAACTATAGGGAAACCTTACCGTTGAATATGTCATTCTCATCCGCCTTTAGCTTCCTCTTAGGACCTTGAGCATAGGCGGTCGTATGTACCAACTGAACGAGTTCGGCGGCACGATCACCGTCGTTTGAAGCGTCTATAACATCAAGAGTATAAGAAATAGCCAAGACGCCGTGGGTTTAAAAGTTGTGACCTTGTGTCCCTCTGACATCATCCGCTTGCATGAGACGCCAATTTATGAGAGGATCATAGACGAAAGCCTCAAGCACAGCCATTAAGGAATCCTTGTTGTCGCGCAGAACTTGCATGGCTATTTCGCAAGTGTTTCTGAAGCTCCCCTCGATGCCACTCACCTATTATAAAACGTTATGAAAAAAAGACAGAGAGGCGAGCGGAAGGGATCGTTACTTGCCTCCATGGCGTGTGTTAGCATTCTAGTCAATCGGAAAGGTACTTTCTCTGGGAACTTCTCACGATGCATAGCGACTTCGAAACAGTCACCGAAATCAATGTGGACAACTTTCCCAGTATCTCTTTCGAGCAGCAAGTTCGATGGATGTCGATCCCCAAGACCAAGAATGTGCCCAGCCATGCAATTGACAGCCAATGAACGGGTGTAGGTGGCTCTCCGTTCCAACCAATGTTCTGAGTCACGACTCTTAAGCCATAGGACTCTGTAAAGGTCTTGACCCGTCGTGTTTTCCAGCGCGTACTCGAAAACTTCCACTTTCTGGAGAAGCGTGAGATTTTCGTAGTCAGGCGCCATCTATGTCACACATTGGTCAAACTCAAAAGAACGTTGAAATCAAAGGATCCAACCTGTAGCATCAACCGATACTCAATGTTCAGAAGGACTTTTCGAGAGTCTCTGTAATCGCGCACAAGAACGTGGAAAGTGTCGCTGCCTTGGACCCACCCCAACAAGCCAGCATTAGGTGCCAGAGGGATAACCGGGAAACGTTGAATATGTAGACGCCGCATATAACTGTTGGTGTCCACGGATAACAGTGTGTTAACAAGACTGTACAACTGCATGACTCGTTCGTCTTGTCGAAGATCTTCGTGACCTACGACCGGCGTCGTTAGTTACGAGTTCATTAGCACTGACGCGCTGCTGTACCTTTCAAAACATACTGGTAATCTCTACCATCTGATCCCCGTAAAGTAAGCCGCCGCGGCCGTTGTTTGGAAGCAATTACAGGTAACTTGGGAGAGAAACTAGAGATCTTGATGATCTCACGTCCAGACTGGTAAGTACCTGGCCGTAAGTCAGACTAGGTACCATTAAGAAGAAGAATAGTATAGTATACCTGGCACCACTAGCTCAAGATCACGAACATTCAATAGAATTGGTGAAACATATTGCAAATCGAGACTAGTCAATTGAGGAAGCTGTTTCTCAATCTTCTTGAAGACCTGTTCCTCGAGAGGTCACGATGGCGCTCATAATTTTACAAGGGAAACCACCCACGGCATAATAGATGTCCCAGGCTTTATCCAAGTCACTGGTATCACCATACTGACGGTACCTTTGACATGCTTCACGCGCTCCCCGCAGATCTTTTCCAAAAGTCTGAATGAAGGAGATCTCTCTAGCAGTTGTTGGACCGGGCTGCGAACTAATGAGTTAAAAGTAAATACCCTTCGATGCGTGGACGTACTTCTTCCATGAGCTGGTGCAGCGGTTCTAAGGCGGCGATCATGCCTTCGGGATTTTTTTCTGTGAAATAGATGCGGGAGGCTTCTTCCAGACCCTCATGCCATAGTTCGTTCCAGAGGATGGCCACGCGTATGATTTCGTGGCTCACAAGTACGGCCTACGAAAACATGAAGGATAACAGTTACCACATGGGAGGCGGCTTACCTGGGCAACGATAACAGGATGGCGGTCTTTTAGATGTTCCAAGATGCCCATTGCGCCTTCCGATCGCGCTTTACTTGAGGACTTCGAGGCCACAGTCAAGGGATTGATCATAGCCTGGGGGTGGTGCCTTCCAATAATGAGAAGGACGTTTTGGATGTGGCGGCGGATCGTAGTATGAGGCGTTTGAATTCTGGCGATGATCTGTGCGAGGACCTAAGCTCGCGAAAAGCCAAAAAAAAAAAAACCAGAAATTGCAGACCTGCGGAATCACTTCCAACCAGTTGTCTACTCCAACTTTGGCAAATCCTACCGCGATGACTTGAGCAACATCGGGGTGACCGCCAAACTTGAACCATAGCGTCAAAATACGTAGTGTATCCTGCAAAGCATCCGTGTTACGCAAAGTGACCGACCGGAAAAGACCTAAAATTGATGTTGAGCATGACATGTCCGTCTACAAAAGAAGAATGTCACCTTCTATTGCATTGACAGCGTGCACCGCCAAGGCAGGAGGTGGTTGGTCAACGAAACGATACTCTGGTCTACCTTCCATGTAAGTGACAACATCCAAGTTAGCCAAGGCCCAGGTGTGCCAAGCTTTGTACCATTCTGCATCATGGTATGTGGCATTGACATAACAGTTCAGTATTCCCTGCGCATCTCTCTGCAACATGCATTAGGATAAAGGAAAGTAGACCGCCAAAATATACTGACCGAAACCCAGTCGTCACTTGATTTCATTTGCCATTGGCCTTGTTTGAAATAGCAACGTGCTAGTAGTTTGGACAGCTGGCTCTTCCTTTGCTTGGTAACCCAAGGATGAGCATGGCCATCATCTGCTTGTAGATCGCGGGCGAGATTGTTGGAAAATTGACGCAGAAAAGCGAGACTGCCTTCTTTGGACCCAGCCGCCCACAGGAACTTGAGTTGTGCATATACCACATTGGGCGGAACCTTCATGCGTTGATCGCGAGGATTGTGAAGCTGTCGAAAGAAGGTCAGGACAAAGTCGTTAAGAAGATAATTGTACGTACGTCAGTAGCATGAGGCGCCAGCAGGGCATTGATCATCTTCTCGGCCAGAGCCATACGGTCCTGCTGCCGACATAAGTTTGCAAACTTGATCCACATTACAGGGTCGTCCTCGGGATTAAGAACCAATGTTCGGACTTGAAGTATTCTTTGCCAGACTTCCACGTCATGTTGACACCCTTGCAGGCTAACTCATGTTCAGTGACAAGATAACCCAACTCGAGAGAACTTCGACGATTACCGTTTTATCCACGTCTTACGCATAGTTTGTTGTCGTTCAGGCTGATCGGCATATTGCTTGTAAGCGATGATTTCCTCCAACTCGGAAAGTATTTGAGCGCGAACCATAACACTATGAGAAATCAGTAAACGCGTACCTACTTTGCTGGCGACTCACTTGTATGATCGACCATAACCTTCACCAACAAAGGAAGTCAACTCAGGATCCAGAAGATCACGAGCTTTGGCAACATGTAGCAGAGCTTTCGGGAACTGGTTCTGGTGCACAGACAGGATAGCACGATAGAAGGCACGATCTGTAGAATCAGACTTCATGGTAGTAATATAATCCTCCATGGAGTCCCATTCATTCAGAGACCATGCAGCGGCAGCAGCTATGGGCGCAATTTCGCGACGGTCTTCTGCGCTTGCATTGGTCCATATCTCGTCAACCTGGGTCGCCAATTGATCCCAGTCACCCAATGCATGTAGACACTTCATCCGCCCAATTTGAACATCAGCAGAAGAAGGATCCAATTTTGCCTTCTGATCATAGACACTCAATGCCTCCTGCCACCTTCCTAGCCTTTCATACCATTCCTCTTGTTTGCTAACATCATAATGCTCGTGAGCCATGACCAGCGTCCCCCAAGCAGCGTCATGTTGTTGAAGACGAGTATTGATCGAGATGAGCGCTTCGATGGTAGAGGGTGATGCTTCAGAAAAGAATTCGAGCTCCTTGTAGTGAAGAGCTTTTGCGTACGCCAAGTTCTTCAGCGCGCACTCTCCAAGAATCTTGTGTTCTATAGGCAATGGTTTTTCTTCATGTTCCATGAATTCTGCAAGTCCGAGTAAACGATGTATCAGCTCGGAAGGCGCAGTAGCGGACTTCAAGGCTGTTTCAACCGATCGCACGAGATCCTCCTGTTGGCAAGACCGCTTAGTTCAATCAAAACACGGACATGGAGAAAAACTTGACAAACCTGATATTGATCATAGAGCTCCCCCCAGCACGACAAGAATGCGGGGTTGAACAATTCTTTGGCCAGAGGAGTATGGATGTCGACAAGACTCATACAGGCACGAAGGGCATGCGACGGAGATTCTTTCATGAGTTCGACGGTGAGGCGGTGGATCCAATCAAGCCAATCGTCCCGGGTGCTGGTCTGAGAAGTATCCCAAGCCGTTTTCAAATGTTGTTGGTTCACTGTGAGCTTGGCAGCTTCGGCAGCAGGAACAGAGAACTCGGCCGACTTCGCGTTCTCGATTGAGCTTTGAAACGTGTTAAAATAGACCAGGAAGAATCCAGCAGAAACCCTACAGCAATTCTAGCACCCCAGGTTCCTGAGGCAGCTGTTCGCCATTGAGAAGTTTGGTGATTAGGTTCTCGTACTTTACGTGAGGGATGCGATTTCGAACAAGAGCCTAATAGAAACACATGATTTCACACCCTCGGTGACTTATAAAGGAATGAAAGACTAACCTTGTTGATAGTGGGGACGAAGATAGCAAAGTCTGAACCCAATTGAATGCAAAGTGAGCACAAGGTGTCCATAACCGCGAGCCGCAGCTCATTTTGCGAACCTTCCAATACACGAACTAAAGGGAGAATGATCCGCGAGGCGTGGTCGGAGAAATTCACACGCTTTGATAAACCATCGATGGTCTGAATGGCTTTCTTGCGAAGAGGCATCGTGCCATCCAGGCGGTCATAAGACTTAACAATCAGAGGGATGATGAGATGGAGGTACTCCTCGATGTTGGCGCCGAAAGTCTGAAAGGCGTCGAAGATCTTCATCTGTGTATTCGTCCTTTTATCGTTGAGCTCCCCGTCGAATACTTTTAGGACCAGTGGAAGGACAGAAGGTAGGAAAGGTTTGAACTCGGCATTCAATGCCTTGCTCAATGCCTCGATGAGGGACACAATTGGAAGCTGAAGTGCAACATTCTCCCATATGTCTCCGATGAGGTTGAAGATGATCTGCATGTAATTTCGTATATGCTGCTTGATGATGCCAACCAAAATTGTCAGCTGCTGCAAGTGGAATTCTTGTAGGCGAGCAGCAGAATGCTTCGTCACTGTCGCGAATGCAGGAATGATCTGGGGAAAGTTAGTGTCATGGCCATCAGAAATGTTGTTCTTGGGCACACCTGCGGCAAGAATGATGCGCATTTCAATCCTTGAGTCTTGAAGATGGACATGACGGCTTCAATGGCTGTATGATGATGTGTACTGAGGGACTGATCCTTCAAAATGGCCAACAGTGCGTTGATGACCACATTTTGATAGTAATCGTCGGTTACCATGGTTGGAGTTTGGTTTATGGGGACTTGATTAACCGCAGTGATCAGCGTTTCACTAGAAGCATCTTCTACCGAACTTCCCTGCTCCTGATCGGCCATCATTAGATAATTGCCGTGAAGGCGTAGGAGAGTGCCTCACCTTCCGTCTGTATGGATCGACTGCTCCAAGGATACCTAGAACTTTCACCACTTCTCGTCGGACAGCCTGCGAGCTTTCTGATTTCAAAATCTTCCCCAGAAGCGGTAGTAATTGTGGGTAGTCGACAAGCGGATCAATGACATATCCAGTGCTAGAGCAGACTTGTCCAAGAGTGTGAAGAGCCGCATCTCGTTCGATAAGCGACGGATCGGACAGCTTCTCCGTCAAGACCTCCATGATATCTCCGATATGGTCCATGGTTTCCTCTCCCGCAACGCAGGCAAGCTCGCCCAGGCACATCAAGACATTGGATGCCGCCGCAGGATTAGGGTCGTTGGCTTTTTTCAACAAGACCACAAGAATGGGTATAGCGTAGGGTTTGATAAGCCGCTGAGTAGCACTGATCAGTAACGAAAGCAGCCGAGTGCACTCCTCGCGATTGCGACTAGTCAGATGGTCAATCACGAAGGCCATCAAATAATGAAAAATCACTTACATGACAGTCGTGTATTCTAGCTCAGTCAAGAGCTGAATAAGTGCTTTACGCAGGGAGGGGACAACATAAGCCGGATTGTGCTTCGCGAGTCGCCCAATCAATGAGACCGCAGTTATACGATTCTCGAACTCCTCATCATTTAAGGCTATGAACAAAGATCGTACGTTTTCTGCCTGAGCTAGATGCTTGTCAAAGCGCTCGTGAAGTGAGGAAAGTACGGTCTGCCTGATTGACGGATCTGCGGAACGGTCAAGAACTACCAGGAAGACGAAGTTTGAAGAAAACCTGCCTGGGTCAGCTATGCCTACCGTCAACAGTTTGTCTAAAACGTCGCTGATAATCTCGATGGCGTGGCTACTAGACTGGTAGCAGATAGGATCCCGCACAAAAAGACGACAGCAAGTCAAAGCGGCAGCGCGCCGTACGTCCGCGTTATCGTCCTCCAGATACGATAGTGCACACTGTCGAACGAATTCATTCAACAAGTGCCCTAGAAGAGGTTTGATCATGGGAAGGAGACATGCGGTGCGGAGCTTACCTGTGAAGTCAAAAGAACCGAGTGTTGTGAGAGCTAGTGTGATTGTCTCCGAGCTTTTGTCGTTGGCAGCAGCCTGAATTCATGAGAACGCCTGTAGGGTAGAAAGCGGATATTGAGCTCACCTGTGCATTTAACTCTCTGTTGACGGTAGAAACCTCATTCCTGGAAAGCGTCGACGGGGCGCCGAGGGCTTTGTATGGCTGTCCACTAAGAATCATTGACAACAAGTCCAATAGCTTATCTGCAAAAGTATAAGTGACTATGATTGTTCCAAGGATGGGACACAGACCCTGTATGGTGCTCAGAAGTGGAGAAATGCAATGCACTATAGCTGTCAACGCTTGACAGAGTGGCTCGCTAAGTCCGGCAGCAAACATGAGGTCGAGTTGGTCATGGAGCAACTTAGTCAAATGAGGACCCACTGCAATGGCAAGCATACCGATGCATTGGAATATGGGCTCCTCTGATGTCGTGTTCTTTCTCCTAATTCGAACTTAGAATCTTTACTCCAGCAGGTCAGGTCTGTGACTTGCCCTCTATTCTGTAATCCAACTTTGATGTGCGCCATGATCGAGTCCAAAAAAGGTTTGATATCACTGCCTATGGCAGTGGCCGTATGTCCGATAGCAATGAACGCTGCGGAATGGTGAGATGACCGAACACCGACAATTCGTGTCTAGGCATACCAAATTGTTTTTCATGGGGCTTTTCGAGCTGGGTCAGGAGATGGCTCATGGATTTATGAAGGTAGTTATCCTTGAAAGTTTGCGTATCATAGGCGGCTAGAGATGGTATCATTGCAATAACTTGTTTGCGAACAAGGCCGTCTCGGTGAGTCCGGAATCGGAGAATTTTCTCCGCCGTATCCATAAAAGTCTCCTTCATAAACTGGATGACATTTGTGATTGAGGACACGAACAGAGAATATGAGTAGACGCACCATCCCAGCATGCAGAAGAAGTGCTCTGTACGTCAGTAGAGAGCCATGTATAATTTCTGGTTGCTGCATCCTCAGTCCTGCCTGGGCTTCCGTTAAGATTCCGTTCAGATAGGTGTTCCGACTTTGACGCTCCCGCTGCACGACAATTTCTAGGCAAGCCGCCAGTAGCTCAGCCGCGCCCTCCCTGACATTGACGCGCTGATCTCGCAAAGCAACGACTATGTTTTCGAACACAAGGCTTATGTGGGAATGGAAATATCCGGGGCTGTTTCGAGCGAGCTCCTTCAAAATTAAGACGCCAGCATATCGAGGGGATTCCTGCTTCTCCGGTTGCATCAGTTCGATTGCAGCAGGAACCTCGTAGTCCATAAATCGGTCCCCAAAGGCAGAACCGCCAATATGTGCTATCTGTCCTAGGGTCTTGGAAGCCACCAACATAAGGTTGACGTCTGAGTGGGGAAGAAGATGCTTGACATAGTTGTAGAATCGAAACAAGTTGCGCTTGGACTCGATAGTCTCTCCGCTGGTAATTTCAAGGAGGTGATCTGATCACTATGTTAGTTCGCGTCGCAGGAAGGAGTATCGCCAATGACGCGCCTATAGCCAAAAGTCCACCAAAGTTTTCCGTTGTACTCTGGCTATGCATAAGGTCGAAAAGCCTTCGATTAATATTATCATCCCACAGTTTCGCAGCAGCATCAGGCGTCATCTCGGCAACAGTCGTAGAAACCTGGATATGATCATGAGCCGCCAAAAAGGTCGGGAATAACAGAGAAATTCACATATCGACACAAGTTGACAGATGACTCCAGTCGTACTTCATGGCTCTTGTTTTTAAGTCCTTGGAAAATCTGCGACAAGGCATCGGACTGCGCCGACTGTACAGTGGATGTCATGGCCCGCCAGGATCCAGATCGTAAGAGAGGAAGATATATACGGTATTGTCGATGTATTGTCGTGTGTACGTTCTTGGGTTTAGGTGTACCTTCCTAATTGGTAATCTTCAAACATGTGTGGCTTGATGGTCTAGTAGTATGATTCCTTGTTAGGGCTGTACCAATTCGAGGAGGTCCCGGGTTCAATTCCCGGTCAAGCCCGGCCACTGGACTTCCTTTTTTTCTTGTTACCCGTAACTTGGACAGCTAACTGAGAACTTGGAAGTAACTGTAACCTTGGTTCGAACCTCGTGCTGTGTCACGGGTGAAACTGCTGTTCTGAATCTGCGAATGGTACTTTGGCTTGGTGTCTATCTGTTCTTATCTTCCTCTTCAAGCGTTGACGGGAACCGTTCGTCCGATGTCCCGGCAGGTTTCAAGATCTACTGTATCATTTCTCAGGATCCGTTTCCTGAGTGGCAAGGGTCCGGGCGTCAAGCAAGTCCGCTGCGATAAACATCAGTCATCGTGGCAAATGCTTCAGCTCGATGATTGAATCAGCACCGGCGGTCCGTCGCCTACGGCCGAGAGATTCGGGAAGCTCTCTTTATCAGGCGGCGCACAAATCCAGCCCTTTCAACGAAAAATATATCCTATCGATTCACTGCGCTTGATAACATGTAGTCTGAGTAAATCTACAGACAAGGCGGATCTTCAACAGCAAGCTATCAAGTTGGCAACCGCTTATTACAGGTCCGAACTTGGCGGCAGGGGAGGCTGGAGTTGATCGAGGCACTTTTGATCAGAAGCTCTACGTCAGAGATCGCTTAGCGAATTTTACATGTACATACGTTGCATAGCCGGTACACTCTGTATATAACTATGGCATGCATTATCAGGGTCGTTGCGGCTACTGTTCCTCCGTGCCACCATGGTCCTTGATATTCAAGCTGGCTGTTTCGGTACCTTCTTCAGGAAGAACAAATGTCGCCTCCCACCTGCCACTCCTGAGCCCTCAAAGCAAGAAACAGAATGTTTGAAGGCAAGTTTCAGGACTATAATCATTCTTGCAAACAACTAATGGATGTAAAAAGGGCTGTCTGAATCTTAATTGTGATTTCTCGTATGCGACCCCCTCAACATGGTGGAATATTCACGATCCAGTTCCGACCTATTCTCCACCCCAAGATCACCACATTGATTCCTTCCGGTGTCCAGAGCTCATCAAGATCGTTGATACCACTCTCGACAGTCTCAGTCCCACCCTTAGGCGCCTTAGCTTGAAAATTCATGGCAAGTATCTATATGGTCACCAACATCTGACCCCCGTCGCCCGCTGACACGGACACGATCTAGATCATCCAGAAATTGGTTTCGAAGAACGGTCAGCACACAACCCGTTCCTCTTCTATACCGGTTCTCAATATGTTCCTGAAGATATGCCCACGATCTTCTGTCCGCCTACATGGAAAATCACGGTTTTCAGGTCACCAGACAATACCTGGGACTAGATACTGCCTGGCGTGCCGAGTACACACACGGAAAAGGCGGTAGCACTCTCGGCATAAATTCTGGTAAGAACATAGTAGTCCTTTCGGCTTTGAATGTTCTCACATATCCAAGAAATGGACGGCCTCAGCGGTATCGGCCATGCTTGCGGTCACAATCTTATCGCTATCAGCGGCTGCGGCGTCGCTATTGCTGTAAAGGCTGCCCTGAAAGCACTGGACATCCCAGGAAAGATTATACTTCTCGGTACGCCCTGTAAGCAATGAATCCATATTCACAACAATCGCAGTTTTAACTTCCAAAACAGCCGAAGAACGCGTGGGGGGCAAGATCATCCTGCTGGAGCGTGGTGCATATAAAGACATGGATCTTTGCGTCATGTAAGTATGCCTCGTCTTCCCAAATCAAGCTCATTGAGGACCTCACAGGTGTCATCCGGGTCCCGGACCTTCCAACTCGGCTAATCTTGGCTCGACGACAGCGATGCAAGAGGCAGAAGTGGAATATTTTGGGCAAACGCAAGCACCGTGTTAACTTTATTTCCGCTCATCGCAACTGAGTTATGTTTGTAGCGCGCACGCGGCAGCTGCCCCATGGTAAGGACATTTCCGTTCTCGAAATTCTGACCCCAAAAACCATAACCCTCTTTCAGGGAAGGAACCAATGCTCTCGACGCCGCTTTCTTGGCATACTCGAGCATCTCCGTCCTTCGACAGCAGATAAAACCTGACCATCGTATTCACGGCATCCTAGGTGGAAAGAATTGGTCTGCGAATGGTATGTACCGCCGTCTAAACCGGGTAGCCGACATTGAAACCAAGATTCTCTAGTCATACCTGACTACGCCCATATGACTTGGATCATCCGCGCACCGACTCATGGGGAAACAGGTGAATTCGCTGAGCGTGTCAAGGCTTGTTTTGAGTAAGCTCTCATTCCTATTCACCGATAACGAGCGTCCAACTTTCCCGGGATCAGAGCAGCTGCCCTAGCAACAGCATGCAAAGTCAACATAAAGTTTGCGAGTCCATATTACGAGCTCCTTCAGAATAGCGTTCTTGGCAAGTGATAATCGTTCCATTGGCAATGTCAGACTCACCTCGGTCATCTGATTGTCACAGGAAAAGAATTCGCCGACAAGGTCGGGAGGAACTATGGTATGGTATCATCAAACGGAGATGGATCATCAGCCTCGACAGACTTTGTGAGGCCTGTGTTTCTCCGTTGTTTCCCCCGCTGACCATCTTCTCTTCATTTCAGGGCAATGTGTCATTCGGTTAGTAATTACAGCTAATTACAGTTTGAAACCCCGGTCATGAAAGGACTTCTTACTCTCACTAGCCATTCCCGCACTTCACCCATGTTATGGTAAGGATGTGTGGTGTATCGCGATCAACAGCTGATTTCTCTTTCAGCTATTCCGACTGAGCCCAAAGGGGGTAATCACACACCTGCATTCACCAAAGCTGCGGCAACTATGGAAGCCCATGAAGCTACGATGACAGTAACCAAAGGTCTTGCTCTCACAGGACTTCGGGCGTTACAGGATAAAGTTTTCCTCAAAGCTGTGAGTGGTATCTGTCTCACTGGAAAACGTCGCTGAGGTGAACGCTTTGCAGGTCAAAGCAGAATTTGTAACCCAAACCCAAACGCGGGCATCTGTGGTTTGACGAATTTGACGAATAGGAGGCACGCAGACGGCTGCATAGTCGCCATATGGAGTCCATCGTATATATACTCACACGTTGGTATTTGATATCGGTGAATTCGCCTCTTGAATGATTTACAGCTTTGATCAATCAGTGGCCGTCTTTCAAATCGAATTTATATGAGTTACTACCTGCCATATCTTTCCTGTATCCCTTTATGTATGATTTATCTGCGTTGTGATTAGGACGCATCGGGGGGCTCGCGCCAAACTCGATAGTCGCCTATTCCATTCGACATGCGGATCGTACGCAGAGATTCGAGAAAATGACCTGCTCGAGACGCGTTCATGATGTCAAGCATAGTTGAGCACGCTGCTTTAGTAAGTCAAGAGTCTACGTTGGATGCGACATGCTTCTGGAGATGCTTCTACGCTTTTGCACTTCCAGTGTGAAGCTCATAGGATCCCGCGCAACATCAGATCGGTCTGAAATTATAATACTTAGAGAAGGTGCGCTGCTAGATGGCAAAGAGTCGTTGTGATACGATGTACGTGGAACATGACGCGGACGCACCACGTTGGAATGTGATAAGCCAAATGTTCGCGACAGAAAAGTAATGGGAGAAGGAAGGAATGGTGGGATGGGGAAGAGGGCGCCCTTTTATAATTTTATAACTCGTCGGGGGCGAGGGCGCGCAGATCGCGCATGATGATCGGAATGCGTCATAGATACGTCAACCGTCGGTCGGCACGGGCGCAAAATCGACGCATTGTTCGAGCTCAGCCAATGGCAAGCGGTATCGTTTAGCCAATGAGAAATCAGTCAGGCTCGTCATAACAGTCGTACTAGGATATTCCTAAAGGTTTAAAGATAACTAGATTCCATTAAAATACTGATCATCCCTGGCATGAAAGATAAGAAAAACTTATTCTAAAGGAAACATAGCAAAGACGCAATCAATAATCATACTCACGTAGAAGCAGAAGGCTCAGGTGCCGACGCTTCAGCAGGAGTAGGCGAAGGCTTCTCCTTGGCCTGTTTCTCAGCGAGTTCTTTCGCTTTAATCATCTCTTCCCGCTTGGATTTCGCAGCCTTATGCTTCGGTTTAGGTGCTGCAGCCTCAGCTACCATCCTTTCTAGTTCTCTGCGTTCCGCATCCGACTCATCTGGCACCGTTGACTTGAAAATGGCTCCGATGAGAAGTAGTCCCTAATATGAGCGCATCAGCACACGTAAATACGAACGAAGCACGACTGACTCTGGCCCGGTTGTACATAACCCTATCTGGGACGCCTTGCTCTTTCAACACATGATCAAGTACTTCACGAAGAACTTGTACCACTTCCAGTCGTGCTCCACGCCATGACGCCAGCATAATCTAGGGGACTCAAATCAGGAAAGAGCGCAAGGAACGAAATAAATGCCCCCCTATACCTTGCCAGTCACATCCATTTCAAGCGCTCTTAGTTCCTCTTCGCCCAGTTCACCCTTAGCCTGCATCTTCTCCATTTCCTGCAAATTCGACGCGTTACTTCACATAAGAAGCTGAAGGCGAGAAAACACTTACGAGCATCACATCTCTCACGCTCAATCTATGGTGCGAGTCAAGCAATACGCCACAGGAATATGAAGAACAGACTACGTACGCGCTTCCGATAACGCCCCAAACGTCTTTGGCCAATGAGCCCTTTTCCTTCAAACGCGAAAAGAACCCTGGGCTATCACGCGTTCAATACACGAAACAAATCAGCTGAATCGGCCCGCCACGCACATGCCGAAAAACTTTTTTGACTTGAGGAATGAAGTTGCCTTCATCATGTAGACCATCCCGATGGTATGCAGAAGCTCGACGCCAAAGCTCTCTAGCTTCAAGTCCTCTGCTTCTCTCTTGAACTTTGCCTCAAATGCCTGTGTTTCCGGATCATCCTTATCACCTGGGTTCTTGGCCTCCACAAACGGACGTAGCCTCTCTGTTAGTTTCCTGGTCAGCGTCGCTACTCTCTCTTCCATGGCTTTGCGACGCTCTTTCTCTTGTTCTCGCCACTTCTCCCTGTGTTCCGCAGCTACTCTCTTCTTGCGTGCAGCAGCTTCCTTTTCCTTCTCTCTTGCACTCTCTTTGGCGCTGGGGGATAGTGAAGCTGTGGACGCGTCTTTGCTGTCATTGGCGTGTAGGACGAGGGAGCTTGGATGTAATTGGGCATCAGGCGGTGCAGGTTGAGGCGTCGACTGAGGAGTAGGTTGTGACGGCTTTGATGATTCGGAATTATCGGCAGAGAGCGTTGTTGATGTTGCAGAACTGTCGGGTTTCTGGCCGCCGTTGAGCTGAGTCTCGACCTCTGCTTTTTCTTCCTCTGTCATCATCGTAGCCACGGTTGTCATATCCTTCATGATGGTGATTTCTCCGATCTAAAGGCATTAAGGCATCAGTGATATTGAAAGCAATGCCCACCCACATATTCTGCAAATCGTTCACCGCCAAAGACATTGGCAAAGAAGCCGGCAGCATCCTCCATGTTGATTCCACCTTCCTTGTCCACCTTTGAAAATCAGGATATGTATGCAATGCAAAAGAAGGCGATTCAAGAACGCACCATAGATTTTCCGTTCTTATCGTACACAGCTCGCAAGTTCTAAGCGCCACGTTAGTAGAAACATAGAAATCTAAATTACACCACTCACCGAGTCAGAGAGAACTTGATAGGCCTTGCTAAACTCGATTCTTGAGTAAAATTTGTTGCCCTCGACCATGTAAGATGCAAATACCTGATTTCCTTGAACTTTTCTTCCGCATCGGGTGACGGGTTCTTGTCTGGATGATACTACAGCAGACTCAGCACATAGAGGAACAATTGAGGAGAAAAACGGTACCTTCATCGCCTGTTTCCTGTAGGCCTTCTTGAGCTGCGTATCATCGACATCCACGGGGACCCCAAGCTGGATAGAAATGCTTCAGTGGCAGGAGCTGAGTTTCAGATGCATTTGCCTGCGTACAAGGTCGTAAAACTCGGTTTCCACCGGCGCCATTAATCTTGAAGATAGTAGATGATAACCGTTGCTGTCAAGAAAGTGAGAGAAAGGTAGAAGTTACAGAAGAAAAGGAAGAAAATGGTATAACGGTCCTATAATGAATCAAAGTTTGACCCGGGCAAACTCAGACACAGACGATATCGTGACTTCATCGGATTTGTAAAAAATGATGACGCGCAGTCGCGAAAAAATCATCGGATCGTAAGATTCATTGCGTAGTGTACTGGTTATACAGCATAAATAATATCCGTAAAATGGGAATAAAATAGGCTGAACGTGTAGATATAAACAGAGAACTACGTGAATGTACGATATCGCAAAGGAACTCTGTACCTGCTTGTAAAGGAACGCCGGAGGTGCACGAGAATGGGAGAAAGGGCTTTAAAAATATACAACCCATAAACATATGTCAATCGTTCTCCTCTATCCCCAGGGCTGGCGTAGAAAATCGCACGGCCTTCTTCCGGGGCAGAATGTCTGACGTACTTGTGCGAGGCGATGATGCTGGGGAGCCCATTACGGACGATGGAGCTGAGAGAGACCGGGCTCCGGGTAGAAATCGCGACATGCGCATTTTCAAGGATGTAAGCGAACGGTTCGACTGCGGCGTAGAGGGGCAGTTGGACGTCACTGTCGTTGAAGAGGCAGTGGACAGACCAGGATTGGCTGACGATATAGTCGAACCTGGCTTCTTTAACGATGAGCGAGCAGGGGGAGGAGGGAGCACGACGGATGGGGTCGTACGACGAGACGTCTCATTCTGGGCGTGGTGATGCTGAGACCCCTGCGCAGAAGTTCGGCCGTATGGCGAATGGTACTGTGCCCTCGCTGGCCGCAAATGGGGAGTACGAGAAAGATGGAGGCCCATTGCAATCTGTTCAACTGTCGGTGGTGAAGACGACAGGTCGCGTTGCCGGAAGGATGATGGTATGTTCCTCTCTTCAGGGGTAGAATACATTCCACTCTTCTACAAAAAAGTAGGTGAGCAACAGACAATAGGAAGGTGATAATGAACGTACAGAAACATTCGGCTGTCGCTTTTTCATGGTCGAACCATGAGAGACCAATAATGATCGCTTCACCGAGGTCATGAATCTGGACGCTGTATTTTGGTGTAGGGTACAGAATGACGACGACCCTGTCACAAACTCCTCTTCGTAACGCTTAAAAGACGGCGAGGAATCAAGCAGCTCCGTCGTCGTATGGACATGGGAGGTAGCACGCGAAGATAGGGAGGAAGAATGTCGACGGTGAGTGGGTCGCGGTGTGCTCATCGGGTCGAAAGACATGTCGTCGTCGTCGCGAACGATATCCACAGAGGTTCCAAGTGCCGTAAGGGTCTAAACGCGAATAGCGACAGTTCTGGAGGGCCCGAGACGGATCTAAGGACAAAATGCAGGTTTGCGTTCAGTCGTGGCGGTCGGTCGCAGGCACGGCACGGGCATTCCCAGTTCGGACCGTCCAAACCATACAAATACGTGCAAATAATACGCGTGTGCCGCGCTTTGTTTCCGCGGAACCTTTTCTTTTCATAGAAGTCATTGTATTCCACTTTTTATTGTATTACAGAGGTTTAAAAACACCACTGTTTCCTTCTTATTATCAAGGCGAGCAGGTTCTGCCCAAGTAAATTCCCTCCAGCGACTAGACCAACCATTCTTTCTATCAACTACCAACCATTCTTTAAATAATTCCCCCTCACTATAAACGATGCCTTCTTCCATGAACTCCCTCTGCTACAAGGACTCTGTATTTCCCTTTCCCCAACCCGATTACGACTCCGAGTACTATCCGTAAGTTTGCCGATTGCTTTCAACTTGAAGCCGTCTCAAATTCATGATTGCGGATGCAGTGCTTCAAAAACCGTACGACTGTCATCTTGCACTCGTTATATGGAGCGCAGAGTCGTCAAGGCATGGAAGAAAATTACCGGTCTGACTAAAAAGCAGCACCGCGCCTCGTTCCTCCCTCCGAACTTCGTATTCGTTACCCCATCAGCAAAGAGGCGGAGTATCAGATACGTTTATTAGGGATGTTGCTGGACGACACTATATGTGGACCTTTTACAAAGGGTTATTCTCGGGATTTACATGGAACTTACACGGACATTACACGGACATATGGACATATTATTGTCGTATACCTATAATAACTATTCCCCTGTAGCTTAGAATCATTATGTGCCGTCTGTATCCATCTCTTTGAGAAGCTTTGAAATCGTCAGCGGCTTCTAAGGAAATAACAATCACAGGCGAGGACAAATCAGTTTCTCGACTTCACTCTCGCATTGAAGTTCAGCCACTTGTCGCGCCTGAGCAGCATCTAGCGTCCTCTGAACAGCAGCACGTTTCTCCTCGTCTGCCCGTCGCTACGCACATATGTCAAAAAGGGTTGTACAATCAAGGTCGCACATTGGCGTTATTCTACATCTTGACTCCGTAACACTCTGGTTTCGATGTCGCCACCTCGGAGTTGCGGGTCCCAATCTATGAACAGCGTCGAAAGGGTCTGATCAAAACGACAAGGAAAGCCTACGTTCTTTTGCGATTCCTCTAGGAGTGTTAGCAATTTCTCCTATAGACCGTGTCAAACATGCTGTCAGAAAAAGGCCGCAAGTGGACATACTCTCTCAGCTTTGATTTTTTCTATTTCTTCCGTGAATCCCTCGACCTGTTTCTTCAGGAGACCAATCTCAAGCTGGGCATAAGCAAAAAGAAAATCAGGATGAATTCAAGGGATTGGCAAACCGCATCAAGCTGCTCCTACACCTATAAAATTGTTGAGTTATTCTATCGCATCAATCTCTAGGAATATTCACTTGTCCACACCCAACCCAGCACGACGATGTGCCAGCACCATCTTCCATGTTGATATCGCCACTACTATACGATGCAGAAGAACCATATCAACATCTTCTTCGACCGCGATGGGACTAGTTGTGATCGCAACAATGCGGTACTGACGAGGCATATGGGTGGGAGACTCGAGTATGTCCGTGTCCATGAAACAACGGGGAGGAAAAGAGGTTGGGGTTAAAGGCAACAATCGGGATGCCAGACGACCAACGCGAGGGATGGATTCCGGGGTAGGATACGAGTGCGCTCGTATGACCATCTTGGCGGGTGTGCTGGGGAGGAACCTGAAAGGACCTACAATAGACTCGGTTTCCATGCCGCTATTCGTAACGATGAGAAAGCCTGAGCAATACGAGACACCGAAACTTTTCACCTTTCTGCCTCTGGCTCTTTGGAATCCAGGTCCATATGATCCTCGGGCTCGGGGGATAACGAACGTTCACGTTCGTACCGCGCTTTGAACCTCTGTAGATCGCTATCTAAGAGCTGTAAAGAAGTCAGACGGCACGTCAAGAATAGGTCAAAAGATCACACATCCGTATAGAGAGGTCTTTCAATTTGACCTTGAGGCAGCGCATGTAAGCTCTTCGTTGAGCTCTTGGGGATAGCAAACCGTCTTGGCAGTCTTCGATCATATCTTCTATCCTGGAAAGCAGAGGTCACTGAAAGGGTCCTCAAAAAGAACCTGCAAGCTCAATCCCTTTTTCATGAGACGGACCATATTTCTGTTCATCTTCATGAGTCCAGCCTCCGTCTGTACCATATACTCAGAGCCAACAACTTGAAAGAAATGCAAGTGCTGGAACACTCACCGCTTTGATGACTGCAGCACGCATGTAGGTCTCGGATCGATGGCCCTTTCGTTCCCCAGCATCTATGCTTTCTTTGACACCTGTATGTCCATTCAGCAGCAATAAGACTCAGAGGTGGGAATGCTGTACTTCTTCCGATGATTTCGTCTATGATATTCCACCGCTTGTCTCTGGGGCAGGATACCCAAGGCTCTGTGCAACGATTCAGATGAAATTGACTGTGAAAGAAACCACATGAAGAACACACTTTGAGCGTTGGTGGGTTGAGGAGAGCGCCTGGTCGTCTTGCGAGCCATTGTACGAATGAATGAAGTAGATAATAAGGTCGACTTGGAAAAGACTGTCGGTGAGAAACGAAAGGGGAAGTGTTCCAGCACTACTTTTGATATGCAAAGAGAAGAGAAGGGTAGGATCTGGGGTACGTCGTATGCACGGCTTTTATACCCAGGCCAGACAGTTCCCTTTGTGAAGGTTCGCCGGCGCCACATTTATAAACACAAAGGCACCTTTCACCCTGTCAAATATTCAAGAATAGGATACAACCGTATATGGTGCGTCGGTCAAATTGAATCGAGGTGGGGGATGCAGAGATAGTAAGCGAGAATTTCTCGAATTATATCACTGCAATGTGATCCACTTCAGAACACGGTCCGGTGCACATACGGGGTATATTAGCATTCGTTTAGATGTGCGTACGCCTGTATCTACGTCCATCTATGTGTGTATAATGTAAATAAGGGGGGGATAACACTAAAGAACGAAAGAATCCGCCCAGTGCTTGATGACACCTTGCCCAAGACGATGTATCTCAAAACGCTTGATATCCCGTGAAATAATGGTAGCATGCGAGTTGTGCCCAATATCAAGATATACAAGCTCTTTCTTTATCGGCAGGGTATTCAACGAGTGCACGAGCTCTTGTTGAAGCGGACTCAACATGGCCTTGGGCTCCGAGCTGGTACTCGTCTTACGTTTGCCTTTCTCCGGAAGGATGTTCTTGGATGAGGATGTGGTGCCAGGATCGTCGATGACGTCGGCGACAGCATCTTCTACTTGTCGCTCAAGGTCGGACAATAGATGAATAAGGCGTTCGCTGTTGGACTCGTTCTCCTTTTCTAGGAGTCTGATTCGGGCTCGGGAGGATCGCGACGCAAGAGAAAGACGAATAATGACCAGAGATACGCCAATAGGGATTAGGATAGGAAGAAATACGTAGAATACCTGCACTCGCATTAGTGAAGCCATAAATGCGATCGGAAGAGACTGACCAAGTTAAAAGGGAAGCGAAACTGGAGAAAAGGCGGTAGATATATCCGCTGTTTCTTGTCTTTGAGCCATTGTTTAGAAAGTATAGCCGGTTTGGACGAAGGGATAGGGGATACTGCGGGAAGAGCATATGATTTGATTATGGGATTGTATCCTTCAAGCAGCTCACTGTCAAAATAATAATCATCAGATAGCCACAAGGAGATCTGAGAGACGTACATTTCAATTCCGTTGGTTGCATGGTCTAAAAAGTTGTCCTCTAGTTCTATGGCGGCGGTCACATACGGTACAGTACGATCATTTACTCTTGGAAAATTTGTGAGCGAGCGTTAGGTGAAAAATACTAGGGCACTCACGAGTTTGCATAGATTCTAAGCGTTTTGAAGGCAGCGAGACTTTTATAAAAGATTTGATCTAGATATATGATCAGGGCGTGAGGCCAGGGCGTGCTGCATGGATTATGGACAAACCTGGATCGGCCATGATGTCCAGGAGAGGACGACCTGTAGTCGACCATTTGTCCACACAATAAAATTGCTCTCCCGTTCGCGAAAGAAGCCTGGGACCAAGTGTAGAGAATAAAATCGACAAGAAGGATGGATATGTAGGAAGGCCAACATGAGGTGTTGCAATTGTGTTGAAGTTGAAAGGCGTGACGTCTTGGAAGAAACCTCGTTGATGAAGGATGCTGAAGAGATGACTGGGCATGAGCTCTTTGAGGTGCTTGGACTGGAGCTTACCCAACGACATAGCGAGAAACGAGTCCTCCAAGACTATAGCCTGTGATAGAAAATCTGACGACCTTACCGCCATCCTGTTGCAACTTGTCTACTTGGTCCAAAACCTCTTATAGGTCAGGGATAGTTGCGTTGGATGTACGATGGACAACTACCTCTTGCGCTACCCTTTCACCTCCCCAATCTATCCCATCGTATGTAGATGCTTCTTTGTTGGTTTCTGCCACCAGAAGGCGCATTTCAATGGCTTCGGAACTGGGTTGAACATGTGTTTCCAGCATGATACGCTTCAGCTCGGCCATGTGAGAAGGATTGCCCCACATTCCGTGGACGAGAACAAGGAGATGATAGGAAGACATTGGAGCACTACTGACTCTCAGAGGGAAATCGTAGGGGTATATGGGAGTGAGTAGTAAGCAAGGAAGGTAACCGCGGCAGTTCAGCCGAGTGATCCGTTTACAGTCATTCAGAATTACTCACTGCTTGCCTTGATTCTGTCTGTTTTTAACTGTTTCTTTCAGTTCGACCACTGTGTCATACAGTTCGTCGGATCATTTCAAGGTGGACCTACCCATCCGTTTCGTGTTACTGGTACTCCTCCATTTACTTCGTATTTCCAGCCGAGTATGGAGTATTGTTTTGCCTGTTGACTGTACAACTTTGTGCTCATGATCACCGGGGTCGCTGTAACGGTTCGCTCATTGGCTAATCTTTCCTCCGACGTTGGGTTGCGGACCTTGTCCTCGAACAATGAAGAATGAATTGTGACCTTCCTGCCAGACCGGGTGGATCCTCCGAGTGCGGCTGTGCTGTCTCAATACTCCACGTCCCTATTTAAAATATTGCCACTTGACTGTTTGACTCCCTTTCTACCAGCAGCAGCATCACCGGTCACCTCTCGAGTCTTCTCTGTCTTCTCTCAATTTCACGATCTTTCACGCTAAATCCACCACCATGATCATGACCACCTCCAGTGATCTCGAGAAAACCGTAGCTGAATGGGTGTCGACAAACGTGCCAGAATCTGCTGTAGCTGCCACCGAAGAGAAAGCCGCACCACTAAAGGAGGCAAGTGTTGCGTCCTGTGACTCGTCTCCCAAGACGCTGCACAAAAAGAAGAGCTCTTTTGACCTGCGGGTCGATTATCAGCATGCAGCGTCCGAGGCTCAGGAGGTGTCGCCAAATGCAGACAAGGCATGAAGACGTTTCTCTCAATCATACCAGCAGTAAGTTTAACGTGTATGCCGTCTTCTTTGCTCACATCTTCTCAGCGACATGCAATGAACGCAACGAATTACTGACTGTATCAATCATCTGTTATGAGTTTTTAGCAAGTTTGATTTTTGGTTATTATCGGACTTTTACTGGGATCAAGAACTATTTTAGTTGTCCCCCGCACTTATCATGTTTTCAATGATTCCGTTTATCTGGACTTGCTTAGCTTCAAGCATAGCTCCATTCCGAGTCCCAAATGATATTTGAGCAACCCTTCAGGACGTAGAGATACTGCCAGAGACGCCAGTCGTGTAGGATCTTATAGTGAGACTAAGACTCTCATGAACCAAGAAATTTCGGTTGCATAACATGACCGACTATCAGTCGATCACGCTGCAGATCTCACTTTGAGAGCCGTGACTTGGCAGATTCGCTCGGGCCGAAGTCCCGCCACCCAACGCATCCGAAGTTACCTGTCTCCAAACGAATCAGTATTAAAAGCCCCGTCCCAACTCGAGGCAAACAACGGAGCGTAATGTACATTTCAAATTTATATGTGACCACAAGATATAGAAGCACGCCTAATCCAAAAGCAAGGAAATAGCTGTAACGGTAGCCCAAGAACCATGTTCGCAGAAAGTATTTAAAATGGTGGGTACCAATCAACATCATCATACATATCAAAAAATGGAAAGACGTTGTGTCCATACTCATCATCAAGCGAATCCGAGAACCCATCATCCTCATCGCTATCATACATCTCGCTATCCTGCACTCGATTATCCCACACAAGCTCCACGACCACCTCTTCCAGATGCCCTACATCTTCTTCGTACAGATGAGCACAGTCTTCCAAGGACAACTCCTGCACCTCCGTCCCACACTCTGCCCGCACCATCAACATGTCCAAAAACATGTCCACAAGATCTGCAAAGTCCGCGCCTGTGAGAATAAGGCTGCGAAGGCGGGGAAAGTAAACGCTATCAGGCGTCTGTCCCTTCTTCCGCAGATTGTATCCTTGATCTGCATCTACGACCGATGGTGGCCTGATCTCGCTCAGGGCCCTGGTGAAAATCTTTGTGGCACCCGCTAATTCAATTTTCTGCAGCTTGGGTAAAGAACCAAACAGGTCTATCCAGGTGGTATGTTTGAAATCGCACTCGGGATCGAAGACGCGGAGGACTCGGAGCTGGGCAAGTGGTAAAGCTCGGCAAATGGTTTGTGTAACTTGCTCTTTTGTGCCAAATGAGTCGGGTCGCCATGAAAGCTGCAATTCGAGAGCCGGCGGAGCAAATTGCACGCAATTAGCGAAGGAATTTGAGATAGTATAGGCGGAAAAGCGAACGTCGTTCGGATACACACTCGTCAATGATAGCACCTTGAAAGGGGCGCCTTTCAGGGTCTTGTCGGAAGAGATGTCGACGAATGTCCGTGACTTGGAGATCGTGGGTACAAGCGAGGAGAAATCCGCTCCTGTCCCTTTGGTGCCATTTAGGATGAGCCGCATCGTCGCCGTGGAGGGGAAATCGATGTGGTTCAGGAGGTTAGCGCTTTCAAGAACGGTCGAGGTAAGGCAAATCTGTGATAAATGAAGCAGGGATATAATATGGGAGGGACTGGGTAGAGTTTTGGTAGTTTCGGAAACAATGGGCAGAGCATGTTCTAAATCAAGTGTCTCAAGCCAAGGCACCTGTTCGAGCACATCGACGAGTTGAGAAATAGTGGGTCTGAAATCACCTGGTTCCACTATCTTGAGGTAAGTGAGATTTTGCATTAGAGCAGAATCCCAGTGTACTTGACACCGATTGAGGTCGAGATGACGCAACCGTGGGGCTTGACCATCTAAGAAATTATCGGGAAGGACGATCTTCTCTTCGACTTCGTGGTAGCGAATGTAAACCTGGGAAATACAAAGCTTGGTGAGGAAAGGTGCACGCTTCGTTATGCCAGTGAGATATTTCTCCATGTTTTTAGTACCGGTAAGGCTGAGTTCGGCGGAGCGATCGACTTGCTTCATGGCATTGTCGAACGCGGCAAGCATTTTTGGGGTCATGTAGGTGAGGTCAGCGACGATGGTCAGAGGGGCCATCTTTGATCGTTTAAGCATTTCATGGGCCCAAGCAGGAGTCGTGAAGGGGGGCGAGCTCCACAAGGCTGGAAAGCCGAGTGCAACGGCGCGCCAATGCTGCGAGACGTGGGAAACATTGATCCACAAAAGTGACTTGTAGGATCCATGAGGATAGGATACGAAGAGAAATATTCTGGAGAGCATTTCGGGAGGGAGCTTGGAGATGGGCGCGAGGGCATTCCGCTGCGATTTGAGGTCCCTGACTGCCTCTTCATGCTGGAGTATTTCTGCGTCGATTTGCGAGACTGAAGGGGAGCCCTTGGCACTTGGAGTCGTGGCTGAAAAGAATTGAAGAGATGAGTAGGAACGCAGCGACAGACAGGGTAGACGGACCAGTCATGTTGTTTGGGTCGGAAGGTAGGCCAGCTACTGTTTCAGTCATACTGAACTGCAAACTGAACCAGCTTTTTATCGCCTAGTAAGGGAAACACAGCCTGGTTACTAGCGTTGTCGTTGTCGTGGACGTTGGCGGCAACCTGATAACGATTGCGGAGCGCGTGACACTCGTGACCGTATTGCTTTTCTGCCACCCACTGCGACGAAGGTTCAAGAAAACAGAATTCCATTTCGCTAAAAGAGTTTCATATATTTTCTGATGATATACGTGCTAATACGTGACCAATGATATCAGTCTCCATTGCAGGGTCGCGGAGTTTCTGTATGCTTATTTCTGGTAGCCGCAGCTACATCACTTCTTTGCGATACTCCACCTTCCTTGCACGATTTGTTCGGGATCACATAATTCCATTTGTACGATAGACAGGAAAACGGTCAGAGGACGCAGCAGGCTCCGTACAATTTGATCTGTCACTGTCACTGCTGGGCATTCCTGAATCTTTGTATTGTAGGAAGCCAGTGAGCTATACTGCCTGTAAGCTGCGAGTGATAAATTTTTAAGGTAAATGCTGATATTACGACGCAGAAGTACTCTTCAGGACATGCATGACCCTGCAGCAAACAGAGGGACGGGGGAATGACTCCAACTGAGTCTAAGGAATGCAAGGAATTTGCGCTTGCTGCCAATCCGTCCATTAACAGCAAGTACCTTAATCTCATTACGATACCCGAGCATACCCGTTATCTCAGCGTCCATTCATCTTGTCAACGCATGCAACTCTCAAAGCTGGGACAATTTCTTAACTCCGTTGCGTATGCTCATCGGAGCCGCTCTCTGCACGCTATATATATAGTTCAGCCATGAAAGTAATTGTTTCCTGCCTTTCTTCCTCTTTCCAGAAATGACCACTCCTGCCAGTACTTCGCTGCGAAAGTCATCCATCTTTCGTCGTCAGAGCCGCCAAATTAATGCGACGGTACAATTTATTGATGTCTTCGCCTTGATTTCGTTCTCAGCATCTCTCATTCTAGGTCGTCGAGTCCAACGGGACCGGTACTGCGGCGATGAATAGCGGCCCATCGTCTGCAAAGCAAGAGAAACCCACTAGCAATGGCACTGTGCTTCCGAAAGTTTTGGCAGACTTACAAGAAGAGGTCAAGAAGGGCTTACCGTTGAGCCATTCGACTATAGTGAGCCAGAATTTCTCATGCAAAGTGAATAAAGCAACCCATATAAAAAAATCTTCAGGCCGCTCTCTTAGATTATATACACAACACAGATAGCCTTGATGACAGAAAGCTGCTGGTAACTACTCCCGGTCTATGCAGCTCGTATACTTGATTATCGTCTGTGTACAGCTTGAACATGGCCTCGTTTTCCTCTCGCGTATGCCTCCTGGGCCCTTGGCTCAAAGCCTTCAGAACAAGGCCATATCTTTGCGTATGTTGTGTTTAATGGTCTATTAAATACGCTGATCCTTTTCCAGTGTATAATGATCTCTCCCACCCTCCGGCTACGTATATCGGAAATGAATATAAATTCCGCTCGGCGGATGGCTCGAACAATAATATTCTAGCTCCAGACATGGGAAAGGCCGGAACACCATACGCCAGAAGTGTACAACAGACTCATCCATTGCCAAGGCGAGATATGCCAGATGCTGGTTTGATTTTCGATACGTAAGCCATTCATCTCTCCGTTGTCAGTCAATGATCTAATTTGGTTGCTTACAGTCTCTTGAAACGCGAGGGTGTAAGTTACCTCTCTGATTCCTAACGCCACACTAACCTAGTATGCAGTTCGTCAAGCATCCAGGAGGTTTGTCTTCTCTCATGTTTGCATTCGCCGCTCTCGTTATCCACACGTGAGTGGCGTGTCATTGTACTCATCGTATCTCCACTCCTCTAATAATAGCTTTCAAGTGTATTCCGTACATCACATACTGACATCAGCATCAACGAGACATCTTCGTACGTGGATCTGGCACCTTTGTACGGTCATAACCAAGGAACGCAAGACAAAGTCCGGAAGTACGACGGATATGGGAAGCTGCATAACGATGTCTTCGCTGAAGATAGGCTTATGCTGCTCCCGCCCGCTGTTTGCGTGCTCTTGGTGCTCTTCTGTAGGAATCACAACGTGAGTATGTTTCATTCATGGTTGTTAGGAGGAAGCTGACCCATCTCCTATAGTATATCGCCCAGAAACTTTACGAGATAAATGAACATGGTATCTACGTCGGCCCCTCAGAGCTGTCGGAGGAAGATACCCGAAAACAGGACGAAGAGTTGTTCCAGACTGCTCGTCTAGTCAACTGTGGCTGGTTCGGGACTGGTATCTGTTCAATCTTTGTCTTGTGTAAACAGGGAGCTGACGTTTCGCTAGTCGTATTTTCTGATTACTTCTCGTGTATTTTGGGTCTTGTACGGGAGGGCAGCAGCTGGAGTTTAAGTCCATTTGGTGCACGTGCACTGTCCGCAATTATCGACGTGGTACTCATCTTGGATGCAGGAATTCCGGAAGGACGATCACACCATATTCGAGCGTGGAGAAGGAAACGTCTGTAGCGTTGAGGTACGTCCATATTTCTAACTTGGGACATCAATCTTTACGCGTATTTAGTTTAACTGTCTTTATCGATGGCATGCTACCACGAGCGCCAACGATGAAAAGTGGGTGGAACAACTCATGGATGATATGTTCGAGGGGAAATCATTTGATGAAGTAACCATGGCGGACTTCAAGGCCGTTGGGGAGAAGTTGAGTGAAATGGACCCAGACTTGACCCACTGGACTTTTGGACAGTGAGTGCAGCATTTTCTCGAAATGGACCAAGTCACAGGACATTTGTTTCAGCATGACCCGACAAGAGGACGGCTCCTTTAAGGATGAAGACTTGGCCAAGGTTTTACATGATGCGTAAGGAATGAAAATCTTAGGGAACTGTCGCTGTCATTAACTGTCATCCGTAGAACCGACGAACCTGCGGCTGCTTTCAGGGCAAGGGGAACACCGCGTATGCCGTCTCTTCATGAATGAAAGAGTATGAACATTGATTTCTATGAAGCCTCCATGCGTCTCCACGAAATACTAGGAATAGAACAGAACCGGCGCTGGGGAATATGCTCTCTCAACGAGTTCAGAAAAGTGCGTACCCTATTTTTCGTGTTGCTTTTCCGCAGCACTGATCGCATTCGTGGATCTAGTTCCTGGGACTTAAGCGTAGGTGGTTCCGACATGAATGCATTCCACAATCTGAATGACAATGTTATTGACAGCGTATTCCACATTCCTGGAATGGAACTCCGACCCTGAGATAGCCAACACTGCGGAGAAGTTGTACGGCAATATCAATAATCTGGAGCTGTACGTCGGTCTCCAAGCTGAGGAAGCCAAGCCACTTGTTGACGGAGCCGGCCTATGTCCTGGTAAGCATCCTCCTTTAGGCTTTTGTAGGTCCTTCTTGAACAATATGCAGGCTACACGATAAGCCGCGCCATCCTCAGTGATGCCGTCGCACTCACTCGTGGCGACCGATTCTTCACACGGGACTTTACTCCCGCTAATCTCACCTCCTGGGGTTTCGCCGACTGTCAGCGCGACCCAGACGCCTTTGGATTCGGCAGCGCTCTTGGGAAGCTTTTCCTGAGAACTCTCCCGCATGAGTTTGGGGAGAATGGTAACAGCGTGTACGCTTTCTTCCCGTTGATGACGCCGGATTCCATGAAAGTCCATTTGACAAAGATGGGTTTGGTGGATCGGTATGACTTGACGAGACCGGTGAAGAAGGCAATCGGGGTGGCGGCATTTACGAGTGGTAGCGCCAAGTATGTGAACAGGGCAGCGAAGATACTTGGCGGGAAAGGCAAAGGGTAGTGTGTCTTCCTTCCTTAAGGTGGCTTCTCTCTGAAATTTCAGTACAGGTTTTACATCGCACAAGATGATGAGAAACGTCGTGGAGTTGTTGTCCGTGCGCTGACCGAGGCCATAGGATCAGAGGACAAGATCGGGCAGTATTTCTATTCTGAGACTGTGACCCTTATGTCAGAGCAGTCGGTGCGCATGGTAGGAGGCGACAAGCGTGCCATCGATATTGTGCGTGACGTCTTCAAACCGCTGACGGTCGGTTGGGTTGCGACGCAAGTGGTGCGTTTTACATTCAATTCAGCTTGGATGCACGATTCACGTACTTGGTTTGTAGGCTGGGATTCAGTTGACAAAGGGAAGTCAACATGGAGTGTACACACCCGCTGAACTGTATGACGTCCTAGGGGACATCTTCGAGTGCGTTATAGGTCCCTATCCATCATTCGCCAGCTAATTCTTATCTTGACAGATACATATTCCTGAGCGTAGAGGACTCCAAACTAGCGAACTTTGAGCAGAAAGTGCAGAAGGATGTCAAACAACTATCTAGTCATCTCAAATCTGCCGAAAAGGTGATGTCTGTGCAGGTGCATTCTCCTCGGATGTCAGCTGAACGTGGCATGCTAGTTCTCTATCGTTAATTTGGTTGAGAATGCCCTCTCGTCCAACAAAAGTGAGAAAAAGACTGATGAGAAACTTATCAAACGTCTTGGCGAGCTCGGAATACCGGGTGATGAAGTTAACAACACGGTTTTAGCCATCTTGATCGGTGCATCGGTGGAGCTTTCTCTGTGTGAGTGGTGGAAGATCTTGGTAACACATATCAGGGCTTATACTTCCTCAGCCCTGACGAACATGCTTAATATCACCCTTGACTCTGACGTCCAATCCGTTACAAACGAAGGACGAGTTCGCGAAGCAATGCGTAAGCTCGCTTCATCAACTTCTTATTTACGTGGTCCCTTATCAAGAATGCAGGTCTCGATCCCACCTTCCATGGAACACCAGGTACCTCTTTCTCTTCTTACGTGTGCATGGTTTTAACCTGACGGACGATCTGTCCACCGCAGTTGATTCAAAACCGGCTGCTAACAGTTACGTCCAGGAAGATATCTTCGGCGTGTCAAGGTAAGTATCGATCTAACTCATCGTAACTATCTCACGAAATGTTTTGCTAGGTGTCTGGGAGAGCAATTGACTGTAAAGGTTTGTGCTTATCATCGTGTTTATCTCTCAGCATCATTGATGTCTCGATAGATCTTACGCGAAACGCTTCGAGCCGTGCTTGGCCATCCTGGTATATGTCGTGGTCCCGGACAATCGGGTGTACTGAACAGGTAAGCAAGAATCGGCTGTAGTTCTGATAATACTACCAAAACTGATCAACGTCTAAAGGTTCAAGATCGAAGACAAGATCAGAGAGAATCTTCGGTACGGTTACCTGGATGGTGACAAACAGATATCTCCGTGGCCCACATCACTGATAGTGCAGGTAAGCTTTCAATAACGATCGTTTCCAGCACTTTCTAACGCGTCCTTTAGTTCGACGGACCTGTGAAGCAGTAAGAAGATAAATGAAACTGGAAGGATAGCTCCGCTATGATCTTGCGGTGTTTTGAAGGAGATATGTGTATTCGTCCCGGGGTTAGCAAAGATAAATAATGACCTTCACGATTCATTGTTCTTCGGTTACCGATTAATGATTTTTTGACTAGTGCAGAATGATGACAAACCAGTCGGTATATATCACACCATTCATCGGACTCCAGGTTGGAGACGAAGTGAAGGGAAACGTGGGTATGTATTCAAGGTGAAGATGTTGGATCCGATGCCGGCGTGGGAACTTCCCAAAGGGGCCCGTGTACCTTTTAGAGTTGATAGTAAGAAGCGGACCAACGGAATCCAAGACTTTGTTGCCTGGCTTCAAAGTTAGGAGATCCAGCACGGATTTATGGCATAGCACACGGGGTGCTATAAGGATCAACCCTTCGAATTTTGAGTATAGTGGACGACAGAAGAGATGGATCGTGACTTTCAGGCGGCAGGATGTAATAGGCATCTGGTGCAGATGGGTAGCTCTCGTTAAGGTATTACAAATCAGTATGAGTCATAAATCTCCTAAGACATAAGGGGGTTCAGAATCACCCAAATGGATGATTCAGTAATGACTCGGACTTGTATCAGGAAAAGGAATGGTTCAATTGGATTGATATTCTGAGATTCTCTTGAAACGCAATAGTCTTACTTAGAGCCAATCTCACGCAACTTACGAAGAAACAGAAGACCATTTATTTGCGAGGGCCTAACGATTCATAGGAGATAAGTATGTTTTTATGAACATACTCCCAGCCTCCCAGAAGAAAAAGATGTTATATATGGTCTCACAACTATGCTTCTCTCTACAAGAAAGAGTGGGTAATATACAAGGCACTTTCCACAGCGTCTTCCACAAAAAACACCTGCTTAAGCTGGAACCTCCGCAGTCATTTTTCCAGCAAAATGGAGTGTCCATGTAGACAGCAGTCGGTGCTGGTTTACTTGATCACCAGTGAGGCTAAGATGATTCAGTCAGCGCAGACACTCCCACTTTGTAAGAAAAACATACCCAGGTGTGCCATAGGTTAAAGGCGCCAGGAAAACAAACATCGAGAACAATACGATGCAAAATAATACAAAGAGTATAGGTCCTTTCAAGCCGATGTCCGCGTAAGTTCGAACTTTTGGACGCGTTAATGGCCCATGGATCGATGACGGGTAGTTGATGGTATCAGAAAGCATGAAGTTCAACACGGAGCCTGCAATCAGGGCAGAGGCTACGTGCGAAGGGAGATAGTGGTGGACGAAAAGCTGTCGGTTCATCAGGAAGAAAGGGAAGTAATGTACCGCCCAAATGACAAAGAAGAATCCTGTCGAGCTCCAAAGACGGTTGCGAACAGCTGAAAAAAAATAGTCAGCATAAGGACTACGCGTAATTTTGGTACTAACGATCTCCAATAGGATTATGGTTTCTACGTCGGGCCAAAAGATCGGCGCCGAGGATACCAACGTAGATCGACAACATAACCACACATGTCCACCAGCCCACCACATTGCCAATTAGATATATTTGCTTCTGCTCATCGTTCTCAGTCCAGAAACTTATTCCACTCAATAAGAACGGCCAGTTAATCGGGCTACTGGCATAGGGATGCGAAGCCGTCAGACCCGCGTTATGCTGCAACATCAACAACTGGAGTTCTCCCCATTTGCGGAAGAAGTTCATCTTCTTCGGGACTTTCGGAGGTGCCGGCGCAGTGTGGTTTCTGACTTCATCGTCATCTTTGAAGTAACGATCGCCTTTAGACATGGATACGCTCCTGTACACATTCACTCACCCTCCGTAGCAATGATCTCGTCAACATACCATGTTGCTGATTTTTCTGTTGCGCTTTTATGACCATTGACTTCCTGCTGCTTAAATGCCCAGTCAGGGAGCTGTTTGTTGTGTGTCCACATCGAGACAAGGGTAGGGACGTGGACTAGTTTGAAGTACCCAGACTTCGTCTTCCAGGCCTCGCCGTCGTGAGAGTCGATGAGGTGAAGTCTAAATAACGTGTCATTATATCGTGAATGGTCATCCCTTGGCCAGGTTGTGAATTCCTCGTTAGTAGGCATGAGGGGGGATGCGACATCGTGCGTCAGGAGAAGCGTATTAGTGTTGACATGGAGGAGCTGGATCATGTCATCGTTGCGAACAATCCGACCACGACCGGTTTCGGGCAGTGATTTGGTGGGTATGACTTGCCAAAAATTGTTCGTATCATTATGGGCATAACCAGTGACCTGCTGTCCTGTGAACAGTCAAGGCGTGGCTCAAGTGACGAAGATTTCAAGGTATTACCTTGACTGCTGATACGACCATCCTCGTATTTCAGAGGATACTTCTCAGGGTGCGAGTGCAAATACACTTTGGTGTCCTTGTGTCGCAGAGTGATGGTGTCAAAATATCTGATATCTGATGCACGGTGAGTATGTTAGAGAAATGAGTCTTGGCACCCGTACCTTGACTGTTCAATAGCATTTCGTTACCCGCGAGCGTTTCTTGAAATGCGGGGCTCATGAATGTGTCACCAGGCCCAGATTGTGTGAGAATAGCGAAGTGGATATAGAAGAAAGATAGATAGATCACGAAAGGGACTACGATGAGTCCAATTGCCCTAGCGGTAAAATGTCTCCAGAAATGATCCTGAAGTGAACAACTTGAGTATACCGTCAATAAAAAATGAATACGGGACATACCATAGTATTTCCCTTCTTGTAATCCAGAAGATCCCAGAGGTCGATGAGAACGGCAACACCGATTGCAAAGACCGTGAGGATACCATTAACTTTGGATCCCCAGGTACACGCCATAAACGTTCCCGTGAGAATCAGCCAGACCCACCATTCTGTGGAGAATTCCCAGTGACGGAGCTTCTGGAATCGTATGTAGGAGTATATGGTGAGTGACATGAAGAAGATTAGTGTAGCGTCAAGAAGGATGAGGCGAGACTGTGCGATGTGGGCATTGTCTAGACAATGATGAGAATATTATTGTTAATAAAGGCAGGAAATAAATGATTACGCACCGAAGAGAATGAGAGATGCCGAGAATGCTGCTATGACCGTGGAGTACCCGCTCTGCTTCATAATGGCATAGACAACCGGGATTGTGAGACTTCCGAGGATAGCTGGGAGGGCGCGCATGCCAATGTAGGGAACATGGTTGAGCGTATAGCTGTCGCCAATGTCCTCGAATTGGAACTGGCCGTCGAATCCAACAAACCAGCCTGCAAGACCGAACAGTAACTTCGCAAAAGGAGGATGCACGTCGAAGTAGTATGTCCGCAGGATGTAGTACGAGGCAAATTTGCCGAAATGGACCTCGTCAAAACTTCATTGCCTATTTTCAACAGAGGAATACAAGAAAAAAGAGGCTGACGTACACGACTTGGTCAGGGTGACTGAGTTTGTACAAGCGCAGCGCGAACGCCAGCATCGTCAGTATTCCTACAACGATGATACTAGCTTGGTCTGTTTCAAGGATCCGCTCTATAGGATGACGATCGTTCTGTCCTTTCGTCAGACGGTATTTCCAGCGAGACAAGAAAACATACAGGATTTTGATACACGTGGTCCGCAGGTTCATCCTGCTGGAAATTTTCATGTGTGCTAGGGGAACCTGTGATGCCTTTGGGACGTCTCAGTCGTGGAGACTTTGAGGTCATCGACGTCGATGACGACGACATAGTGAGAGGGAGTAATGGCTGAATGAGTGAAGAGAAGATTGAACTGTAGGAATTTGTTCAAGTTGAAGCAATGCTATTATGTAAGCAGGAGTTTGTCTCGCGGAGTCTACCAAGCTCGGGCTTCTAAAATTCCTATCCTATCCTGCTGGTCATAAAATGGACATTCTTGCTTGAAATGTCCATCTTCTGAACAAAAAAATTAGTAAATGGATGTATATTTTCTGGCCAATCTGCTTTTCTAATACTTTCTTCCGTGAATCCTTGGCAAGATCTACCTCCGTCGGACTTCGGGCCGACCTACTCTCACTCTTCCACCATGCAGCCTATTATTCCAGTGCCCAGCAGTCGTATTCACAAAGGATTTACCTCTTCCTCGTCGTTGGCCAGGTCGAGCGGCAATGCCAACATGAAATACGTCCCTCTCGACGATTCTGCCCTAGGCGTGCACAAAGTCTTCAATCGCACTTCTCATAACGTCGTCTCGCCTCCAGCACCTTCCCGTCCCAACCCTGACGACGGCGAGCACCCAGAGAAGGCCTGGGAGGCTGTCTATCCACATGGGAGCATCAACCCCTCAGCTTCCGTTGTAGGCGGGTTCAGTTTCTACGTGGCTGGTCCTGCGGGATTCCTGGACGGAGCAGTGAAAGAAGCAATCATGGGCTATCGAGTCATGTTCCAGCCAGGATGGGAATGGGCTAAAGGCGGGAAGCTTCCCGGTATCTGTGAGCTGCACCCCTTCTGTTTGGGACGCCGCTGACGCCCGGCGTTGGTCAGTTGGGGGCGTAGGCGATGCGTCATACCATTGTAGCGGTGGCCGTCAGAACGACAGATGTCAATGTTTTGATGCAAGGCTTATGTGGCGGTTCGTCTGCTCTCTGCAAACTGTGTTCCTTTGACGAGTATTCCAGGCCCAATGGAGCCGGGGAAATCTATACGTATTTCCCCCTGACTGAAGGCAACGAAACAGCCCTTTTGCGCGTCCCTGGATCTAGGAAGAATCCCGATTATGGGTTCTCCGTAGGCCTAGGCGCGTTTACCTGGCCGGTGGGAAGGTGGGTTGATGTTGCATTTCGAGTCAAATTGAATGAGATAAATGCGCTGGATGGTCAGTGTTCTGTTCATGTGTAACCTTTGCTGATATGATATCAGGCGAGCTTGAACTCTACGTTGATGGAAAGACAGTAATCTCCGTTCACGGGTTAAATATGAAGATGTCGAGTGATTCCAGGATTAAAGGGATGCATTTCCAAACGTTCTTTGGAGGTACATTGATAGCTCTGCCTCATGTTAATTCCTTTCCATGATCGTGTCTCCAGGGCATACGGACGAATGGGCTTCCCCAAAAAATCAACAGGCATGGTTTGGTGACGTTACTGGAATGATTCTTGCCTAGTTTCAGGTTTGTGACTATCATTATTACTATTGGAACTCGCATTCTCATATTGTATAGAATTTGGATCAAAAGGGCCGTTCGTAAACTACATCCCATGAATATGCTGCGTTGACACCCCTGCGCTTACTTCTTGACGCGTAGCCTCGTGTTATATGTGAATCTCGCGTCTTCATTTATAGGTTTCTCTTATAAGACTTCTCACTGGACGAAAGCGACATGTATGGAGTTGCAAGTGACTTCCTCTTCTCTTTATCTTTTCTTCCTGCATCAACGACAAGCTCAGGTGCACTATGAAGATGTCGAGCTTCTTCCTGCGTTCTCTTCAGAGGACTACCCAAAAGTAATCAAGTCTGGTGGTGGTGGTAGTCTGATATTGATGAAGAAGGGCAGCATCACTATGCTGGTCCACCGATTAGGTCGCCCGGAGCTTCTCGGATGGCTATTCGATCTCGAGAACACCTACGACTTCGATTATAGCCTGGTGACATTGATTCCGAGCACACGCACGATTCCTATGTCCAACCGCAAGGGAGAAGGGAGAAGGGTTAGTTACCTACACTGCCTTCGTTGCGGAGCCCGAGTTTTGACTGGTTTTATGACCGAATACGGGGCGGAGGCTAGTCATGACATTTGCCACCTCATCCAAGATCTTACTTGGAGCTTGGTATATGGCAATTTCGGAAAGTCCAGCTGCGTTGTCGAGCAGACTGTGGTGCGGAGAAAGGCAGCTTTAACTGCAGGTGGTGCAAGAGAACTCGTGAGCCACGTCTATCTTGCCTTTTAATCCTCCCATTCATTATGGTGCAGGTTGCTGCAGCGTGGAGGAAGAGCGGAAGGCCGGCCTTCCACTCTCTCCTGACCGCACAAGTGCTGCCAGGAACACGAAATCTACCGTTTTATCAGGGGGGGGGACTAATCTACCGGTGGAACTGAAGAGTCGGTGCCGGAAATGTACCGTGACATTGAAGTAAATTATATTTTATGTTCGTTTCATTTTCCACCCCACCATAGATTTAGGTCTTCCGCCGGCATGCTTATTCAGGTGAGATACGGATGAGGAGAGCGTGTATCTAGTGTTCTGTCGCATTTTAACGGGTTTGGTCAAGTGTACCACTCCCAGCCAGTAATCTTCGTTCTCTGCCAGTTGTGTTTCAAAGACATGGCACACGAAACAATAAGCCTTTTCATTACAAGGACACTGAGCCTAGCCTTTGTGGGTCTCCCACAGGAGTTCAATTCATCGGCACGCCTTCATTTTACCACCAGTCAATAATAGGTCTGTTATCTTCTCATCCACATTCTGCCAAACCGTTGACATCGCAAATGCAGTGGAGTTCTAGTGTCGCAGGTGTTGGATCTAGAACGTTTCGGTTCTTGGGAGGGGCGCCGTGTGATTCTCCGAGGACTTTCCCATGACACGCTTGTCTACATAAAAGAATCTTGTATTCAAGCATCCGGCGAGCACGATTCCATCAAAAAATGGTCTCTGCCATTCTTCCCCCCAACACCGTGAGCGGGTGCTTTTCTTTATTCACCGCATTGCCACTTATCCTCCATCTTGAGATCCGCGAACTCGGAGAGAGCGTACAGCTGCTGTTAGGTCAATGCTCTGTCGATATGCAGACGCAACGATCTATTCCGTTTGACGGCGAGCTGTTTTCCCTGGTATACGAAGAAGCAGCTCGTCATATTATCTTGAACGAGGAAACCTCAAAATTGTTTACGCCATACATTCAACACGGCACCGATACTGTGACCACTTGTTACAACCATATACAGGACATCAAATGTCGCATCTATATCACCCTCTATATTGCCTGCTTTTTCTACTTTGACGACAAGTTCATCCCAGAATATTCTACCTCTGATAACGTCGCACAGGAACTTTTCGGTTGTATAATTGGGAAGGCATCCCCAGCCGATCCTATGCAACACCTATTCTGCTACCTGATGACAGAAGCCCCGAGATGCTTCCCCAATCATCCTGCGTCGAATATTGTCATCACGGGCACCCTGAATTTTGTGACCGCTGCAAGTCTTGACTTTCGCACACAAGGCATGAAGGTTAGTGTCGGTGTTCGACTTTCTGATGTGCTCTTCATTGCGAATCATAGATGCCAGCTTCAGCTAAAAGATACATGACATTCACCAGAAACATCTCCGGCATTGCCGATGTTATGGGAGTCTTTATATTTCCAACTTCGGTACCAGTAACTGCATATATTGCCACCCTTCCTGTTGCAGGCAGGTTATTTTCGCACAGTGAATAATGGCCAGGCTGAGTATGATGGTCAATTGCTTAAAGGCAATTGACTGTCAACTCAGGACAAAACTGTCTATGCTTATATAAGATTGACATCAGGTACTTGTGTCATCTTACAATACTCCCCCTCAACACAATACTTCTCAGAGTTCAAGATCCAACAGCCTGATCATGTGAGTCATCTTCTCTTTTCCCAAGGCTTTTGTGAAGATATTAGCAGGCATATCTTCTGTGCAAAGATGTTCAATATGTATGTGCTCCCACTCAACCTTGTCTTGTAACCAGTAGAAGCAGAGGTCAAGATGTTTGACATGACTGTGATGATCAGGATTGCAAGTGACAGAGAGAGCAGACTGGTTGTCAATCAGCAGTGGGGATGGCAACAGATGATGGAAACCAAATTCTGTAAACAGATTTTGCAGCCATAGAATTTTCTGTCCAGCAGAGATGGCAGTCACATATTCAGCCTCTGTGGTCAATAAGGTTACTATAGATTGTAGCCAGCTCATTCAGCTGACTGTGCTTGTGCCCATCTTGACAACATATCCTGAGGTCAAGTGCTCATTGTCTGGGTTTTCACCATAATCTGCATCTGTGTGCATTTTGAACAGTCCTGGGTTTGTAGTGTCAGGTGAATATGTCAATTTTAGACTGATTGTTCCCCTTATGTATCTGAGGAGGTGTTTTAGAGCCTTCCAATGCCTCAATCTAAGGTTTTTGCTGAACTGTGATAGGACACTGACTGCAAAAGCTATGTCAGAACAAGTGGTGATGGCCAAGTATGCTATAGAGCCAAGAATCTAGAGATATGGGATGTGCCACATGGTTTCCCATTCCTCTGAAGTAGCAGAGGACATTGAGCTGGATAGCTTAGTGTGTAGATCAAGAGGAGTACTGACACTGTTACAGTCAGACATTCTAGTATGTTCTAGGATTTTTTTGAATGTACTGTGGTTGAGAGAGTGTGTGTTCAGTTTAGATGGTCTCTGTGTATTTTGACACCAAGGAGGAATGAAGTTGGACCTAGATCACAAAGTTTAAAGTGCTTCTTGAGGTCATCAACAACACATTGTGCAGACTCCATGGACTTTGTGGCAATTGTTACATTATTGACAAACACAGGGACAATAATCTGAGCATCATCTCTTTTGTACACTTATGTGCCATGTTCACAGTGTACTCTATCAAAGCCCACCTTGGTCATAGCACTATGGAGCTCTTTATGCCATTCATGCCCAGTCTGCTTCAGTCCATAGATAGACTTGAAGAGATGAAGCATCCAGCTCTTGTCTTTTGTCTTGAATCTCTTTGATTGTTGAAGATATATTTCTTTTTTCAGATCACCATTCAGAAATGCTGATGAGATGTTCACACTCTAGAGCTCTAGGTCCTCAAGTGCAGCAAGAGTAAGGACTGCTTAGATGGCTGCCCATTTTGGAGTAGGAGAGAAGGTTTCAGTATAGTCAAAACCTAGCTGCTGTGAGTACCCTTTTGCAATATAGCATGCCTTGTAGTGTTCAATGGATCCAACAGAGTTATATTTCACTTTGAAGATCTATTTTCTATCTATAGTCTTTCACCCTGGAGGGAGCTTCACAAGCTCAAAGGTACCACTTTCCCGCAGTGCATTTAATTCCTGCTGAGCTGCCTTATATCATTTTTCACTTTCCTCTCCTGGCTGAGTCATCACCTCTGCAAGTGTCTTTGGCTCATCATTGGATGCAGATGCTTGGTTTGCTGTCTCCACTGCTGTCTGAAATGCAAGTTCAAAAGCTTCTGTATATATGATATAATCATTATCATGCAATACAAAAGTCATTCCTGCAACAATATCTGTCTCAGTAAGCTCTAGCTCAACAGTAGCTTCATCAATAGGATTAGAAACAGGTTCATCTGAGTCTGGTGAGTTCATTACATTGGTATCAGAATATTTATAGTGAAAACCATGTCCAGTGTTTGGAGATGGAATTATAAGACCTTTGGAGTTATATTGTGGCTTGAAGCATGGCTGAGGACATGAAAGTGGTAAAGAGAATATAAGAGATGTTAGAAGACTTGATAGTAGAGTAAGAGGTGATTCTAAAAGTGTTTGCATATCTGGTAGAATGAATAGAGCTGGCTTAGATAGTGATAATGAGAGTTGCTCAGATGGCAGAGATGGCTTATCAGTAGGTATGTTCTCTTCCTCTTAATGAGACATCATCACATTAGATATAGCAGTATTTGTGCTGTTATGTCTGTTTATAGAAGGTATATCATCACTAAGAGGATTTATAATATTTCTGTAGTTTCTAAAAAATACATGCTCATTGAATATAGTATGGCTGGAGATGTTAGAGAATATCTGTACATTTCATCTTATCTTACTTTTTGATCACTCACTTTATTTGCTTTATATATACTTACATCTCCTGTCATTTTCTAATCACCTATATAGTCCAGCTGTTTCTATCTGTATGCCTCAGTCACTTCATCCATGTTATGCCTGACTGAAGTATATACAGTTGACTATCTCACAATGCATATGGTTGGGAGACACCAAAATCATATGCATTTATAGATTTATGCAGAACCAAAATGGCACATGATGTGACATGTGACATTATGTGACAATGTTGTCATTGCCCCAAAATGCTGTCAGTGGCTTTTGGGTCAGCTTTCCATGCATCTCCTTGAATAATACCCCTCTCAACTTCCTCAGCTGTGGTACTAATCCACTCTGATCATCTTGTAAAACACAAAATGCCTCCAGCTTTTGAATAAGCTCAAATCCTTCTCTTGTAGTTATCAAAGTCTGTTCTTCCTTACTCTCCTCTTTCTCTTCTTCCTCCTCATCATTGTCAATGACAGTTATTTCCCCATTTTCTACTGCAATATCATGCTTGACAGCAGCAACAATCTCCTCATCTGTTAGCATTGCCTCAAGATCTTCAGTATACTCTTCTGTAATAGAGCTAACCATCTCTTCAATAGTTGGAATAGGACCAAACATGTGATTTCATTGTTTCAATTCAACAAGATGGTCCTTTAACATTATCTCTGCTGTCTGGAGCTGTTGAATGGGGGCAATTTGAGTGGGAGGTGTGTTCATTTTTGACTGTGATGAAGAAGCCAACTGATTGACTGCCTCCAGTGCTTTACCAACATCATTCTCTGCATTTATAACAGTCATAAGAGCAGGATGCCAGTCAGCATCAGCATATTAGTTTTCAAGCAGATTCTGCAATGCCTGTTCAATCCCTGGAAGTATGTATTTGTCTGTTGAGGCAAAGTCATGAACAAGGTTCCATGCAGACTTGAGGAGTGAGACATCTTGGAAATCATTGAATGGTGTGGTAGACTGTGACTTGGGTGCATTGTCAGGCATTATACCAGTGTGTTTTCAGCAGTTTGCTATCATTTCACTGCTGATATTTGTCCAAGCATTATGAGCAATAGTCATAGCTTCAAAGAGATCAAGCTTGAAGATCTCAGACTCTCCAAGATCATTGAGATCAAGTGCACAGATACACATGGCATTCTGATAATATGCCTTGAAGTAGTGGATAATACCAGCATCTAGCAGCTGAACATATAGAGTCATATTAGGCTTAAAGAACTCCAGCTTTATGTTATAGGGTGTATAAGTGATGGAATACCCTTGAAAGTTGTCCAAGGTCAGCAGAATCTGCCACATCTCCCTCTTTATCTTTAAATCAAACATCTTCACCCACTCCATAAATATTTTGCTCATCATCCAGGCCTTCTTGTTATTCTGATAATAGAATCCCATTGCCATTAGACTCTTTTTCTTAAAACACCATGGTTGCTTTGACTTGCCAATGAAAACAACTGGTATCTGCTCACCCTCATTTGCATTCACAGCAAAACATATGGTGATGTGGAACTTGTCCTGTTTTTGTCCACTCATAGGACCA